TTTGAACAACGTTCATATACCCGTATACACTCCGCCCCTTCAAAGCACAGCATTTCTTGTGCAGCCCGCACAACACGGCTGTACCTGAATCACGTCCGACGCCGTACCTTTTTTTTAAACTTCACTTTACTATTACTCTCATCATTGACTATACACAGTCCTCAATATATAATCAATTTTCGTACACACCACTACACTACAATTTAAAACTAGGTGTACAGTATTAAAGTGATGATTAAATCTAAATTGTGGCTGAGATGCCTGTTTTAGTTTTGTAAATACATTACAACTAACGCTACAAAAATGTGTTTCATTAGTTAGAACCATTTTATTTTTAAGACTAGTAATAATTCAACTATTGTTACATCATCTTTTAGTCACTAATTGCCCAAAAATTCCACATCGTTTTTTTCGAACCATTAACATGAATCGGTCCATTTTATGAATCGATTATTTAAAAAACGCTGTTGTCATCATTGTAAAGTTTATTTGACTTTTTACATATATGTGTCATGTTCAAGGAAATAAAGCATTTAATTTCATTGTAGTAATTACTTTTCAATGCAGATAAACTCTATGCACAGTGACTATAAATGACGTCATGACCACTATAAATGACAGCGACAGCACGAAACCACTTGTGCATCCCCTCGCTCTGTCGCTTACCCTCCGATCGATCTGATTGGTCGACAGATCTCCACATCTGTGATTGGTCCTTTCTCGTCCAATCGGATTCACCCTCCTCCCTCCCCACCCCTTTCATCCCTTGAACCATCTGACTCATTATCGAACCTTATGCTTCAATCCACAAAAGTTTTACACCCCAATGACGAAAAAGGATTGCGAATACATGGTATTTGGGTAATGAAAAGTGGTCATGACTTTTCACGATAAACACAATCCCATATACTGCATTTTTATTCAACTTTATTAGTGTATCAGTGGCAGAATCTGAATGAAAGGAACTCGAAATGCCTTTAAAGCAAATTGATACAAATCTTATAATAAATCAATTTAATTAATAATTAATTTTAATAATACATTTAACGAGTACCTAGGGTTGCTGCTAAAGGGAGGGTAATAAAGTATGTTTTTAGTTTAAATATAGCTTAGTATAAAATAAATAAATTTGCCTAGTTTGATCAAAATATAGATGCGGGATATACTCTGCAGCGGGTTGCGGTGTTCAATGAATTTTTAGACCGCATCGCAGACAAAGGCGGACTATTCAGGGTGAACAACTTAACTGTGCCACCATTGGTATCTCAGAAACTATCAGATTTAGAGCGAACATTAAATGGAGAACTTTAAATAGTTTTTAATGATATTAAAGAAATATGAATTCCAATGTTTCAAAAACGGCTTATAACTTTAAGATATTATAACTACGATCAGCTGGTGCAGAGTTTCCCATTTCATTTGGTTGGATTTAACCTAACCTATAAACGTGTTGTACAGTGTTTGAAAGACTATTTATACTAGTGTACATGTTGCTCGAAATCGAGCAATTGCAAAGAAGTACAGGAGTTATCAATAAACAAATGACTTGTTTAAAAATTAATAACAGTCATAATTTCCGATTATTTTAAAAGAGTCGACTAAAAGATTATTAACTAATGGAAATGAGTGGAAATGAATGGAAATGAATGGCTTTTATAATGTACCGTACCTAAAGTTATTTTTATTTAGCCAATTTGTAGACAACAAGGTGTAGGCTACTTTAAACTCTACAGTACAGAGTTAGGCAAAAACTGGCAGAATTCTAAAATGGTGTTATTTATCATAAGCATACTTATATGCCAAATCATTAAAATAAAAATTCAATAATTAATAACTTACCTATATCATTAAACACAAACAAACATCCAAAACTATACCCATTTTTAATACAACATATTAGATAATTTGCACATTGACTGTTTACAATTAACATATGTTCTTCTTCTCACTTTTAATTTTTGGTTAGCAACGGGAAAAATCTGTTTCATAATCATTGAAATAGATTTATAATCAATAATCCATCAAAAAGTTTAAGATTAAATAAACCTACCACATAGTTGTTTAATTTTTTGGGATCAGCTGTCTGAAATTGTGAAATAGGCATTTGACAGTTCTGGTTGTTTACATTTAAATGTCAAAGCAAATGTAAACATTGTGAATTTTCTCATGCTTCCATGGAAACCGATTTTTAATAATATTTAATTTCTGACAACAGCTGAAGTTTCAAAACAATGTTTGTTTCCCATGTTAATCTTATGGAGAAATACGAAACTTTAAAGGGCCCCAGGGCCTCACTCTCTAATTATTTCCCTAAAAAGAAAGTTTCCTGCACAACTTCACGTTACGCTCTTTCCAATGACACCAAAAAAATGTCAATCGGTTCAGTAGTTTCAGAGGAGTAATTGTCACAAAAATCCTGCTTGCGTATTAAATAAGTACTAGTGTACATGTTGCTCGAAATCGAGCAATTGCAAAGAAGTACAGGAGTTATTTATAAACAAATCACTTGTTTAGAAACTAATAACAGTCATAATTTCCGATGATTTTAAAAGAGTGAACTAAATAGGCAGTTTTTAGTAGTCAACTAATGGAAATACTCACAATTTACATAACAATCCTATTCCAGTTTAAAGAGTTAATTTATAACAATCAACCTGCCCATGGACGGGAAAAGGTAAGCTTACAATTTAAGTCTACGTAAAAAGGCTGTCAAATTTTATAAAGTACTGTACCTAAGTTATTTAGCCAATTTGTAGACAATAACGTGTAGGCTACTAACTCTACTCAAAAACTTGCAGAACTCTGAAATGGTGTTATTTATCACATGCTTACTCATATACCAAATCCTTAAAATAAAAATTATATAATTTATATCATTAAACACAAACCAACATCCAAAACTATACACATCTTTAATACAACATAGATAATTTACACATTGACTGTTTACAATTAACATGTGTTCTTCTTCTCACTTTTAATTATGCTTCGCAACGGGGAAATCTGTTTCATAATCATTGAAAATAGATTTATAATAAATAATCTATCATAAAGTTTAAGATTAAATAAACCTACCACATAGTTATTTTATTTTTCTGGATCAGCTGTCTGAAATTGTAAAATAGGCATTTGACAGTTCTGGTTGTTTACATTTAAATGTCAAAGTAAATGAAAACATGGTGAATTTTCTCATGCTTCCATGGAGACCAATTATTATTATTTAATTTCTGACACCAGCTGGAGTTTCAAAACAATGTTTGTTTCCCGTGTTAATCTTATGGAGGAATACGAAACTTTAAAGGGCCCCAGGGCCTCACTCTCTAATTATTTACCTAAAAAGAAAGTTTCCTGCACAACTTCACGTTACGCTCTTTCCAATGACACCAAAAACATGTCAATCGGTTCAGTAGTTTCGGAGGAGTAATTGTCACAAAAATCCTGCTTGCGTATTAAATAAGTATAGATAGATGATTTATAGTAACTGGAACAATATAATGTGTAACACGAGTGCAAACTGCCTTTGCTGCACTCAAGATGGCTCGTGCGTAAAGATTTCTCTCGTGGGCACTTCGCCCAATAGTTACACAAATAACTATTTAAAACCCTCATTCATGTAACACATCGCGCATATATTTTTTTAAATAAATAAATAAAATAAATAAACAATCTATATAGGCTACTGCATGTCACGTAGATAGATTGGCCGTGTGGCCGTACCATTGCAATACAACGGCGCTCCCCGTGATTTGGCTACACGCGTGTGCTGCGAGTTTATCGAAGGTGTTCTTGAAGGCGCCACCAAGGTCATTGACAAAAAACTAACTTTTTTTAAATTGTAATTCTCCAATACTGATTTGTTGAATACAAATCGTTCTTCAAACTTCATTATTGTTTGAGTTGTTTCTATTTAGGAATTTATGTAGTTGAATAACAAGTTTTTGAAACCCTTTTTTATACAGATGCTTTCCCAAATCTTTAAATGACAGAACTTAATTCTAGAATTTGATAGCCAGATTTTTTGTCTCAATAACACTGCACAGCAATAACTAATATCTTGGCAGTGGTTATCAAATTAGATAATATTTCATCTGTATGTAATGGTTTCTTCCAATTTATTTGTACTCGAGATTCAAGTGCCAATTACCATAATCAGGAGTTTGCTCAGTTTTAAATAATAATTGGTAATCCAGAGACATCTCAAACAGATCAAGGGGATGATCCCAGACTATAGTTACTTGAGAAAGCATCTGTATTGTTACAAAGTCTATGTCCAAGGAGACTTGTTAGAGCTTATAGGCAGAATGCTTCAGTTTATTGTGTACCGTCTGACAGGCTCTAAAGCATGTAGTGAGATACGCAAAAACCTCTTACGTAGCTGACTTACATCTTACGTCCGGCGTCTTCTCTGTGATCAGGCAATCAGGATTCATAAATTTTCATCTGCAGCAGGGTCTTCTTTCTTCACGTGAGAATGTGTGGTCGGACACAAATTCCCAAATGTTGTAGAAGGGCCTATCAGTAAGGTATTGCTTGAGTTTTTTGTTGAAGGTATGATTTAGTTATAGGTTTTTTAAGTCTTAAGGCAAAATATTGAAGAAAAAGGAGCCTGAATAGGTTGGGGTTTTTCAGAATTTTTGAAGTCTATGCTGCTGTGTTTGTTGCGTGCGTTGCTCTTGTCGTAGGGTTGGGAATTGTTGTCCGGCCAGGATTATGGTTTCATAGACATAGAGGTAATAGCCAGTGAGGATTTTATGCTGGGTAAAAAAGGTTTGCAGTGCTCCGAGGGCTGCAGGCGCAGTATTGTTCTCAGTGTCATTTGTCAAACCAGGATGCAGTCCATGTTCTTCACTTGAATGGATCCCCATCCCAAGGCAACGGTTCCATATCACAGATAGGAACAAAATAGTTAGTTATATGCCAGAATTGCAGTATTTTCATAAGTTATTGCTCTATGATTTGTTTACAAGGGACAGGAGTTCTGTAAACTGTTTATGCTCTAGGTATGTTACGTCAGTCATGTTGGTGACCTGCCCCTCTACCCGTGACCCCTCACCCCACTCCCCCCAGGAGGGAGGGGGGGATGTGGACCTGACCTCTCTACACTGGCTACACAACCTGGACCTGACCACAGTGACAGCTCTACCCACACCTCCGTCCTCGCCTCAACCGTCGTCCGCCAAACCCAAGAAACCTCCCACACTGAGGCTACAGCTGAGTGAGTATTGTATGTATGACGATCAACAATCAACGTATTATAAGATATCGGTTGGAATTTCTTTTGATCCTATAGTAAATACATCGCCGGTTTTAGAATACATGAGATCATGGTTGAATTGAGCTCTGACATTAATGACGGGTAAACTTGATGTAAGCCATTGCATATTTTGTGCTTCTGCTATCGTGGTATAAAACGTTAAGGGAGATTGTAGAACTTTCACAGTAGCATTCTATGAGTTTATTCAATTATGTTCTGAAAAGATGGAACGATGGAAAAGATAGAGAGTGTTCTCCAGCCGGTTCCTGGGACTGTACAATTAAATAAGTAAAATTAGTCACAGCCCTGTTTTCTGTCCGCGAGAACTCTATTTGTCTTTTTCGTTAACAATTTACAAGCCCCAGTGCGTCTGTACATGCGTTTGTGTAAATAGAAACCCCTTGACAACATCCAAGTGACCGACTATCACTATTGTAACAATGGGATTTTCTCGACAATGGTATCTACGTGAACGTGAACACGGAGCGAGCTGGTCTAGTGGTTAGAGCGCGGGACTTTGGTCCAAGACATCCCGGGTTCAAATCCCGCCAAATCACCAATGGATTTTATCCAAGTGATAATGCCGCAACCCTTAGGTCTAGCCTGAAGTAATGTGAAAAATATCCCAGGCTCTTGCCTAGCGTCCTAGGACAAAATAAAAACCGTGAACGTTAGCATGGCACAACCAGCATCAAAGCCTGGTTGTAGTTACAAGTATTTTTGAGCTAGAACGAAAAATAAAAAGTAAATAAACAAATGTATATATTTGTCTTACCAGTTAAGGGGCAAGCCACAAAAATGAGTAACTTTCAACCAAGCCAAACTGAAAAAAGCAGAATACTTTATGTTACAACTATCACCGAAAACAGCAACTAAATGTGAAATTAAAATATTTAACTGTACACTCTGAGAGTGGAGTGGCACAGTATGTTATATTTGATTAAACAATTGGCTATAGCTGGTCCTATCTACTTCAGTATCCAAAAGGCACTGTCTATATATTTAGTTCTTACTCTTCACAAGCCTTACCGGTAATTCCACCAAAACTTGACATGTGATTGTAACAGACGCTGTGACCGCAGAGGACTACAGGACCTGTGGAGATCACAAGCCTCCATTCTCATACGCCACCCTCATCTGTATGGCTATGAGAGCCAACAACAACAAGATGACTCTGTCTGCCATCTACAGCTGGATACGAGACAACTTCATGTACTACAGGAACGCCGACCCCACCTGGCAGGTCAGTCAAGTACAGTAGCCTCACAATCTGAAGGTTGCTGGTTCAACCCTGGGTAAAAGCAGGAGCTTTTAGATGGTTCAAAACTGGATCTAGATGTAATTGATCGAGCATCCTATATAAGGTGGTGGCTAAAGAAACAATGTGTCTAACTTAAGGTCAATGTTAAATAGTCACAAGACACGAGTTTGAACCATTTCCTTTAAGAAAATGTAAAACATGTCAACAGCGAAGATAGCAACAAAATAAAAATACTGAGGGAACTAGAGCTATTTCACAGGAGAATTGGTTGTCAGTTTTGTTTGTTTGTAACAACATGGGTGTTATCTGTAGTTGCAAGTAATGAAAATGTTCATAATGTAATGTACTTATTAAGTTTTACAATTAATGAACTAAAGTAACAAAATATTATGTTTCAGAACTCAATAAGGCACAACCTGTCACTAAACAAGTGTTTCGTCAAGATACCAAGGTCGAAGGATGAGCCGGGGAAAGGTGGATTCTGGAAACTTGATATAGAGAGGCTTGAAGAGGGACAGAGGAATAAACGGCGACTTGGTGAGTAACAAAAACAACATATAGAGAACAACGGAACTGGAAACACTCTGTAGTGTTCCATTAACATAACTCACTGTAGAGTGTTTTATCACTAACAAAACTATTGAATGAAGGTAAAGTATCAATTTTATGAAAGTCCAATGTTTGAAAATGTCCTGTATTGCTGAGGCAAGTATGAGTGTATTTGAGCCATTGACTTCTCTATTCTAAAATAGGCATTCCATCTATTACCAGAAATTTTTTTATTAAATTTAACATAGTTTGATCAACCATTCTCTTTATCTCTTGGTTTAGTAGGATAGTTGCTGTGACATTAGCGATTTTATTGTTTACAATAAGCAATAAGATTTCTTATTGGATGTATTCGATAGTAGTTAACATAAGCGGCCTCTGTCGGTGGCTCAAGAGTCAACTATTTTTATCTGCAAATAGTTTTGCTACAGGATATTGTAACCTAACAGAGTGACTCTAAACAAATCAATTCAACGGTAATTCACATGGGATACAGTTTTGAATGTTTTTGAAACTTTGGGAGACTGTGACCTTACAAATGACTCACAAACCTCATTGCCTTAACTATTACAAGTAAATATTATAAGAAAATTAATTTGGATTTTACCTTTAATGAAACTAGATATTCCATTCCCATACTATATTCACAGCCAGAGTCGTAATGAAAATAAACATAGAACTGCGTTACCAATGGAATTTGCTGATACATTCATTTCAACTATCACATAACAAAGAAGGAAAAGGAGCTTTATAATGTAACCTAACACACTAGTATATCATTAGAAGAGACTTAAGCCGGGTCCTCTCTTAGGTGAGAAGGTGTGCGGACAAAATGTTACATGTGAGAATGAGAACAGGCGTCTGACATTGTGTATGTACATCCTCTGCGTGTCTCACAATCACTGGAAATCATAATTTTTCTCTGTGATCACTACAAAAAGTGAATTTTTCAATTGCATTCTGCAATCACAAAATTATAAGCTCTGCTCGACTCTGCGTATATTGAGTGAAATACCCCGAATTTTGGTTAAAATCTAATTATTTAAATTTTTAACTATCCAAATACTGTACGGCCCTTATTGATTCTGATAATTAGAGTTTTACTGTACTTAGTGCCATTTTTGCATCTCTAAATCACATCAATGACTGGAAAGTAGTGTCTGAGCTTCTCATACAGTAGACTCCCTCCTATTCGGACACCTTTTAACCGGACTTCAGTTTAACAGGACTACTCTGCGGAAATTACATTTCTTTAACCGGACAATTTTTATCAGCACATTGGCTCAACAAAATTAGATCGGCAGGAAGTGGGCGGTACTGAAACAACTGGAAAAATTTGAGACCAGTGATCACGTGCCTAAATACAATGCTCTCCTAAATTTAAGTTGAATATCACAGTAAACGGTCCGTTTTAATGAGTTTTTGAGGACGTCGGTTTAACCGGAAAAAAATGTTATCTGGACTGGCCTGAGTCCCGAGGAGTCCGGATAAGAGGGAGTTTATTGTAGTTATATCTGTGGGTTATGATGCTGGACGGAATTGGTGGGGGGAATTGTAAGGTTTGTGTGGTTTAATGAGGTTGTTATTGAATAATATGATTCATTCAACTATGTTCCTTCCTAATAAAAGTTGAGTAAAACCAAACAGATGAACACCAGTTGGCATGTTAACTTCTGTTTCTAAAATTAGTTTTATAACTTGTTTTAACAAACAATATGTATTTTAATTTCTTACATCATGTTGCAGGGAGTTCCGGACTGACAAACCGTCGACGTAATCGGTCCCGTCGCAAGCCTGCTCTGCCTGCTGCTCCCCCCTCCCCTCTAGTGCCAGACGCCTCTCCTCCCTCACAGGACACCCCTCTCCCCTCACTATTGGTCGGGGAGTCCGCTATAGAGGAGGAACTGGCCAACCTTCTACTGGGCAATGTGGGATGGGACGACTCTCAGCTAGAATTACTCCACTCTCTGCTCGACTCTTTGTAAACACGGGGCGAGACAGTCTATCCTGCAGTTACTGATGTTTTTAGGCGATAGGAAACTATTTCTTATGTCCATCTTCTTTTTTTTAGAAAAAAGTCTTTTAGTCAATGCTAAGTGGAACTTTAAATTTGAATTATATGTTCAGCTGCCAATCAAGTTATACAGGTGTGCTTCAATTTACTGTTGTATTTATCATTGGGTTTGGTCAAAATCGAGAATGGAAAACTTGCTAATGTCTATAGTTGAGTAACTGAAACCTACTAAAGTTAACCTTGGGTTAACCGGGGGAGCGAGCTGGTCTAGTGGTTAGAGCGCGGGACTTCGGTTCCAGAGGTCCCGGGATCAAATCCCGCCAAATCACACATGGATTTTATCTATGTGATAATGCCGCAAACCCTAGGTCTAGCCTAAAGTATTGTGAAAAACAATTCCGGGCTCGTGCCTAGCGTCCTAGCACAAATAAAGAAAAGCTTTGGGTTTTTCTAGTTCTTTTTCAATACTTGCTTTCCTAAAATTACAACTGTACATAGACGGACAGAATCAAGAACAGACTAGGATAAGAATGGAAAGTCAGTAAGTCTTTTAAATATAAATGAAGGGACTACAATTTTAAGACGTTATGAATAATTTCTCAATGAAATATTACTAAAAACTAAAGAGGAAAATTGATTTTTAACAGGAATTTTTCATCGTTAAACCTACTGCAGGATGGACTTGATTTTAGAACATAATCTGTAATATAAAACTGAGATATTAAACGCAATACAGGATTTAACCATTTGGTTGTGACCTAGCAATATGTTTATGTTGGTAACACTGTTTGTATCACATAGGGTAGATTGGCATCACTGAAACCAGCTGATGAGGCTCTATCAGCTGGTTCTACCTCCATTGCCATTAATGTACATTGTGTAAATAATGTTTTTAAGTGCTCTCTATCGCTAAGGGTTACTTTCAATCTTTGAATTATTTTTTTGAGTTATTTATAAAATTGACCCTCAGTCAAAATTTTAAGTTATGAGTGGATGTGCCTTTAAAAAGTGCTTTTAAATTAATTTGATGGTAATGAGCATAAGGTAATGTCTTCAATATAGATCACCTCGAGATATCTCCTTCACAGAACATAAGTAAGGGAAAAGTTTGTAATAGTTTACAGTTTGATTTAAACTATGTTGTGCGTGAACTATTTAACAAAATCTATACTTATTTAATACGCAAGCATGTTTTTTGTGACAATTACTCCTCCGAAACTACTGAACCGATTGACATGTTTTTGGTGTCATTGGAAAGAGCGTAACGTGAAGTTGTGCAGGAAACTTTCTTTTTAGGGAAATAATTAGAGGGTGAGGCCCTGCAGCCCTTTAAAGTTTCGTATTTATCCATAAGGATATCATGGGAGATAATTTTTATTTACAGAAACATATGTTTTTTACTTGAACATATAGTCAAAGTCTACTACATAATAATTGGTGTGTATTATGACTGTTAATGTATACTAAATTTCAATCAAGCATTGTATACCTTAAAAGTTTACTCATAATGGATCTTACTACTTTATATTAATACTGGGAATGGTAAGATTTAGTTAAGAATAAGTTACCAAGATTTAGAAAACTTTACTATAATAATTTATGTATTTAAAATCACAAAGCTTTGACATTATTAATTCATTACAAACAAAACAGCTGATTGACAAATCAAACAAATCATCTTATTCATGTGAGTAATGTTGTTACACAAACATAGGTTACACTGTTACACAACCAATAACTTGATTCTTTTTTACTTGTGGGTGTATTTTGAATTTGCAGTTATGAAAGCACCAAGCCAAGTAAATTAAGCACTTTAATTAAAGATTAGCACTGTTCTTACCCAGACCAATTTCGTTCATGGGCAACTATATTTTAATAGGTTACACATATTCATTATGAGAAATTTTGAGGGTAATCTTCCTGAAGGTAACTTTAAGACTAAAATCGTAGTATTCATGGAAGTGCTTTTGTAGCCTACACCTTATTGTCTACAAATTGGTACATTATAAAAGCTGACAGCTTTTTTACGTTGACTTAAATTGTAAGCTTGCCCTTCCCCGTACATGGGCAGTTTGATAGTTAAAATTTAATCCTTTAAACTGCAATAGGACTGTTATGTAAATTGTGAGTATTTCCATTAGTTAATAATCTTTTAGTCGACTCTTTTAAAATCATCGAAAATGATGAATGTTATTAGTTTTTAAACGTTTATAAATAACTCCTGTATTGCTTTGCAATTGCTCGATTTCGAGCAACATGTACACTAGTTGTATTAAAAGCTAAATATGATACACAATATGATTAATCAGTAAAATAAATTGAAGAGCATTGTCTTACAATGAAATATTCAAAATTTGCTTAGCTTACATTATTTAAAAGTGTACCAGGTTAACAACATAGTTTTATGTATCGTTTCAAGCACAAAAAAGTTATACTTTTTAACATTAACTCTTCAATACAGTTATTAATTAATTTATTATATAATGTTTCGTTTAATAAGTATTTATTATTTGTGTGAAGAATGATTCCGTCCAGGTTTCAACTAATGTGACTCTCTTCCGTCCAACATCTAGTCTTAATTTGTTAATGTTTGTGTGTGTTAATGTTAGATTAGCTTACATCAAGGTTTGGTTTTGGTATGACATTTGGTTGCTGGACTGTCGAATTCCCTCGAAAATGTGTGTAATGTGTAGTATTCTTTCCAAAGCTTAAGAAACACTCCTCTAGAGCAGAAATGGAAATAATAAACACACTAAAATATAAAATCACTTTTGACGTTAAAATTACCTTTTGAATAAACTATTTGCATGAAATGTAAATAAATATGATGGATACAGTACTATGAATTCATTGTTTACAATTAATATTAATTAATGAATTTACAATGAACCAATCAACGTATCTCAAAACTGTAATATTTATACCCTAATGAGATGGCATCTTAGTCACATTAGCAAAAACTTAAGAAGTCAGCTGTGGCAGTGATTTCGTCTCCTTTCTGTATCCTAAGTCAATGCCAAAACCATACGAAACCGTCCAATAACATTAAGTGTGATAAATGTAAGTTATAAGATGGGGTTGTGAGTATGTTAGTGTAAACCAAAGCAATTAATGATAATTACTTAGTAGTCAATAAAGTAACTATGATTTTGTTAGTGTCTTACATGACAATATAAGCTTATCAAGTAAACAAGAGCAATATTTGATTACCGAATTAACTGTGTTTGAAGAAATAAAAAGTTGCAGTATGTGTTTATTAATCTATTTTTGACAATTCCCCATATGTAAACAGATCAATTCCTGTCTCTTGTTAATAGTTATACGGTAGAATTTCCATAATTCACCACGGAACCAGGAGGGTTACCTAAGATGTCATTGTGAATGACTCAGAAATTATCCTATTAGCAAAGAGAACATTAATGATGCTTATTATATGCTTTATGACCATCTCAGTTCAATTTGATTACGCTAGTCATTCCTAGTACAAAACACAAATAATTCCAGAACTGTACAGATCAGATAATAACTCGTCTAGCGAAGAGTGAGATTACTGAGTTTGTCGGACAATCAAGAGTTGAATACTAAAACCAAGTACTAAAATAAATTAAATTTATGTTGTTCCACAGATTAATTTTAATATTGACAAGAATACCAAACAAAGCTTTTATACACAGTTTACTACCAGTACTCAAAACTGATTAAAAGAAACAAACAAAAGTTCAAACCTTTCAAGCTGGGGTCTCAAGTCATGTTAACAGGTCCGATCCCACTTTTTTTACAGTCCTGCAACACCTGCCTTGAAGCATGTACAGTTTCTAACATTTAAATACACAAGAGACCTTTTGGTTTATTTTCTGTTTGGATGATTTTCATTTCATTGTCTTGGTGGTATGTGACTCGTATTGGAGGTAAGTAACATTGCTCAAATATATATGTTAGACGTAAATGATTTATATAATGTACTTAAAACCTTAAGAAGCATGGATGCTGGTACTACAGTTCAGTAAGTGCAATATCCAAGATAACCAAAAGAAAGTTTTGTGGTTTAATATCTCTATTTAAACCTATCATTAAAATCAAATTTCCTTATATGTTGAGCCCACCAACAGTTTAAATTCCACCGATAATACAAATGCCATCCTGGCTTCCCTGCATTCAATACTATACTGTCTCTGAGGCATTGCACCTGTCACCACTGGGATAATAGGGAAATAAAAACAAAAAACTGTCAACATCATAGCTGTCATTTATGATATAAAATATGTTAGATCGCAGAAACCTGTACAATTATACATAACCGCATCACAATTTACACTGTATATACAAAATGTACATTTACCCTCGTTTTAAAGACGCAAGAACACGACAAAGCTGATGATGTCCATTGACTGAGTACTTGAGTAGACGTTTCGGTGCTTTTGTAAAAATTGTTTCTGTTTGAACCCAAATGTTTGATCACAGCGGCACCGTTGGTAAGTGAAGGTCTGCTCCAGTATTGCAGTCAATGGCATCCCGGTTCAGTGTGAGATCCAACTTAGAGGCATTTCACTGAGGAATTACATCTCTCGATAAGACAATGACAATATCGCTTAGTGCTAAAATATAACCAAAACTAAGAGAAATTCTCCTACTATTGTGCATAAATCCATTTCCTACCTACCTACTATAAATTATATTCTGTGATTTGCAAGTGGGGGGTTTTAGGCTACAGTTATTGTGCCGGTCTTAGTAAGACACCGATTAACATCCGATTCTAAAAAAAGGTGTAAACTTGTCTCAATGGATATTGTCAGAAAAATATTCCTAACAAAGTAAATTTTGGCCTTACACCTTAACCAAAGCAGGGTTTCAAATCAAGCCAGTTCTTGACCCTGGAGTGTTATTACTTTTACATTGATCACTCAAACATAAAGATTTATTTATTGAAAATCCTTAGATGCTGTTCTTAGTTACTGCATGTATAGCATAACGTTATCATAATCTTTTAAAATTTGATGAAAAGGCTTGGTGATTCTGTTTGAGTACCGGTATCTAAGTTGTTGTAAGATTGGTCTGCTTTTAAACGCTTTCATAACTAAGATTTTCAGGCATTTGAAGAAGTTACCATAGATGTGCTATTATTTCAAACATCAACAACAATATTAAAATTTTAAGTTTGAATATCATTCTAAGGTTTGGTCCTTGCTTTGATTCAAACATTTCCACAACATTGAGCAATCACTTTAAACATTATTCGTTCTTTCAATTTTTTTTTAAAGATGAAAAAAATGAATAAATGATAATATATTTTTTATTCCTCTATGAAAATCCTCAATGAAAAGCCACCAACTTGACTCTAGCACTATCGCACCGGCGACCGTAGGAACGCCAGACAGCTGGCAGTCAGTTTCTTGACGAGGGTCCGTGCGCGCCCTCAAGGATGGTCCATGGTGAAGATGGTGGCCCCCATAGTGTCCATCACTCGTGTTACGTAAGCCGCCACATCCACTGAGCTTGCACTGCTCTGTCGGATGAAGGGGTGTTCCAGCAGCTTGTCGTACTTAGGCCTCTTCATCTCCTCCTTGATCAGACACGTGTTGACGAATGAGACAAACTCCGGGGTGAACGAGTTGCCATATTCCACCTCGGTGAGTCGTGGAGGGTCGCCTTGAACAACTAGATACAGCTGTTCAAAAACTGAGTTCCATCTTGGGTAGGGGAACCTCCCCGTTGCGACCTCCATCAACGTGATTCCCAGCGACCAAACGTCAGAGCGAACATCGTAACCTTTCGCCCGCTGTGGATCGATGCGCTCGGGCGCCATGTAAGGACGACAGCCCGCGTCTCTGGTCCGGGCAATGGAGTCGACCAGTTGGCCGGAGATACCAAAGTCGCACAACTTTATGTTGCCCCGTCGGTCCAGTAGGATATTGCTAGGCTTCACGTCACGATGGATGATTTTGAGTTTTTCCTTGAGGTAGTTGAGCGCTGTAACCGTAGCGACAGTGATTTTTCCGAGCACACTTTCAGGTATACTTTGGTCGAGGACTTCGTAAACGTGTTTGTAAAGTTTGTCGAGGCTTGTGTCCATCAATTCCATGCATATCCAACAGTCTCCTGAACAAACGAAGCGATTAAATGCAACTCTTGAGAGGAGGACTGAGGAGAGTATGAAGGAGATAAAGATAACATCTTAGAGTAAGGTTTAGAAATACAGAAGCTGAAGATGTTGGATCAAAACACATACTTTGAAAATAGTTCATACAGGATAGTCAAGGATTAAGACAAAAGAGAGATGATAAAATAACACAGTAGGGTCTAGTATATGTAAGTGTTTAAGGAGACCAGTTGAACCGAAGAGGAATTGAGATTAAAACCTGAGAGCTTTAAAGAAACAACCAGTAAGTAAAAGTAGGCACAGGGAAAAGTGAGGAATTGTTTAGGGTATCGACATAGATGGGGATTATATCAATTTCAACATTTTGCAACTTAAAATACACCAAAGAATATCTTTGAAAAAACAATGTTCAATAAATAAATCAGAGAAAAAACATAAACAATTTAAAGCTTTTTCCTAGTATGCCTTATTCACTAGGTCTGATAACTGAACTGAATCTACCAAAGCTCAATTCAAAATACAGGTTTTTTTTTAACCTAACCCACAGAGATACATAGACAACCCCCCCCCCCCTACCCTTTTTACAGATACAGAGATTCATTGTTTAAGGACAAAAAAAGGTCTTACGTTGGCATTGGCAGCCATGTGATTTGGGTTGCATAAGAACAAACTAAAAAAAAAAAAAACACCCTGTATAAAATAGCTAAGTCTTGTAACTTTTTAGGCTACTACTGTACTAACTCTCGTATATATGCATTAATAAGCGTTTCTACCTTATTTTAAATTAAATAATAACAAACAAAATCAAATATACTAGCAATTCAACAACAATGTTGATTGTTTATGCCCCTGTACAGGAATGAGATATAAATTCTCAGTAGGCCTACTTACCTTGCAAGTCTTACGAAATAGAATAAATTCATAATCATTGATTAGGGCTTACTTTTTAAATCTTAGTTTGTGATAAACATGAATTTTACAACCTTTCTGACAATACTTGGCAATAGAATACCATTTATAAATTAAACAAAAAGTTTGAGAATATGGTAAAAAAAAACCTTCCAAAAATGGTTAAAACTGTAAATTTCTTGACCAAACAGTCTGTGTAGATAAGTTTACATCTATGCTAAGTAGTTACCAGTTGGATATACTGTATACTGTTTAAAACAATACATAAGGCAAGTCTCTAATCAAGTCTCAAACCTATAAATGGAATAAGTCATGATCTTAAGTTTAAATAATTTATTTTTTGCTGAAACTTTTCAAGACGGAAGCTATTCACACGTAACTTACCTTCTTTAAAGAGAGCTCCATAGAACTGCACGATACAAGAACACTCGTTGCTCTTCATAACCACCTCCAGGTCCATCAACAGCTGTTTCTGTTCCTTCTCATCCACTGTAGAACGTATCCTCTAAAGCATACAAAAGAACATTATTTAATGACACTGTCCAACTATCACCAACATCACCAACTATGTAAAAGTAGAAATTCCATTCTTAGATCAGCTGAAGCCAATTTTTATCTGTCCCTTGCCTGTAGGGTAGTATTTTTGTTTACAATTTGTTTCTTGGTATTTCAGTTATTTTAAAACTAGTTTAACCAAAAATACCCCCGCCGCAGCAAACCTGCCGACTAAGCGAATTTCCATTTGTCTGAATTGATTTTCAGTTAAATATATTTTAATAACATTAGGTTTAACAAGTACCTAGGTTTGCTGATACAAGGAAACTAATAAAGTGTGTTTTTGAGTAAAATATTGATAGCTTAGTACAAAATAAATAAATTTGCCAAGTTTTATCAAAATATATCCATAAACAAGCAAACCACATATATTCTCCATAAGAATAACATGGGAATTTTAAATTTACAATTTTTTTAATTGTTTCCGTTACTAATAATCGAACAAAAATACTTTTATATACTAAATTATTTGTTTTTTTAAGCTCTTTAAAAAGGTCTAAAGAGAAATCGGGAAATTTTGTGTTTTGAGGGTCAAAATTTTTACCCCATAAAACCCCCCGTAAAGCCCCGTTCCCATGGTCCGATCGTGCTGGTTCGCGAACTCATTCAAGTTTATCCCGCTTTACACCTTCAAACCAAATTTCATCAAAATCGGACAAAAATTACTCAAGTTATCGCGTTCACGGACGAATATATATATATACATATATAAAAATTTGAACGAATGGTGTTTTTGACCTCTGGGGACATCAAAATGACAAAAGTAAATCGGTCCCGGGTCTAGGTCTCACCGTGCCACCTACGGTAATAGCTACTTCCCTATAGGGAAATTCGCTAAAATGATCTAATTATAAACAATAGACCTCAGGTTTTATAACCAAACAGTAAAACACATATCTAAATATATAAAAGGCAAAGCCCTCACTGACTCACTCACTCATCACTAATTCTCCCACTTCCCATTTACCTAGGAGGCTGAAATTCATTCAGTACACCGATTCTTTGGACATTAAATAGGAAAACTAAGTAGTTTTTATTCTGATCGGGCTCCGCCCCAATGGCTCTGGATTTTCACATGTTAACCTTAGGATTTTTCATATTTAAAAGGAGTTAATGAATCTTAACAGCTGTATCAATTAATCAAGTTGGTTCTGTTCTATGATGTTCAATAGCATTAAAGTTACAAGGATTACCAACAGGGTTCAGCACTATTATTTTTTTTATTTATGAAAACAGCTAATTTGCAACCAAAAGGTGAGTGAGCGTAGCGAACGAACTTCTACCAGGACAAGATTGAGCCAAGCGAACGAGCTCACTTATGAAGTTAAACGGGGCGAAGCCCACGGGTACAGCTAGTCAATGTATAAAGCCAAAAGTACCCATGGACTTTTGAGAAAACTACAAGGAACACCCTCATAAACCATATACTTAAAATGTTCGTCATGACGAGAAACCTGGCGCAAAACTATCCATTATTTTAAATTGCCCTATAAGGTCGTAATTGCTTTCCAAAGGGAACTTTTCAAATACCTAATGTTAAAAATAACTCAGCTGTATTAATTTGTATGTTATTCTTTCAATTTATTACCTTATTAAAATCAGGTGAGATTATTTGTTTGTATTACTGTATTTTGTTTTGTTTATTTCAGCTTAACCTAACCAATCAACAGTTTTAAGTTATTAATACTTATGAAGTCAAACGGGGTGAAGCCCGTGGGTAACAACTAGTCATGATATAATTCCAAAACTAAGTTAGCTCAGTTGGTTCAGTTGCTTCGGCAAATGGCTACAGCTGGTCCATAATTGGAATGTCTAATTCAGTACAGAAAAGTCAATGATTTAAAACAGAGAGTTTTTAACACAATCATCTACCAGTTTTTAGGATGGTCTGCTTGGAATAGCAACATCTTACACATCTTGGAATGGCACTTATTTGTTTGGTAAAAAATTATAAATCGATAACTTTGTCAAATAATTCAGAAACAATGAATAAATCATTTTAAAAGTGATTGATATGGCAAAAATTTTCCAGTATGATTTCAAAGGACAAAGTTTGAAGTGATAAGGTTATCCTCAAGTTGATAATCAGTTGACTTTATTTTCCAGGATATTTATTTTAAGGCGTTATCAAAACAAACAAGACAACACTTGCAGATTAAAAGCCTGTTTGTGTTGATAAAATAATGCTATCAACTTTGATAAAGCGTCAACCCCATTAGAAATGCTAAATCTCGGAATTTGTCGTTGATCAACATACCTTCACCGCCATCACCGTGTCACTCTTCCGATGCACCATTTTGTTGACAGTTCCAAAAGCGCCTCTCCCAATCTCCCCCTCATCCAACAGATCTTCTGACGTAAAGTCATAAATCTGTTTAAACAATAATTTCTTTAATCATTTTTTAAATTGTTCACTATTAGATTAAAATGTATCCAACATTATTTTAGGTATATTGATATTGAAGTGACTGAAAAAATTATACCGTGGTTAAAATATTTATAAATTTAATTTGGTAAGAATTGCATTGAGGCTAAGGAGTTCTACAGATGAAAATGTGAGTTCTGATGATCACTTGAGAAATTATGATTCACAAATCAAGTTTCTAGTCAGTTAAATTTTAGACTAATTTTAAGAAGAACATACGAAACATAATAAGAAATTGAATAGAAAACGATATATTTTTAGTATCCTTTTTCTGGAAAGTAAGAAGAAGTTATTTCCTTTTTCTGGACACACATATTATTAGAGGTTGATGTAAAAGATCCCTACATAACCTGAATTGTTTTATTGATCTAAGGACAAGTCAACACTTCCATCCCTAATTGTTTATTATTTTTTAATGACATTTCACTTTACACATTGAACTTACAGAGTTTGGAGGAATTTGCAGTTTTCCAGTTGACTGACACATACTCTGACACATCTTCAGCCTTTCTCTGTAAACAAATTCACATTGTTGAAACATAACATTATAAATGGACACACCAAACAAATCTGCACGCTTTTAAACATCCTCAACAGCTGTTTGCACATTAACTGAGAAACTTGTAATTTTTCTAGAGATCATGCTGATGATGAATTAGTGTTGATATTGTTCGGCCCAAAAGATGTACCTGACCTAAATAATGTATGGTGACATTAAGTTATGAACAAACTAAATTAAAATGTTTATCAATAACTTGAGGTCCGCATGGCAATAGTTTTGTGACTAAAGTCGGCCCAAGGGATTGGTTTGGAGTGGATATTATTTTCAGGCCAAGCTCGGATTGGATCCCTTATGTTAGAGGTAAGTTTTGCAAGCTTTCATTTTTGTGATGAAGCGTGTGCGAAGATGTGTGGTTGCTTATCCTATGTAGGGGAATTTTACTGAAACTCCAATCAATAAGGTTATGCCATTTGTCTCACTTGAATCCAAAACTTCAAACAAAGCAGGTTTAATTCCAAGGAACAACCTTAAATTTTTTTAGTAGTGTAATGGTAGGACGCTTTGGGGAAAATTTTAATTCAATAAAAATTTTAAAATTCATATTGTAAATGATTTTCAATCAATCAAACAATTGTAGAAGTATCAGTTACAGCAGTTGGTTGAGTAAAGTAGATTGCTGAGTGTAAGCAGTTTTGTGCTGCTTCTTGCATTCAGTAGGTTCAATACCCAACAAATTGCTGATTATGGCCTTACCCTCTCTCTTTGCAGCCAAATTGAAAATACCATCGGTGGCAGACCTTTCACCAATAGCCCACTCCTCCTTAAGAACCAGCGCCGGCTGGCCAAGGTAAGGCCGTTATCCTCTTTTAATATTTTTGGACTTAGAGCACAGATAGTTTTGAAATACTTATAAAGTCACTTAAAACTTTTCATATTAAATTCATAAATTTCATTACATACATTTATTTTAAAACAATATATATATATTTACCAATTTCTATTTCCTTTTTGGTTGAATAGTTATTTTGAGAATAATAACATAAACAATTATATTTGATTGAAAATCATTATTTTGTCATTTAGTATTTGCCATTCATTGTTCTTGATATAACATTTATATTCTATTTTTCCCTGTATCTCTGTAATTATAAATACTACTTGTGTTGACAATATAATATAGCATTTTGTATAATCGAATCTCGAGTACCTTTCTTTGTGCTCACTGCCAAGCGAGCTCACCCCCCACAATATATTATATAATAATAAACATCATTTAAAAGAAGTAACACCTAAAAACCAACCGTTACAGTAGAAACACTGAAACAGATTGACAAGTTATTTTGCAATAAGATTAATGACCAGACAATAATAAGCCTTCTCGCCTTACTATCATGCTTTTCCCTTAAGTTTGATTCATTAGCCAAGAACACAATTTCACTGGTTGATAACAAATTGCACAGACTAACTCATCACGCATTAACATAAAACGTGTGTTTAATAGTGTTCACAATGTCTGTTGGTGGGAGCAAAATGGTTAGTGATGATGACAGATATATACAACACAACAGGCCCACAATCTGACTAACTATCCTGAAAACACACTTGTGTTATTGAAACAAAATTCAAACGCAACCAATGAAACTGACCTCAATCTCATCTTCTCATATGACCTGCCACTGTAATACATAACAGATATGTTATCATGTACTATTGGTAAGAATTTAAAAAAAACAAATCTATATTCCTTAAAACGAACAATATTTTTTATTTATACAATAATTATGCCTACTAGTTCTTTACAATATTTTTTCAAAGTATTTTGTTAGAATAGCAGATAAACCTCTTTCTCATTCATGTAAGCACGCTATACTAACAAAAATCCTTAAAACATCCTTAACTTTATTGCCAATAAATCATTATTTAAAAATATGAAGGATAGCGGAGCTTACTAAGTAAAGAAGTGTCTCTTCTGTTCGGCCTACCAACAATTCTTCAAGGTAAGCTAGCTACTATTCTTCTTATTCTACAATTCAAAGACCTGGCCTAGAGCCTTTCCTTGAACAAAACTCAACTAACAATTATTAGAAATGTTTATAATTATTTGTTTGAAATTGATCATATTACGTCACTAAAGATAGAACAACAGAACTCTAAGCAACTGACCGTGACTTTTCAAACAGATGATCCTGGGAAGGTGGCTTGACCTTGGGTATGCCATGCTTGGCCCTCGGACTGCTCAGCACCCGATCGTCTGGTATCGGCAAAGCTGTGGGCCTCGGTCTGCAATTGAAACTAATAATCAGCAATCACACTGATAAAAAATGTTGTAACAAGGCTCTCTGTGATGAGCATAATGTCTTAATGATTTAAAGTATTTACACTCGTAATTGACATATAAAAGGAAAGATTTTTGGAATTTTTCAGTGAAAATTTATAATTGCTTTTAAATCTGGGATTACATTTAATTTGCGATTTTCATGGGACAGCATTTGTTCCAACTGTAAGTAATTCTGGGGCGTTGTGAGTGGAGAAGATTCTACCACAATCTCCACGATTGCGGGATATGTTTACGGTATGGCGGGTGACAATGATGTTAAATCCGCAAAAATCGTGGGGATGTTCACGACGATTCCCCAGATCCAGGAGACGATTATGATGTTTCTGTGACTGTGGTAGATATTCACGATTAGCCTATGCCATGATCGCAGGAGATGTTCACACTTACCGCGATCGCAAAGTCCATAAGGTTAAACTATTGCGGCAAACAATGATGGTCATGGGAGATATTAATGATTTCATCACACTATTTTGGCGAATTATGTAATATGATTGAATCATAGATATTTTTATTGTTGAAAAAATTACCATATGCAAGGTTTTGAAATGAATCATATCAAGTTGGAAATGTGCCTTTTGCAGGAGATTTGAGAAAACCACTTTCATGTGTGTACATTTCGCTTAGTGAAAACATCACAGATACTGTACATCTGCAACTGTTTAGGGCCTTTGAGGGTCGTAAAAAAACCACAAGAAATCATCGATCTATTTTGCAAGCGCAATTCAACAGAAGGATAATTTATTTATTTATTTAAGTATAACTTTAAGTGGAAGGAGATACTACAGTGGGAATATTATTTTTGTGAAAATGATTTTGTAGGCTGTTCCAGAGAGAGTAGTTCGAAGCTCCTGGTAAAAGGGTTAATTTTGTAGATGAAGAAGTTCTTCCTTCGTTGGCAAATTAATGCGAAAGATCGTTTAGTCCGTGGCAAAGTCACGGCTTCATAGTAGTAATAAAACACAGAATATTGTCGGGCAAAGCCGACGGGTAACAGCTAGTAAGGACTTAATCTGATATGTTTAAGGAAATATTTCAGTAATATCCTATCAGACAAATGGATTTTTGATTAGTCTGCAGGATTGCTATTGCGGGGGTATCATTTTTGTTATAGATTAGACGGTAAGATTACTCACAGTGGTTTGAAGGTTGGAATATTATCACCAAAATTCAGCCCAGATGCTGCCATCTGTGCATTCATCTTCTTCAGCCTTCTTCTTTCAGCTGAGGAAATAAAAAGTAAAATTTACTACAAATATCTTATATCTTGCAATGGTCTATGTATAGCCAATAAGTATGTATTGCCTACTATTCCTTAGTTGAGTATTTTAGAATGTCCAAGTTTTAAGTTACATCGATAACAATTCAGAACAAGTGTTTTTAACGTAGAATGCAAGTTAGAACCAATGAGTTTGATGAATGTTTGTTTGAATTTAAAAACCAATACTGAGGGTATTTTGTTGAATGGGTAACTATCTTTACTTGCTAAAGAACTTAATCTGCCTCTTCCAGATAACAATGATAAGATAGGCTCTAGATTTTTATATGACAAAAATTTTGTTAAACAAACATTTACAAGTTCATCAAAAGTACTTAACCCTAGCAGTGGCCAACCATCGTCTGGTGACGGTATGACGTTGATGCTTAGAATGGCCAATGTCGTCTGGTGACGGTATGGGCCGAAATTTTTTTAACGGTAAAAAAAACACTTACAATCAACTCAGATGAGAATAATATATATACCATTCGAAAGATCACATTCTGAACTTTCATTTGATTACATAAAACAAACCCTGTAGCAGGTATATAACAATGTCACGACGATTAGAAATCAAATGAAATTTTGGCGCGGTACGACTTTTGCAGCCGACACTTGGGAACTGGCAAAACATGTCTTGTTTGGCATTACCCTGCTCGGGTAATTTTCGTCTTGGGATGTTGCGGGTGGTACCACTGGATAGCCATTGATTTTATCTTCATTGTGGTAGTGATATTTATAACTAAATATTGATTGCACAATCGGTACGATTTTATGAAAACAGCTGTTTTCGAAATTTCTAACAAATGGCCAACAGTCGTCTGGTGACAGTATGGAAAATACAAATTATATACAGTGAAAGTTATTATTACTAGTCATATAGTATATCATTTTGAAGAGGAAGAAATTTTGATTCAGAGAGTGGCAGCCCTGCACTCAGGGTTATTTCTGTATGCTGGCATGTAGACGATGGAAGTGAGTCATTACTGCTACAGTCTGTCAGCTGTCTTGTATTGCCATTGTTTGTTTGTGTTGTTGCCGGTAATAGTTTTATCCGCGATTTATTACTAAATATGTTATTAGTTCGTAGTGTTAGTGTTAGTGAAGTGTTGTGTGTGTGTATAACAGTAATCTTCATGCATAAATATTACTGAATTGTGTGAAATAGTGTTCATAAAAGGTTGTATTTTGTTAGCATCATGTCCTAAAATGACGATTCTGACATTCAGAGATTGTTGTACCTATATAATGATATACCCAAGGTGTTATACATTTTTATAAAGGTAAATGAATACACTACAACATGTTTATAATGGTTTGGGGGTAAACAATTTTGTAAAAAAGTTATAGCCTATACTAAATAGGCCTACTACTGTATTTTGTTAGCATCATGTCCTAAAATGACGTTTCTGACATTCAGAGATTGTTGTACCTATACAGTATAATGATATACCCAAGGTGTTATACATTTTTATAAAGGTAAATAAATACACTACAACATGTTTATATTGGTTTGGGTGTAAAAAATTTGGTAAAAAAATTATATAGGCTAGGCTACTAAATACTGTACACTCCATTTTCTCGAAATACGCAAAAAATTCAAAACGTTCTCAAATTGATACATAGCCTAATCATAGGTGAAAATAACTTTTTACCATCATACTTATGACTTTTTTGGATTCCTTATTTCATTAGCTTTACAAATATGTAGGCTACATATCATCAGCCTACATAATGTTTCACAACACAAGCAAACACTATAGGCTATAGTTTACACTTATTTGCGGTTTTGCGGTTATTGTATTATTATGTCCCTATTACGTACCTACAAAAAAATATTTCTAACATGTTATACATTTTTATGTAGATAATTGAATACACTACAAGATTATTATGTTGGTTTGAAGTAAAAAAATATGGTACAAAAGTTGTATACTAAGTACTGTGAATTTTTTTTCTCGAGAAATCGCTAAAATATAAAAACATTATTTTATATACGTATGTTTATAGGTAAAAAGTTATTTTTATCATAAACTTTATGACTTTTTTGATTCCTTACTTCATTAGCTTTACAAACATGTATATATCATTATTAGTATACACATATATTATAGAACTTTTTACAACATAAACTAACACTGTACGGTTTTCAATTTTTTCGGTTCTCCGTTTGTCATTATATTTCGCCCCAAAAACTTATAAAAAAAAATATTTTCTTAACATGTTATATATTTCTATGTAGGGAATTAGATTGTCTACAAAATGTATATAATGAATTTCCCATAAAAAAATCCGTAGAAAAAAAATACTAAGGCCGCTTTTGAAATTTCAAAAAAAAAATTCAATTTTTTTTTATTTTTTTCACTTTACCGTTAAAATACACTATCTAAATCATTATGATATTACTATTTCTAGATTCTCCTGTTCTTTCCGAACAAAATGAATATGAGGTTGGCTAGGTTTACTTGTACGGTTGAATTTTTACGAATTTTCAAAAAAAGGTCTGCAAAATCGCCAAAATGGGTTGGCCATTCCCCACTTCTAACATTGGCCACTCCTAGGGTTAATTGATACCTTTTTATTGATATCTCAACTGAACATCAATAGCTGGACCCTTTGCCAATTTACAATCGTCTTAAATTACGTCCATTTGTAATTATGAATACCGTACTACATAGAGTCAATAATTATTGTCTTATTCTATACAAATTATTTTTTCCCCTTTCTTATCCTTAACACGTTCGCTGCTGACGACTCCGATCGGAGCCATGCCGTACTGGCACAGCGTGCGTACTTTTTAGTTGGAGTAATGGTGCAGTGTTATACAAGTTGGTCTATCTTGACCTCCGCATTTATCGGGGATCAACTTAACTATGTCAGCTGGTTGTCCTGGTCCTATACCATACTTCAATTTGGTGTCGGTTGGGATAAGTTGGTAGTCAAATTTCCCGTAAAATCCCGGCTGGCAACGCTTTTTGTCCGAAAAGTTACTTTTAAACTTTACGGTAACTAATTTGACCCAACATTAGCCTATAGCCTAGTTGGTTTAGGATGGTAAACTTAAAACTATTCTAACCAATTAATTCAAAAATATGTCTATTATAAGTAAGAAATTACCTGCTGCATGATCTAGCTCATCGTTTGCTGATATCGGTCTGAACTCCATGTTGGGAAACATCGGGCGACTATTACCTGAAAGTGAAGTTAAATAATGTTTAGACTAGGGATGAAACAACGTTAGTTTCTACACAGTTTGAAGGACAGTAGGCCTAGATAGGTTGTATGTTTACAGTACAGTATTTATAGGCCTGACGTGTTTAGGCAGTACCGGTATAACTTAACATTGGGTAAAAAAATAGTCTAGGAAAAATCATAAAGACACAAGAAACATACATACCGTAACTTTTCAAAATAATTGTAAAGAAGGGCCTGTAAAATGCTAAATTATAAAGACAATAAAACATAGGCCTAGATTTTACTTTTAGACTGCTCTATCCACCAAAAAGGTTTAAAGCACTTCAAAACTAAATCATGAAAGTAAAAATCTATAAACGCCGAAGCTATTTTCCATTAGGTATACTGGAATCCATCAATAGGCCTATATGAATCCATCTGTTCTTTATCATTGGAACTAAAACTAAGTTAATTTGTCAAAATGAAAGGGATCAGCTGCTGGACTTACTTCCAACCCCATCCTGTGATATTTTTTTATTTTTCTTAATTACAACCGATCAACGGATTTACCCAGAGATTACCAGATTTTGGCATTCCGCATTATACATACCTATATATACATATTAGCTTTGTTTTAACTTAGTTAAGTTAAGATATAACTTAGAATGTAACTTAAGGTAGAAATCTCCTCTTTATTACCGAAGCACTGAAATACCTAAATTGAATTTGAATAACAACACTTTTGAAATAGAATGTTTGCGTTCACCCAAATATTCTAATGTGGGCCTACCATTTTATTTCTCTCCTTACTAGGCAATTTAGTAGGCTTGCAATTTAGTAGGTATCTGTCCTACACTCATTCGAATGAATAATAGGCTATTGATTAGGCTATTACAATTGATATATCAAGTTTGGTTAACCTAACCTACCTGAACGAATTAAATACCATAATCGATATATCGAATAATCTATAGATTATATCAATATTTTTCATTCGAATGAGTGAAGGACAGATAACTACCTACTAAAGTGCAGCCCTTGGTTTCACTTTGGCTATCAACGTCCTGCCTAATTTGTTATGTACTGTAATTTATCTTTGACTTGTGTTTTTGCAACATGTACCTATTCAACTTTATTGACGTATTCTAATGCATGTACATGTCTAATGGAATAAAATATTGATTCTTGATTCCTGAGTTTAACTTAAGTTAGGCTACCATATTGTCTGTTTCCGGTACAGTTTCTTATAGGCCTACCTAACTGGGCTAAGTTAATATTGATTAATAATCGAGATTTTTAACTAAGTTTAGCCTATATCAAACTTAGCTTACTAATAAAATGAAAAATTCGAAAGAAGGTAAAGGCCTATTAATCGACAGGACCACCCTGTGCGCCGCGGCTAGGGGGGCACCACGACTTTAGCAGGTAAAAAATTTGACAACGTTATCGGCAAACCGCAAACGAATATTTTATGGGAAACTCGTAAACATGTAGGCCCAATCAATGACAGTGACTCTTCTTAAAAAGAGCAAGTTTTCTATAGCTTTTGTTTTATTCATAAAATAAGTTAAATAACTTAGGTACTTATTTAATGACAACGTATTATTAACTTATATGTTAGATGTTGTAACTTATTGTTAAGTTATTTATTAACAATACAACTCCTAACTTACTAACTTATTACTAGGCCTACCGGTACCGGTACTTTTACGTCTGGCATGTGACTTGTTGGCAATACTGCGAGCCTGAGACACACACACTGCGTAATCGCCCACAAACCCCAGCCCCACCTACACTTGCTTGTTTCTAACTTCAAAGCTCGAATTCTTACGTCAACTCATAGTCGTTTTGTGATGTCCGTTGAGTTGTTAATTTAATGTTTTTAGTACACCCTGGGCGTCTATTACCCTAGGGGCGGCCCTGCTAATCGAATCGATAGATTCAACCAATATTAGCCCTTTGAGTGCCAACGTCCGGGGAACCGGACGTTTTTAAAACGAGCCAAAAGTGCCGACGTCCGGCCGACCGGACGTTTTTAGAACGAGCCAAAAGTGCCAACGTCCGGCTGACCGGACGTTTCGTAATGATCGAACAGTTGTCATAACAACCGAATGGATACTCGGATTCTTTTAACCCATATATTAACATTGAGTCGAAAGTTAGGGACTAGATGCGATACATCGATTTTCGTTGGTCGAAATATCAAAAATTCATTTTTACAAAATTTTAACCCTTTGAGTGCCAACGTCCGGGGAACCGGACGTTTTTAAAACGAGCCAAAAGTGCCAACGTCCGGCCGACCGGACGTTTTTAGAACGAGCCAAAAGTGCCAACGTCCGGCTGACCGGACGTTTCGTAATGATCGAACAGCTGTCATAACAACCGAATAAATACTCGGATTCTTTTAACCCATATATTAACATTGAGTCGAAAGTTGCTAGATGCGATACATCAATTTTCGTTGGTCGAAATATCGAAAATTCGATTTTTACGAAATTTTAACCTAAAAATCGCCAGATCGCGCTCGGCATTTTTAGCGCGACCTTCGGGAAAAATCATCGGCATTTTTTGAGCGTTACTTTTATTTCTCGCCTGGCACTCTAAGGGTTAACCTAAAAATCGCCAGATCGCGCTCGGCATTTTTAGCGCGACCTTCGGGAAAAATCATCGGCATTTTTTGAGCGTTACTTTTATTTCTCGCCTGGCACTCTAAGGGTTAAAGTAGCCTAGACTAGTTGGGAAACTGTAGCCTACGCCCTGTTTCCAGTCCGAAGATATGCAAGTGGGCACTGACAAAGCGGAACAAGACAGAAAACGTTTATTCAATTAACGATATAACCTAGGCCTGTAAAAACTTGTGAAAAGCTGGATACGGTATGCTTAAAAGGCTTACATCCATCATGCTAACCTTAAACTTACTTAACTTTGCCAGCCTAGTCATTTACTTAGGTTAGGCTAGCCTTAGGTTACTAGTTTACTTAGTTACTTAGGCTAGTCCCAAAAAGACTGTGCATGGGAAGAATATTCATGGCATAGGCTAAGGTCATGAATAGTAAATCCACAACATAACATACCGTTAACTTAAACAACCAAAATGTAAATTACCAACTTGTTTAACTCTACTTCTCTACTTACACTTACTTCCTTGAAAAAACTGATTTGAATTTGAGGAATTTCCCTGATCCGCCATGTTCTACTGATGAACTTTGTAACGCGAATTTATTTCAATCCACTAGTAAAATGAAATAATGCAGTTTAAGCTAGTGTATATTAGCACTTGACTAAATAGGATAGACTACTCAATACTAAATCTAGCTTTTATCCTTAAGCTGTGCCCAAAAATAACTCCACGGTTTAACATTTCAATAATTTTGCAAAACATTAACACAAAAATATACCAAACTTCACATTACACTTGACAACGACGACGACGACAGCAGTAGCGGACGAGACGAACAGACACTCACTAGAGACAGGACAGAGGGACAGGGACAGAAGACAGAGCCAATCGGAGCCAATGCAAGCCACGGATCTGATCTGATCCAATACCACCGTAGACAACAATATAATGTGACTTTTGTTGCTCGATATCGTCGAAGTAGCGTTTTAGCCATACTATAAAAACTTCTTCACGACAACCGATTAATTAAACGCTTTCAAATCATTTTTATATTCTATATATTTTGAAGTAGAGCTAGTAATGGAAAATATTGGAATCAGAGGATTGGCTCTAGAGTGGTTCTGCTCTTACTTCAAGGGAAGGAGGCAATGCGTGAGGGTGTCGTCTGTTGATGATCATGGATTACTACGACAATATAATGGTGTCGTGCATCGAACGCCGGGTGGCGCGAGCGCCGCGGCTAAATTAGTGGTGCGAGCGCCGAAACCATTAATCTTGTAAGGGTATGCTCAATGAAGCAGAAGTGACGAGGTTAACATGAGCCTCAATGGAAGGGCTTATCCTAACTCCGCGCGGTGTCACTTCGGGTTCCCCGCGGCACATGACCAAGTTCGGAGAGCCAGCTGTTATGTTAGGTTTGGTTACGTTAGGTTAATAGCAAACGTTTATGCTATTTTAATCAGGTTTGAACGCTCTAAAACACAATTAAAGTTTTAAAAAAGGTTTTAAAAGCTCGCTTAAACGGACACAATTTATCTACAACATTGATAATTTGACGATTATAAGTGTACAATATATATATATAATTAGCGCTGTCGATTCTGTCACAGCGTAGCAGCATAGATAAAACACACTCCCTTAGTAGATTTCTCATCCTTATGGAACAGCTGAAGACAATTTTATTGTTAGTTCTGTACGGTTTATGAAGAGGTCGTGTTTTGTTTACAATTTGTTTCCCGTTATTACAGCCATTTAAAGCCTCGTTTTACCAAATAATACGATCTAATCATAAACAATAACTTGTCCCCTAGTTATACAGGGTGGCGCATAAAGAACGCATGGATTTGAGTTGAGTGGTGAGAGCAATAGGAGCGTGGTGGAGGGACTGGGCCTGGTTGTATTGTAGGTTAGGGTGTCCAGTTTTAGTAGCAATGGTGCAGTGGTCCGTGGTACATCGGATTTTTGCGGTAGAACATTTATTCAAAAGTAATTTAATCTGTTAAAACTGTTCAACGGCTTTTCTGCACAAAGTTCAATGTTCCGCGAGTCCTGAAAAAAGTACGGTAAGGCCCAAAAATAACGAAAGTTACACCAAACGTTAAGTTTCAAATCGTGCAGTGGTTTTTGATGCAATTCTTTTGGGTCTTCTGCTGCCAAATAGTGCCAGTTTTGCTTATTGACATAACTATCCAAATGAAACTGCGCTCCATCATTAACATTACACACAAAACGCCATCAGTGGCAAGAACATCAACCATTCTCTCAAAACAGTTTCCATTTTCGTAATCACGTTCATAAATCTTCTGTTCGATCATAATTTTGTAAGGATGAAATTTTAACTCGTCTTTCAGGTTGCCCTGCAACGAGCGTCAAGACAAGCACACAGTTGGAGCGCATCGCCTAGTGTAACAGACGCCCTTACTCTGTCGACATTTTGTGGAGTTCGCGCCGTGCAAGGACAACCAAACCACTTCTGCTTCATAACTGATTCAATTGTGCGAAAAGGAGCTATCCAACAAAGTATTGTGTTGCGATCGGGTTTTGTTTTGAACCATTGAACTATGCACGGAGAAGCCATTGAACAGTTATATCAGATTCATTATTTTTTAATAAATGTTCTACAGAAAAAACGTGATGCGTCAGGTTGATTGCACCATTACTACTAAAACTGGACGCCCTAACCTACAAAACAACCAGTCCCAGTCCCTCCACGGACGCTTTTATTGCTCTTACCACTCAACTCAAATCCATGCGTTCTTTATGCGCCACCCAGTATAACAAAACAGTAAAGCACAAATCAAGAAATTAACCCTAAAATAATATAAACAAAGTTTCGTCGACACTAGTGCCCATGTGTCACGTACATGAACTAGACACGAAAAACGTGCTTCAAAATTTACAATGGGATGAGAAGTTATCATGGCTCGCGCCCATTCTCGCGCCACCCGGCGCTCGGACCACTTGGCGCTCGCGCCAAGTAACCGTACTTTATATCAATTAAATTAAGTCAGCTGTAAATAATTAAATTTGACAGTTCAAAGAGCAGAGGTTAAGGGGCACAGGTTAAGCTCCCAAGAGATTCTTTATACAAACAAAAAATTCAAAATAAAGATAAACAATCTAATTAAGGTGTTTGTTAATAATGTCTACTGTTATTTATTTAGTATTCTATAAGGTAAACAATAAGTTAAATAGTTTGTTATATTTAAAGTTAGTAGGTAAGGCCATACATTCAATCTAATACATAATTATATGAAAAGAAACTCAAATAAACCTGGATTTCTCACATGCCTCTGTCTTAATCTGATATAGATGCTTGTAATAGATTTAACATCCACACACATCAAAAACTAAAAAATAAATAAAAAACTTTTTAAACGCACTAAAAAGTATAAAATAATTTATAAATATGTGGATAGTATAAATACTTTTAAGATTCAAAACTAAAAACATGGGGTGCAAGCAATTTATAATAATACATTAGTTCAATAGGTGAAGGTAATTGTAAATTACCTATTGCATGTACCCCATGTTTTTCGTTTTAAATCTTAAAAGTATTTATACTCTCCACATATTTATAACTTATTTTATACTTTTTAGTGCGTTTAAAAACGATTTTTATTTATAATTTATTTTACACAGAGAATCTTTAATTTCATTTACGGCTACCCTATTGTTGCACTTTCGATTAATTAAATCCGTTATGTAAAGAAAATAGCTTTTAGTCTCGTTTGGTTTGGATTTGATTTCAAAACGTGAACAGAAATGGTTGCGGTATTTGTTAACATTTCAGTAACAGCTAGAAAAAATAATCTTGATCCGAAGTTATTTTATTTCATAGATGATTATGTGATAAACATTGGGAGAAAACTTGACAAAAATCACACAAAATTGGGTATTTAAACGTCAGTCATTTTATTTACAAGTAGTGAGGTAATATTTTAATGGCTAAAGACACCCTCTCCAATCCAGTGAATACATTAAAATGATTTGGATCTTGATAGGTACTCTCGTTTTTCAGGAGAAGGCCGTGTAAAATGCCTCTTTGGCCGTGACAGACAGAAATAGAGATAAGACTTGTTTCAGCTTCTTGTATAAAACGTAAAAATGACCTAAAAATATAATTCTTAGCAACAAAGACAAAACTCTAATTTTTCCTGTTGTAATAACCTTCATTGTTTATAAATACCAGATGTCACAGAAACACCATTCAATGCACAGTTCAGGCGAAATCCAATGTTTTATAACAGATGCTAGACTATAAATTAGTGATAAGCGATTCAATCTTTGCTAAGGTTAGTTAGAAATTTACTGGTTCTGAGTTATAGCCCCCCCCCCAGACAACACAGTAATCTTTATGAAAGTGTACCCTACCAATGTGTTTGCCAATTGTTCCACTGCAATAGGAGTGAGGAACATGGATAGAATACGGTACACTGTATTGAGGCATAAGAGGGGTAGAGGGGATAGTATGACCAGTAGCAAATTGTCTTTTATTTTGGGTTTCTCAATTTTAAATTTTACTATAGCCTATGTTTAGTTAAAACTCCTGTAAAGTTTTAAACGATTCATTATGACAGTCCAAACATTAATAGTTCATTAATGCAAACAAATAACCAAGTATGTGTTCACTAAACATTTGACATGACTTTGTGAACAGGTTATAAAAACACTTTTAGTGAAATGTCTATTTAATAATCATACGTTAACATACACATGACAACTTTACATAAAATTTGTAAAATTGTAAATTTTAATACCTATATAAATATAACATTTAAATAAAACAATTACATCATATAACTAAAACATAAAGCTAATATTATGTGATGTGGAAAATTAACAATATTTAGTCATTAATTCCATGGAGGAATAATAGAGGGCCTATGTTTGGTTACTTTGAACTAAACCAATGTATAAAACTATTAAACTTAAAAATATAAAGTATAAATGAATCTTAACAATATAATACTGTAAAGTGTTTAACATAATGTTAAATTTACAAACATACATAACAATTGCCAACTGCTGATATTAGATTTTGGCACACTGTGTTAATAACAAAATAATAGGGATTAGGCTATGGGAAACGTTTGGTGGGGTGGAGTGATTGCATGGTTACCAAAACATAACATCTTCAATTAAATGGACTTTGGTATTTTAAAGCCCAAAAATCACGCATGTATCTCCAGTCGACAAAACATACAACGCAATCTAAATTCTCAAAAAGATCACAGTAGATTCTAAAATGAATTAAAGCTATTAAGTAAAAAAACTATAATTTAGTAAACATACACTACTCATAATACGTCACTTTAAATTATATACATAACCACGTTGTATAAATAAATACACAATATGTATTTGGGAACCTACTCAAATTTATGTTACAACTATTTATATTATTTACACTGTAGAAATATCTCCGTTCATGGTAACTGTCACATATTGCGAAACAAATATAGCGTTTTCCCTTTAAGGTAAAATACTTCAAGAAGATTTTCAAATTCAACAATGAATATTGTGCAAAGTATGATTATGTGGGTAAAACAATATATACAAATCTAAACTGGCTGTTGATTGTAAAAAAAAGTAAAACATAAAACAAAAACTTAATTCCTTTGAGGAAAGATTTTTTCTTGTTGATTTTCCCAAACAGTTAAGAACTAAAAACCAACTTTTTAACAATGTAAACCAGACAAACCAGTTGTTTTGGAAGACCAAGATATCTTTGACCTTGCACATAACATAATAATTAATTAGTAAACAACTGCAAAGCTCAAAACTACATACCTACCAGAATTTTGCATTAATAAATGATGAAAACACGTTGATGACTTGAAAAAAATTTACAAATCTGTGTAGAACAATAAGATAACAGAACAATAAATAAATCTACTTTCATATTACGATTTTGTAAAATTAAATGTATTCATTAGGCTATACTTCTTTCACAATATTTTGACGGTTTGAGGGGAAGTTCCCCCACCAACTCTTTAGTATTTAATGTAGACTATGTTGCTTAGTCAGCTGTTGAGCTATTATTTTAAAGGAGATAGATTTCTTCCCCTAAAACCGTCTAAATATTGTCAGCTGTGAACAAACATAGGGTAATAAAAAACATGGTAATATTTTGTGAATAAAATGTGTAGTGTGTAATAATACGCCCGGCAGGTGTTTTTGAAAGACAAGCAATTGAATTCAACAGAACCTCTAGAGAAAACTTAATAATAATTATAAAAAAAAAAAAACAATTAATTAACTGAGAAACTGGTTCTTCTTGTGATTCTCATGAGGAAAAATGTACTCATTTTTATTATTTTATTACTCTTAAACATATTTGTATTAAAATTTCAACCTTAACTTACTAAGAATTCATTGTGGATGAGAACCATGCCTCAAGAGACATTGTTATTGTACCAACAGTTATCTTTGTAATAACATGGTGTCTACTAAACCTGGTTTGAAAAATTCAAGGAGTTTTCCAGGAGAATTCAAGACAAATTCCTGAATTTTAAGAGCTACTATCGGAACCCGTTTAACTAATTGCAGCCCGCTAATGATAATTTATTATTACTATTAATGATTATTTTAATTTAAAACAAAACTTTTCCAAAGAAAAATATTTTATACAACATAATAAAACAGTATAACTAATAGGTAAGGCGACACCAGCTATCATCTCCTGCGATCGTGGGAATACCGGTGAGCATATCTTGCAGTCTCGTCAACACAGGCAACCGATCGCGGCAAAACAAGTTCGCATATTTTATTATTTCAGCGACACCAATAATCGTCTCCCACGATCGCAGGAATACCCGTGAGCATATCCTACGGTTTCTGCAACACCGATAATCGTCTCCCGCGATCGCGGCAAGACCCGTGAGCATATCCTGCGGTTTCGGCAACACCGATAATTGTCTCCCGCGATCGCAGGAATACCCGTGAGCATATCCTGCGGTTTCGGCAACACCGATAATTGTCTCCCGCGATCGCGGCAATACCCGTGAGCATATCCTGCGGTTTCGGCAACACCGATAATCGTCTCCCGCGATCGCGGCAATACCCGTGAGCATATCCTGCGGTTTCGGCAACACCGATAATCGTCTCCCGCGATCGCGGCAATACCCGTGAGCATATCTTGCGGTTTCGGCGACACCGATTACCATCCCCCGCGATCGCGGCAATACCCGTGAGCATATCCTGCGGTTTCAGCAACACCGATAATCGTCTCCCGCGATCGCGGCAATACCCGTGAGCATATCCTGCGGTTTCGGCAACACCGATAATCGTCTCCCGCGATCGCGGCAATACCCGTGAGCATATCCTGCGGTTTCGGCAATACCGATAATCGTCTTCCGCGATCGCGGCAATACCCGTGAGCATATCCTGCGGTTTCGGCAACACCGATAATCGTCTCCTACGATCGCGGCAATACCCGTGAGCATATCCTGCGGTTTCTGCAACACCGATAATCGTCTCCCGCGATCGCGGCAATACACGTGAGCATATCCTGCGGTTTCGGCAATACCGATAATCGTTTCCCACGATCGCGGCAATACCCGTGAGCATATCCTGCGGTTTCTGCAACACCGATAATCGTCTCCTACGATCGCGGCAATACCCGTGAGCATATCCTGCGGTTTCTGCAACACCGATAATCGTCTCCCGCGATCGCGGCAATACACGTGAGCATATCCTGCGGTTTCGGCAATACCGATAATCGTCTCCCACGATCGCGGCAATACCCGTGAGCATATCCTGCGGTTTCTGCAACACCGATAATCGTCTCCTACGATCGCGGCAATACCCGTGAGCATATCCTGCGGTTTCTGCAACACCGATAATCGTCTCCCGCGATCGCGGCAATACCCGTGAGCATATCCTGCGGTTTCGGCAATACCGATAATCGTCTCCCGCGATCGCGGCAATACCCGTGAGCATATCCTGCGGTTTCGGCAATACCGATAATCGTCTCCCACGATTGCGGCAATACCCGTGAGCATATCCCGCGGTTTCGGCGACACCGATAATCGTCTCCCGCGATCGTGGCAATACCCGTAAGCATATCCTGCGGTTTCGGCGACACTGATAATCGTCTCCCGCGATCGCGGCAATACCCGTGAGGATATCTTGCCGTTTCGGCGACACCGATAATCGTCTCCCGCGATTTCGGCAACGAAAGCAATAGTGTTTGGTTAGCCGACGATTCCGATGACCGGGCTGTGGATTCCCGGAGGTTCGGGTGGATTCCTGGAGTTTTCCAGGACATTTCAAGGTAAGATCAAATTCCCGGAGTTTTCCCGGTTTTCCCGAATTTCCCGGAGAGTAGACACCATGAATAAATAAATTTAAAAAACATTATCTTGGTTTTATCACAAAGAAGCACCTTCAAGAAACATACCTTGGAATATTGTATTGTTTCTATGTATATTGTTGTATAAAATAAAGTTCATAAATGTGGCAGCATGGATGCATTTTATGCAGTGTTGCAACTTTTAATTCATATAGCTATAGTTTGAAAAATTACTTTTTCAAAACATATAGAAAAAAAACATTAAGACTAAAAACAAAAGTATTTCCCCCCAAATTTTCATTAAACTTGCTAGTTTAAGTATAATGGTATCAAAATTAAGTAAATCTATTGGTCAACTCCAAGCAGGAACAAAAACAATCTTTTTTAGTGAGGATGATTAAATGAGAATAAATGATTAGATGAGACAACTGAACCCAGAATCAATCTTCCTAAAAAATTTTCGTATGAGAAACTCGGACACTACTTCCCAGTCATTGATGTGATTTAGAGATGCAAAAATGGCAGTGAGTACAGTAGAACTCCAATTATCAGAATCAATGAGAACCGTTCTATATTTGGATAGTTAAAAATTCAGATAATTAGATTTTAACCAAAATATTTTACTCAAAATACCCAAAGTCAAGCAGAGCATTTAATTTTGCAATCCTAATAGAAAAATTCACTTTTTGTAGTGATTACGGACAACAATTATGATTTCCAGTGATTGCAAGACACAAGGATGTCTACAAGACCTCTGGAGATGTGCAATATTTTGCTGTGATTACGATAAACCAATCTTACAATATTTCCGCCGGAGACTAAGATGATGTCCACACAACCGAGAGGGGTTTTGAATTTTGCAGAGATCATGGCTTCTGGCTTCTTTGAAAACAATTCTTAATACTGTAGTTTTAAGGTTTTTTTCTGTGTGATTCAAACAATCATCGATTCGGATGATTTGGACACTGTAGTGTGAAAAATGGCAATTGTGTGCTTCACACAAAATATGCAGCAGTATGCAACAGAAAATATGCATTATGTCATTACTTTTAACCACATTGCTGCTAACTTTGATCAGTTCTGTTTATTTTTCAGTGAGTGCTTTCTTAGACCAACTCATTCCTTTGAATCCCCCCCCCCATAGATTGATTAAACTTACTCCCTTAGGTATACTTTTATAATTCCTATGGATTAGATGAAGCCGATTCAATGTCCAGCGTAAAAGATGTTTTCTCAAGATTTATACTTTTTTACTTAATCAACTTTAAAAGTGTGAAATTATTTGGTTAAGACAGCTTTAGGCACGGTCTTAAAATATTTTGTGCTAAATAGGTTAAACAGCAGGCTTAGCTAACTGTAAAAAATAGTTGAAGGTAACAACACTTGAAAGATAAACACTTAGCTGATGGTAGAAATTCGGAATCTCAGCTCCTTCAGATGTAGTTTTAGTTCTTGTAGTAGGCTGTATACAACAATTTAACCTACTACAACAAATATATCCTTCTGTCATGATTTGTACATTAAACTATTTCCTTCATTAAGGGCTAAGGCAAGCCTACTGTTTAACTATATAGTGGTTTAAATTACCTTGTTACTGTCAACTTGCTACTGTTTAACTTGATAATTACTTTAACTTAATGATAAAACCGATTCGTAAACTACTGTTTGTCTTCTTTGTGTCATGTGTTTTATGTGTAATCAAGGCTAATCTGGACTGTCTACCAGGTAAGCTAGCTGATCCCTATCCTTGTACATAATAATCCTATTATACCAAAGAGTAAGACACATTGTAAAACTAAACAATCTAAAAAACATCCTCTAACGTAACTGGACATAAAATACCTATCAAAACAGGCTTCAGAATTAACAATTTAAGGAAAATCTACTTGCAGTGACCAAATTCACAATAGGACCTGAGGTGATTAGAAACGGACAATTTTAGACAAATGCCATGTCTACACTGGCTAGTAGGTGGTCAGTGCCTGGGTGGGCAGTTCCGTCGTAGTGGACGCCTCTGCGCCGTCGTGCTCTCTGATGTGTGCGACCAACGCCTCCTTGCTGACGAAGCTCTTGTCACACTGTTCACATATGAATGGGGTCGCAGAGTGGCTGCGCTTGTGACTGACCAGGTGACCTTTACAGGTGAAGTCCTTGGGACACTGGTCGCAGCGGAACGGACGCTCTGCCGCAGCACCCTTGTTGTGCGATCTTTGGTGAAACAGCAGATTACCCTGCGGACAAGATGGACTTGGTTTATTTTATCAAAACTTGTTAATACTTTTTATACTTTTCAATGAAATGGCGACCATACAAAGTAGGTATTTTAAGCCAAGTATGAATGGAGATGAGTGGCGCGATCTTGTAGTAGGGACCTACAGTTTATAGTGGAATCCAAACCACATTTTTGCCTTGGTATAAACAAATTGGTCTAATTTTCAGGATAGTACTGCGGATAGTCGTAGTACTCACTCGTGTGGACGTTAATCCACACCAGGGAGTATCGCATCCACAGTGCATGCCTAAAAATATCCACGACTCGTAACCTCCTAGTAGCTGGATTACAGGACGACGCCATCCGTTCATTATAAAAAAACAATTAGTTAGTTGGAAAAAGTGTCGTCATAAATTAAATATTTAGTTGAAACAGTAATAAAACCATTATAGTGTAGCATATTGTAAGCTTTGTTTTAATTAATGTAGTAATTACTCTAAGGGGTTGTCCATGGAGCTAGCTGGCCTAGTGGTAGAATGTGAAGCTTCAGTCCCTGAGGTCCCAGGTTCAAATCACACTAATCACCAATGAAGTTTAAGCTATGTGATAATACATCAACCCTCTACAGCCAAGTTTGAAGTAATGTATCCAAGCTTTGGCCAAGTATTTCCAAGTACGGTTCCAAGCTAGAGCATATCTTAGAATATCAAGGTAAGTTATAAAAAAAACCCCAAGGTTGCTCGGGTTTTTGAATAAGTAGTAAGATTTATAATACATTATTTGATATTGAATCTGTTATATAAATTTTCTTACATTAAACATTTTCAGACACAATGATTAGTAGAGCATTGTACCATCTTAGACCCAAGTATGGTGTTTTGCACTAAACAATTCTTAACTTTATGAAGTGGTAATCTTAATCTTTTTTAACTAATATTTTATTTCTGGCAATATTTTTTGTGTGAAAAGGATTAAATTGAGAATTTCTTTACATATAATCCAAAACACACAGTGACAACACTACATACTTCATACTCAACATGGTAACTAATTCAACATGGTTTACTAATTCACGTAGAAAACAACATGAGAAATATTGCGTTCATACCTTGAGAGGGAAGCTCTTTCCACATTCCCCGCACGCGTATGGTCGCTCGCCCGTGTGACTGCGCATGTGGTTGATCAGGTGTTCCTTCTTCACAAACGGCTTGCTGCACACATTACATGTGTGTTCTGTCTCCCCGGTGTGCACACGCATGTGACTCACTAGGTGTTCCTTGCGTGTGAACGTCTTGCTGCACACCTCACATCGGTGCGGCGACTCTCCCGTGTGGATCCTGTCAATACTTATTATTTAGAAAATATATGCACACCTAATTTTCACAAAATTACCAAACCAGTAGATAATCAAGCATAGTAACACATACCAATAAAATATGGGTAAATTACCTCCACAGACTAGGAGTGAGAAGATGAAGAATGGTGGAGGAGATTATTTAAGACCTTATATACATCTGAGGACCAGGGTTCGACAAAAACTGCAGCACCAAGCATTAAACAAAACTACAGTGTCTGCAGTTGGAAAAGTACCTCTGTAAAGGACAAACTTTTATAACCTTTCATTAATAAAATCTGTGATAATTATTTTACCGCGCAAAATTCATTCCTCACCTGATGTGGTTGGTGAGATGTTCCTTTCTCGTGAAGAACTTGGAACAATACGAACACTTGTGAGGAGACTCTCCTGAAACATATAAGATTTCACCATTTTACAAGACTTTGACAAATTTAAGATTTCCTAAGGTGAATTTTCACTAAAGACTTTTGAGGGAAATTAAGAACGTAAGTGAGAGTAGGCCACTGGGCAAGACTCACCCGTGTGTTGTCGTATGTGGTTGGTGAGATGTTCCTTGCGTGTGAAGCTCTTGGTGCAGTACGTACACTTGTGTGGGGACTCACCTGTGTGCTGTCTTATGTGGTTCACCAGATGGTCCTTCCTCGTAAACGCCTGCAAGTCAAACAAAACAGTTACACACTCACTCAAAGTTAGGTAGGCATAATTACATTTTATGGGGAGAGCAGTAGTTTTGTTATTTGTGTCATCACAGGACATAATTTTTAGTTGCGATATTCGGCACAGATGGCCACATAAAAGAGCGGTTGTCTCTTTCCTATCACTATCCTATGGCCTAGCATATAAAACCTTTTGTTTCAAAGCCAAAAGCACAAATTTTTCCATTCAAAAAACCTTTTGTGGTGTTTACCTAGAAAGCCACTTTGAAAGCCGCCGTGATGGTAGCAACTTGATAAGCTAAGAAAAGTGGTAATAGCCAGGTGATGGTGATACAATGCCTCGTGTTTATGTCATCACCGTGGCTAAGACTGGCCAACCAAGTGCAAAGGGCTTCGAAAATATTTCTATGCGAGTCAGTCTTGGTTTGGAAACATAAATTATGTCTTTTGTTTGTTAGGCTTTAATCAATTCTATGTGAATGGTGTTGTTTTCTAGACAAGAAAATCCTAAGACATATAGACTAACATTAGAAGGGAGTTTATGAAAATTCCCAGCTATAAAACTACAAATGCGCCTCCACTGTTAGCTAAAACGTTAGTTAAGTCACAGATAGTTTCCTCACCTTTGGACAGAACTGACACTGAAAAGGCGTCTCACCCGTGTGTTGTCTTACGTGGTTGACCAGGTGTTCCTGGAACAAAGTCCAGCCATGTTACAAAGTGCAACGAATAGTGGATACACATGTTAACAGGTAACGCTAATACATGTTAAAACAATAGGTGGTTTATTCTATATTAAATTTACAAAGATAAAATACAAATTCTGTTACTCTAGTCCTAAAATTGATACTATCAAAACATTTTTCAAGATAAGTTTAGTAACAAAGGCTTGACAAATGAAGGTATTCTTTCCTCCATTCAGATAAGCTGACCAGCTCAACATCTATGTGTTATGTAGCTATGCAGTTGCAAGTACCTTGCGTGTGAAGCTCTTTGTGCAGTAACTGCATCTATGAGGAGACTCTCCAGTGTGTTGTCTCACATGGTTCAACAGATGTTCCTTGCGAGTGAACGTCTTGGAGCAGAAGTCACATCTGTTCAACAATGACAACTATAGCAACTATCTGAACCAGTCAAACCCATACTTCTGTCACAGCATTGATGAATTCGATCACACTCAAAAGTCATTTTCAATCTAGAATAATGTTGGTATCTTAATAAAAAGCATAACTATATCTAAATTATTATACATATATAAGTTAATTTCTTACTAATTCAACAACTAATGTTTCAAAGCAATATGATAGATCGAGATGTATTAAATTCAATTTAGTTGAAGAATAAACTCGTAACGGACAAAAATAAAACTGATGATGAACATTTTGAATTGAGTACACATTTCTGAATTGAAATGCCAATTCAATTCAGTTCAATTCAGAGTGCTTTAAAGGGTGTGGTTTGGAATTTTGTTCAAATTCAAAACACAATCTAAGTTTTTTTTTAGGAAAAGGCATTTCACTTAGGAATACATTAAGGAAGAAGAAAATGATACACAACTAACTTGCATAAAAAAAGTTTCATTTAGTTGAAAGTACACGAAAAGTTCACAACACAACAAACGTGGTATTTCGCCCCTAAAAGGAGCTACTTAAGAAGGAAGTACAAGGTAACTATGAAATATCAAGTTTATTGCGGTGAGAACTTTCTGTGTGGTTTCAACTCTTTTCTTAGGTCAGTTAGTTTATTAGCCATTCCTTCTTCTTGGATGTAATAAAAATAACACACTCTCAGTAACTTATTCAACTTAAATGATGCAACATAAGACAGAGGTTATTAAGTATTTTTGTCGGGATAGCAGGCTAGATAAGGATAAAACATTTTTCTTGACACTAACATTTTCAACCAAACCTTTTTTTTTTAATCCTTCTATGGTTGAAAAACCTATCAGCAACAGAGAAATATTATATTTTTGTTTAGCCTAGAGTGTAAAATCTTTGTACCTCATCCAAATAAACCTATCCCAACTTGAATCCTTTAACTTGTTGTTTTTTCAACTAAATATCTCACAGTTGCTAGGTTAGTACACAAGTGTATGTTACCTGTGAGGTGTCTCTCCCGTGTGCCACATGATGTGGTTGGTGAAGTGCTCCTTGCGGGTGAACGCCTTGCTGCACACCTCACAACGAAAGGGTGTGTCGTTGGTATGGCTGCGCTCGTGGTTGGCCAGGTGTTCCTTGCGGGTGTACTTCTTGCCGCAGAGGCCGCAAGTGTGGGGGGTCTCTCCTGTGTGCCACAGCACGTGATTCAAGTAGTGTTCCCGCCGGGTGAACGCTTTCTTACAAATATCACACCGGTTGGGCGTATCACCTAGAAGAGGCAGCTGGCTATTGCTCCAGGTGTATAAAGGTGTGTCAGTGCATGTCACACCACTTAATATTGAACATACCTCTTCTGTGTACACCTCTCAGCTGTTACCGTTACTGACCTTGTAAGACTTTTGTATTATATCTCAGTAATAACTAATTGTGTCTCAGAGACAAATATTTTAAAAATTCGAAAAGGTAACCAAACTACTAACTCTTACTCAGATAATTAAAGGCTCTAACACACCAACATTACATGATCTGAACCTTTAGCTTCACTACGTAATACTGTTATTAAATCATTCAGTATTGTCACCTCTAGGTGGCTGAAGTCTGTCATTGCTTGCTGAAATTTAGACTAATAAGTTTTTAATAATAATTTTAAACGACTTCAGAGACAGCTGAAAATTCAAAAGCAAGCAATGACAGATTATAGTTGTCAAGAGGTTCTGGACAAGAAGGTAAAGTAATATTGAAGTGATGGATGCTACAGCTAAAGTCTTCAGTGAAAGGTTTGTCAAACAAAATACTCATTATTGGACCGATATAAATTCCCACAGTTGAACTGAAAATTGCTAACATGTGTGATAAGAATGCAAGGAATTAACTTGGTACTTGTGGTTGGAGATACTTAAAGAGCATACAACAATTATTACCAAATCTCATAGTGAAAATTAATTACTAATTTAAGTCAATAAATGCTTGCTGTGGAATTTAGGGAATTATACATCAACAATCAAAGCCAAAATCTGAAGAGTACTGAAAATTAATACCACATGAAAATTGGTATTTTAAGCCAAGTATGAATAGAAATGAGTGGCGCGATCTTGTAGTCTTGTTACTGACTAAAGCCAACATGTTCCTTTCAGGACTGTTAATTAATAGCACATACAATCGCAACTAAGGGACCTACAGTTTATAGTGGAATCCAAACCAAATATTTGCCCTGTAAATTAACGAATTGGTCTAATTATCAGGATAGAACTGCGGATAGTCATAGTACTCACTAGTGCAGACGTTAATCCTAGTAACATGTTCACTAAGTAACGATAGGTATACAAAGTAATAGGCACCGAGTAACAGGTTACTCACCAGTATGTTTCCTGACATGGTTGACCATGTGCTCCTTCCGACTAAAGCTTTTTTCACAATACTGACATTTGTACGGAGTCTCGCCTGAATGGCAACGCTGATGATTGTCTAAGTGTTCCTGAAACAACAACAAAACTACTAGAATACACAGTTGCCATTCTTGATATTTTGTGTCTTCAGATTCAATGACTGATTAAAGAATCTCCATCGACTATTGGGAAATCATGAATACTGTATTTTACCAGGTAGCATCATAATAATTGTCCAGTCGGTCAAGGTTACATCATGATAATCTTGTTGTGGATTATTGTTTTTCGTGCAAATTTAGCAGCTGTATACTCCAATATATATATAACGAGATTTTGTTAGAATTAAATGACGCATCATTCAAATCCCGCAGGAAAAACGGCAATACAGTAGACCCCCTCTTAACCGACCTTGTATTAACCGATAATCGGATTATCCGCCTTCGATCGTAAAATAATAGAGTCTGTTTTAACCGACCTTGCTTTGAGAGCAGTTTGGTTTAACCGCCGCTTTCTAGGAATCTCGGCATTTCCGCTCCCACGCTGGGCGATGAGAACTGAACCATACGCTTATCTCCACAGGATATGACTAAAAATAAGTAATTTGGATTGATCACATAAAATATAGCATAGTCTATTGTCAGTTTGTCATCATCGTTCGTAGCTCGAGCACATTACAGATCTGATCTTATTTGGTATCTGTGCAGCAAATTTATAACATCATAAAGTGCGTTACAATTTTGAGAACTGATTATCTTATCGCTGGAATAAACAAACAACGCAACTTGTAGGGAGGGCGGGGAAGGGTGGTAACAACTCCAAGGTCAAGATAGTTTTTGTGCCTCGAGCCTCCAGTGAGAGGCTATAAATAAACATCCTGTCTCGTAACAAAATGGTTGCTTGTATCTTTAATTTTGACTAAAGTTTCTGTACTGTATTACTATTGATTTGGAAAGCATCAATTAATACATTACAGTACTAAAGTTAAAATAGGAATTTTATTGACTCTTGCCTAGTATTATAATATATTCCACTGAAAGTAGGCCTATTTGACTTAACGGTGTTTTGTGTTTATTTGTGACTTTTTCTATCAAAAATGAAAAAGGAGATAAGAGTAGTTTATTTTATAAATAACTAGCTGTACCCGCGGGCTTTACCCCGTTTAGCTTCATAAGTATTCGCATGGCTCAATCACGTCCTGGTTGAAGCATAGATAAAAGGTATGGTTGAAGTTCGTGCGCTAAGCTCACTTGCCTTCAGGTTGGCTCGTTCGCTACGCTAACTCGCCTCCAAGTTGAAGTTTGTTCGCTACGCTCACTCACCTCTTGGTTGCAAATTATCTGTTGTCATAAATTTAAAAAAATAATTGTAACCCTGTTAGTAGTCCTTGTAACTTTAATGCTATTGAACATCATAGAACAGAACCAACTTGTTTAATTGAAACAGCTGTTAAGATTCATTAATTCCTTTTAAATATGAAAAATCATAAGGTTAACATGGGAAACTCCAGAGCCACTGGAGTGGAGCCCTAAAGCCCGATCAGAATAAAAACTACTTAGTTTTCCTATTTAATGCCCAAAGAATCGGTGTACCAAATTTCAGCCTCCTAGGTAAATGGGAAGTGGGAGAATTAGTGATGAGTGAGTGAGTGAGTGAGTCAGTGAGGGCTTTGCCTTTTATATATTTAGAAGATGCAATACGACTTCAAAATAATGATTATATAATTCCAAATGAATAGCACTTCATAATGTTATGATTTTAGGGATTGCCCGTTTTAACCGACCTTTTGAGTTATTCGACCTAGGTCCGGTCCCATTAGGGTCGGTTAAGAGGGGGTCTACTGTAATAATAATTTTTCGAATATTCAGGTCTTAAACGACCTCCCTACTCTAAAAGAAGATTCAGTCAAAATTTGAATTAATATATGTTAGTGGTTATTATTGTGTCTAAAAACATAGGTCTACATTTTTTAATTCATTGTAGATAAGCAACAACAACCTTTCTCGCCCATTTTAACATTTTTTTTTTATTATTGTTTATCTCAATTCGGCCCGGGATTGGAATTGACAATCAATGTTAACATATTAGAACCAAAATCAGAGTCAAACAGTTTTAAAATAGGCCAATCACTGGCTTTAAAAGCGTAACAGCGGAACAAGAAGTTTCATACCTTTCGACCGAAGCCTTTATTGCAGATGTTGCACTGGTATGGTTTATCGAGACAGTGTCGTCTTACGTGTCGCTCCAAACTGCCGGCGCTCGCAAACACGTGGAAACAAACCTGCGGACGACGGAAACTCTACATTAACTGGCAAGCGACTCTCGGGACAATGTTTTGTTATGGTAAATTTAATCAAAACAGAATTAAAATATTAAAATTAAAGTAATATTATATACCGGAAGAAGACATCAGTTTATTTAAAATCACGCAATGCAAAAAATTTACGTTTTCATGAAATAAAGTTATTTATTTGGTCGATTATTGAAAAAAAGGAAATTTCGAAAATTTTTACAAAATTGCAACAGCAATAGACTGGAAAACTTAACAATGGAGTATTATAATAATTATAAAGTTCGATTCACACATATCAGTCCAGTCACAGTTCCGTTACAGTCCAGTGACAGTTCAGTCTCAGTTGCATCCACAATTTCTCAGTCAACTGTCGGTCAGTTTGTTTCAGTCAGTCTTCCGTCACTAATATTTACAATGATGTTACAGTCAAGAATTTTAAACTAAAACACTACATTCTATCATCCTCCATCTTGTTGATTGTTACAAACTAAACTTAAAATACAAACACAATCATTTAAATAACAAAAACACTATTTTCTAACCTTAAACACATCCGTCAGGTGTCCGAACAATCCAAAAATATCGGTGGATTTGGAAAGAAATCTGAAATTTACTGACGGAAGCCGACAGAGTGACTGACAGACCGGTGTAAGATGAGTGTAGATGGTACAATAGAAAATCCATTACAGAAGATTTTTTAAAAATGTGACTTGACTGAACTGTGGCGTGCCGTAACTGATATGTGTGAACCTTAAGTGAGCTAACCTGTTAGTAAAAAAATCCTTGAGTATAATAACCTAAGTTTTCACCTCCAAGAAGACTAAATAGGCCTAAGCTAATAAAGTTGTGTGTCTGTTGATTTAACAATTCTGATTTACTGATGACCTTGAAACCTGATGACAGGACATTTTTGATCCCAAATGTAGCCAGAGAGGACAGAGTTTTCTTATATTAGATCAGCAACATGCACTGGCAAATAAGGTTATTCAGACCTCATAATGTTCACTATTATTACAACATTGTTTGATAACATACCTGACAAGTCAACATAGAATTGTTGTCTTGATGGCAGCTCTTCCCATGTTGACTCAGCTCATCTGCATTCTCAAACGATCGTCCGCAAACCTGTCGTATGATTAGTCAATATTAACACATCTAAAAGTAGTTAATGTAAATACAGTAAACTGTAAAAATGCTTGTACTACATTAAGTTTACATAGTGAACTGGTTTATGTTGTAAGCAAATTAATTTCATGTATAATAGAACCTCAACTTAGTCATTGTGATATGTTCAACTGTTGATCAGATTGCACTGATTCGTCCAACGTTCCTTGAAACCCTGTATCGTATCCATAATTGTATGAAAGCTTGAAACTTCATATTTCCACTCACGCTGCCTAAAATTATTACACTGTACCACATTGTACAATTGTATAATCTAGAAATAAATAGTAGACATCAACATACTCAAGAGATACTGCCCATAAACATGCACCATACAATTGTCTACAGCAGAACTTTAAGGGAGTGTGTTACCTGACATTGAAAGGGTTTCCTCTCCGTGTGGTATCTGCGGTGGACGATCACCTGGTACCTGTAGGGGAACACTTTGTTGCACAAGTCACACACGTGGGTGCCCGGAGGACTGGCGGGGGGGTCAGGGTCACTCTCCGGGGTCTTTACAGTGGGCGGGGGGGCCACAGCAGGGGCTTCTGTTCCCTGCAGTTTGCCAAACACCTCGTGGTATGCCAGCAACTGGTTGATGTCGTCCACGTTCACTGGCTGTAATATGTTCCAAAGGTAAAGCAGATACACTCCCCTTAGGATACCATTAACTACAAAATTACTAATTACTAAACAAACTAGGAATTACGCAAATTTACAAACTGGAATTAGTATACATACTTGTCATTTATGTTTATAGTAGCCAAATTAAATAAAAAAAGGAAAGCCAATAAGGCTAATTTTTAAATTGTGATGATGGAGCTTTTGATTGATCTCGATTGAGCTTGACACCAAAAATTATGATTTCAATCACCTTAGTATGTATAACCATGGACAAAAATAATTAAATATAGACTGTCAGCCATGCTGACAGTGTTCTGGTGTTCTGGTGCACACCGCTGGGAGTGCCGTGTAGTTACGAAGCGCAAATGCTACATGGCGCTCCCAGTGGTGTGTGCCAGAACCTATGGTAACCGCAGCACAGCTGACGGTCTATATTTAATTCTTTTTGTCTAGGATATAACTAACAGTTAATTAAGTGCAGTAAGAAGGCAGGAGTATCAGTGTAGGCTACTTACCTTATAGACAATATTATCGCCTAGAGGTTTCTCTACCAGGATTTGTTGTATGTTTGGCTGTTGTTTGTCTCCTTGATAGCTAAAACAAACAAAAAACACAGAAGGTAAGATTGTGTCCAAGCTTATAGCTTTATAGCAAATTTATTTGGATATAGGAGTTTCTCATGATCACGGAAAAATCGTAAACATCTGTAACAATCGCGGGGACATCATCATCATCATCTCTCATGATTTCGTAGAGATTGTGAACATCTCTCCTAAATCGAGGGGAATCATCGTCACCCACAATCACGGAGAAATCGTGAATATCTCCCCTAAATCACGGGATCATCATCGACACTAACAACCGTGGCGAAATCATGATCATCCACTGCAGGCTGCAATCACAGGGACATCATTATAGTCACCTGTACTTGTGGTGAATTATAAAAAAATCTTTGTTCTGACAAAAATTGTTTTTGTACAATACAGCCATGTAATAAATCCGACACTGTACCGCTAAATAAAGTTAAACTGTGCATGATAATGAAGTCATAAAATATTTTATAAGTTATGCTGAGATAGTTGAGAAGACCTTTAAATTAAGAATCTTATTCACTAGATAAAAAATAGTGATAACAATTTGCTTTGATAAATATATTCCTCCCGAAGATGTGTTCAGGGGTTCAATCCTAGTAGAAAGCCAAATCTACCTCCCCAATCCAAGTTAGCGTTGCTTCATCCTGGTTGTGGAGCCATCCCTAGCTTGGTAAACAACTCAAACGGCAATCATTCACAATATGAATCAGTCACATGACTGGTGCAGTATAGGCCTACCTGGTGATGACTCCGACCTCCTTCTTGTCATCCTCCACCTTGACTTCCTGCACCACCAGTTCTATCTGTTGCCCATCCGTCGTCTGCGCCAACGCCTGGTGTTGCAGCACCTGCCGTAATCAGCACTATATAATAGACAGCTTTTCAATTTAAAATAAACTAGGGATGGACGAGATTGGATTTTTAGTTCGAGACGAGACGAGACGAGATTTTTTATTTCTCATAAAATTTCGAGACGAGATCGAGACGAGATTTCTCTTCTCATACACAACGGGAAATGCACGTTCGAAATTTTTACCTGATTTTGTAACATTGTTAGATGACTGTTTAAATACTAAAATAATGATAATAGGCAAGAATATTTACAATCTTTCATTAAATAGCATCAGCATAACATTTTTTTATTAATCACGCCTAACTTATTAAAAATGCCTACGATTAGGAAACATGGTGATATCAGTTAGGATAGAGTTCAACTTATCCTAAAATAAAATAAATCATAAAATAAAAGCAATATTAATTTTTATAAAATAGTTACTTGTTTTGACTTTTTTTATAGTAATAAAACATTCCTCACACTGCTTACACTTAACAAAACTTCTCAAATGTTATTAAAGTAATATTATTAAAATAATGAAAGTAATATTTACATTAAAAGAATTAAAGTAATATTTACATTAAAAGAATTAATTAAATAAGAACGCCTTCGAAAAGGAAACGCAACTACAACACGCTCCTGTATTGCGGGTATTGCATTGACTTTCTGCAGGCGTTTTTAATTTTTTTTTTTTTTTTTTTTTTTTTATTCTCGTCTCAATAAAAATCTTGGCCAAAAAGTAATCTCGTCTCGTGTAACGAGATTGAAAATTTCCCGAAAATTTCCCGAAATTTCGAGACTTGACCATCCCTAAAAACTGAGTCATCACAAGTTAAGAGTAGCAGGCCCAGTAGAAGTAAAGAGTCAATGGTCTTAGATTTTACATTCTTCACACTTGATTATTTACGTTGTATGATTTTACCTGTTGCTGCAACTGCTGGTGTTGTTCTGGTGTCAAAGTTATACTCTGAGAGGTTGGTACCAGTGTTGGCTGTTGTACCAGAGTAAGGTCGCACTGCACCTGCACAAACCAAGCAGAAATGATGTCATATTTTAGGTGAATGCACAAGTGTTATGAATTTTAAAAACTGTTAACTGAGACAGACACACACTATCCATAAAACTATTCCTTTGGACTTTCTTAAAATTTTCCAAACTGACCCCGGGATACGCTTGACTGATAATCAAAAGGCCCTGAGTTACACTTCACATTCTCCAACCAGTTACCCGTAAAGTACAAAATTTCCCAAACCATTCCCTGAAACACATTTGACACTTTCCAAACTGTGCTCCGAGACGACACACTACAAGCTATCCCCTGAGAAACACTTTATTGCCCAGACTATTCCTTTCTTTACTGAAATATCAAACTATTCACTGACCTGACAGTGGACCTGGTTGTTGCCGCACTGCTCAGTCACACAGCTTGACTTGTCCTCCAGCTGTGCGGAGGCAGACGCAGGCAGAGCTACTGTGGTCAGCTGAGGTGACGGCAGTGTCAGAGTGGACATGGCACCCACGGATACTGGGATCTACACAGTGTACAGCGACATCAGCACTTTATCAACACTTTTACGTTGATAGGTACAGTACTACTAGTGATGGATTTACCAGTAAAAAATCAAGAATTGATGTAAAATATACATTTTTATGTTGTTGCAATGATTTTGCTGTGATTACTGCAACAATGATGTCCTCGCAACTGCAGAGTGCAGATGTTAAAGTTTTCTCCAATACCAGGATATGGACGTGCAACAATTATATCGCAATCAGCAACGAGTCATGATGCTCTACTCTCAGCTGTAAAGAGTGATTTTAGGCATTTTTATTGTTGTTTAAGGGATTGCAAACATTTTTCAACAGTTACCGTATTGGCAAAATTCAAGTTTTACCAGCAATAATCTCTGTAATAGCATAAACCTACCATTACCATTGTAAGGGTGGTAACTTTGTCAAATTTCAAACAAAATCTGAACTGTACGGTAATGTTGGTAATCGAATAAAATTGCTGCACATAATTGTAAACTTGGAATGACTCTTTCATTGACTATAGGCTATATACTCACAAAGTGTGTTTATAGTCAGTGATATTATAGGCCTACACAGTTAGAAAATGCAAGTTATACTAGTACAGTAGAACCTCTTTAATCCGAACCCCCGTAATCCGAACGTCCACTAATCCGAACCCCTCATTGCTGTACTCTATACACAGTACAGCAGTTCTTTATTGTATACTGTATTTAATTTACAGTAGTGTTTATTCACTATGTTAACTACTGTATTAAATAAACACTGTATTTTACTTTATAAAACCTTTTTTCACTATTCCCAAAATAATGTTGATCAATTTTAGCCATGTTTTAGCTATTGTTAAGTAAAAACAACAATATGTTCTGTAATCCGAACTATTCAATAGTCCGAACTACCCCTGGTCCCAATTAGTTCGGATTAAAGAGGTTCTACTGTACCATTGACTACATACACTTTGTGTACTTATATATTCAATGCTAGTACCATCTGGCCAACCTGGCAAGATTACCCCCGATCTGAACACATAGCAACAAGTGCTATTTTGAAGGAAGATAATCCTATCATTGTCAACTAGTGTTCTACTAACAGTTTGTGCCTGGTGCTGCTGTATCAATGTCATCGTCTCCACACCAACATTGACAGGAGTCAGACAAGGAGTTCCGTCCTTGCCATCCAGCCTCGGTGACTGCAGTCCGTACACTGACACCTAAACAATTACACAATATAGGACAGTCAATGTATTGCTTTGAAACCACAATTTACTTTTGAGTAAAACCTATTCCAGTGGTTAGGGAACATTAAAATTTATGATAAACATTAAATGGATTAAGTTTAATATTAGAAGTTAACCGGCGGTTAATCGGGACTGTACAATATAAACAAATTTAAAAAGAAACAGCCACAGTGATAAACCATGCATAAGGAATTCTGTAATGTAGGCTATCAAACTAAAGTTAGTTCAAATGTTACAGCAGAATCACGTATGGAATTTTTAATATTTTATTAACTTTCTGCAGAAGAGAGAGGTATCGACAGTAAGGAAATGTTAACAAATGTTTTTCAACCAATCCCCATGTTAAATGAGCAGTTACAACTTAATTTTTTCCTATGAAAAAGTTCTAAATTTCCTCCAAATGTTTAGTTCGGCCTATATTTTTGATATTAGCACTACGAAAACATTTCATCAAATGTGTACCATATTAGTGAAGAGATTTAAGTTACTCCCAATACCTGAGGTATAGGGCCAGGGAACAGGTTGGTCAACACCCAGTACTTGGCAACACTGGACAGCGCCACAGTCGTCCCTTGACACATCTCAGCTGATGTCACCCTCTGGTCCTGCGTCAGACCGTGCTCCAGTACAGCCTGGACAAAACAAGCCATGTGTAACCTAGACAAACTTATAGCCAATAACAGTCTATGTAATTTGTTGCATCTTGTATAGAAGTTAATTTAACAGTGCAGGCCTATTGAAGAAACAGGAAAAACAGAGCTGAAAGGAAAACACCTACAGTAAGTTACAGCAGAAGAAGAGCGTCTAGACATTTATTTATTTATTTATTTATTTATTTACAGACGGTAAACTCCATTTTCATAACATACAATCATGGCAAGACATTTCATTCAGACTTACATAGAACAATTCATACATAACATCAAGATGACCTAACTAAAGAACCCTAATAAATCAGAATGTATCAAAATATATCAATATATATAACAATAAATAACAAAAAATAACAATGAATAACAATGAATAACAATAAATAACAATAAATACAATAAATAACAACAATAATTAACAATCAACATGGGGAACAACAAATTTGGTAATTAGCTAACAAAGATAAAAAATCAAAAAACAAGTAACAGTAAAACAACAACTACAATGATAAAGAAACAAAAAAGAAGGTAACAGTATAATGATCTCAACAGCAGCTAAGCGTAGAAACTCTTCAGCCCATTTCTAAAGACTTCATCGGACATGGAGAAGAAGTCTAGGTGTTCTGGAAGACAGTTTCCAAGGCGATGGAGACGTGGCATAGTGCTGTGGTACGCATATTGTGTAGAGCAATATCTCCTCTCAAACAGTTGTTTTGATCTTGTCGATTTCAACGCTCGAAGGTCGATTCTTCCCAACAAATCAGGTGAGTCCACTGAAGCTGAGATTATCTTCTTCGGAAACATTAAATCGGAGACTCTACGCCTGACTGACAAGGGTTGAAGACGAAGGAGGTGGCTTAGCTCGTCCAAGGGTACATCTTCATAGCGAAAGCCCAGCTGCAGAGGGCGACATTGGTACAAGAGGGACAAGGATTTCCGCAATCGTTGAAACACTATCTTACATGACAGTTAGTGACTGCATGACAGTTTTGGGAATGTGAAAAAATTACCAGAGATATTATTAAAAAACAATTTTACTTGATCCAGATTTCTACTCACCGGAACGACCACTTCAGTGTTTGGTATGGCTGTGGCTGATACCACACTTGGAGCCAAAGGGTCTGGGGGATTCATCTTGATGGATGAGGACTGCTCCCTATCTTTGAATCATTGTAGTTTTCTATTCTGCAAAGGGTAAATAGTTTTTAGGCTTGGATATTGATGCAAGCTAACTTATGTTTTGTCACTTTCCTTATCATCTCAAAATGTGACTTTAGTTTTCACTAGGCCTGCTGTAAGCAAAAAGTTCAAAATAAAAATTCCAATCCTAAGTAGTTGTAAACAAAAGGCTATAGCCTACTTCGTCCATTTATCTATAAGCATCTAGACTGCCAGTGCAACTCCTAGGATCGTGGATCAGATCGAAAAACCCCCCACCACCGCTCAGTGCCGATGGCATCATTACCGCAACGATACGGAGCTGAGTCATGAGCCTTGGTGGTGTAGTGGATAGCGTGTCGGGCTGATAATCTGTAGGTGCCGGGTTCGAATCCCGCTGGTAGCACTAACTTTTTGTCAACAAATTTTTTCATATCAGCAAGTTTGGTTGGTTTGGTTAGGTTATGATAGTTTAATTTTATAATTAAAGAATTATTAATTGAATTTGAGACATTTATAATTTTATTTTTAGAACAGAGCTATTTTTTTGATTAGTAAACCTTTATTCGAGTTTATCATTATCAGCAAGTTTGGTTAGGTCATGACAGTTTAATTATATTTAATTTAAATTTAACCTACAAATTATACGTTTTGACAGCGACAGTGATACAGATAACAATTTTCCGCGAACAGTTATAAAATAAGCTATGCTGATGCGCCGGTATGATTTGGAAGCGTACGACATGGTGCGCTGGTGCCACAGCGCCTCTGATCCACGATCCTCGGAGTTGCACTGGCAGTCTAGACGCTAGTCATTTATCTAGCCTACAAAGCCCAAACTAACTTATTTAGAGGTGCAATACTTATCCTAAAATTTACTTAAGCTATAGGGCCTACTGAAGGCTTAAGCTGATAAGTTATAACTCACCAGTTTTAAGTCTAACTTCATTGAACCTGCGATATCGGATGAATAAAGATATTACCGTAACCTAACTTATATCAATATTAACCTGATATGATGTTAATATCTCATCGATTGTTTTAAGCCGTGATTCATTAACCCTCCGAGTGTCCATAGTTTAGGCCTTAAAGGAAAAAAATATTTTGGAAAATTTTCAAAAAAAAATTAAGTTCGCGCTCAATGAAATTGTATAAATTATAGGCCTATAAATATTTGAAAATAGCCACTTTGTTCTAAATTTTATGAGGATTACAAATATATAATAATATAAGGAAGTAGATTTGCAAATAAATAAGTTATGGGCAAAAAACAGATTTCAGTACATAGCGTTTAGCTAAGAATGCATAGCCTAACCATAGCTAGGAATCTGGCTGATAATTTACATCAATGTCACTACCTACTTCTTCAGGATCATCAACCACCCCTTCAAAATCACTTAAATCTTCTTATAATGCACCACGTATATCACTACTTTTGATTTTTAACACTAAAACAATGATAAACGTAATAAAACACATCAGTCATCGGTCCGAGGATAACCAAGCTGTTTACAAATACGCACGTCAGCTGTCTGCTACAATATTTTCGGAACTAAAATGAATAGCGCTTAGAGACAGACCTCCGGAGAAAGCTCTGAATCTGTAAAATAAAACGATACCTAACTCGATCCAGTTCAATCCGATTTTGTGAGTCATAGAGCAGCAACAAATAACACTCGGAGGGTTAAGCAGAGAAATATCTAAAAACCAAGTTATCGTCTCATTTAAAACTTTGAATAAACTTTCATCAGTATTAAAAGATAAGAAAACAAACCGTGCTGATCAAACAGAAAATTCAAGTGTATAGGCTACAAACTGAATTGTGACAGTTGTCCAAGTTTTTATATTGGCCAGACTTCCCCGCACATTTTAAACACGCTTTAAAGGCCGTCATACACATCGAAGGTCGCACTAGGCCTAATGATGACTTCAAGAATTACTTGGACAGAATCAAGGTACCGGTAACTTAACCTCTTGTATAAATTAAAATTGTAAAAAAGTAGGTAACTTAGTGGTAAAAAACATAGGACCAATCCTATTAAATCGGATGATTTATATAATATATCGTTATTCATCCGATATGTTATCAAGCTTAAATAGCAGGTTCTCTGTAGAACTATACAATTGAAAATCAGAGTCCATCCAATAGGCCTAGGCTATAAAATTAGCTCAAGACCTAAACTATAGCCTTGAGTTGGTCATGACACAAAGTAGGCCTATGGTAGTACTGTGTTCTTAACGGTAAAGATGTTAGGCCTAACTACTTATTGTAATAACAGTAAAAGGCAATGTTTAGGAAAGTAAAATCTTACCTTGCACTAAATGACTAGTTACTGTACTTAAAACTAGTTTGATGCCAACAAAGACACATAACAAATATATGTTCTCATTTCAGTGTTTTCTAGGTGATACTGTCACACAAAATATTCCATTAAAATATTTATAAATGTGATAATTAATTTGAACAACAGATTCAGATAAAAGTGTCATTTTCCACTGTACATACTGACAAAACAAACAAAAATGTCTGCCGATCTTCAACTTCAACTTCAACTCTTGAATTCCCCAACCCACAACACAACAAGAACAAGACAGAAGACAACAAGAAAACTTTCATTGGAGGGGGTACAAAAAGAAAGACAGTACCCAATCATTGATTATTCCATAAAACCATATTTTCTCTGAATATGATCGTATATAGCATGTAAAATTACCGTTGAGCATAATATACTAAAAATGAATAATTAGAGCTTATGTGCATTATTGACTTTCTAATCAGTAATTATTATCATAGATTAAATTCACTCAATTATGTTATAATTCTATGATGCACAAGGCTGTCTACTTTCAGTGTCTACAGTTAATGTTTTCAGGTTTGGCATACCAGCCATATTGTGTTAATCAGATTGTTTCTTTTCTTTGGTTATTTCCTTTTGTTTTTGTGTTGTTATGTGCTTATATATGAATTGTTTGTAATAAACATAATGTCTTTTGTAACCTTTTTTTAATTAGTAGCCTATCTTTCAAAATATAACTGCCACGGTGACCGGGTGACCAATTAACCCACAGGCAACCCATTGGCGCCGACTTACGAGCGTTACTCGTACGGCCGCTGCAGGCCCGGCGGCCGACTTACGAGTGCCGCTCGTGTCACCGCTAGGCAGCGCCATTAGTTATTTAGTTATTATTATTTTTCGCCCTTTTTGTTTCTTCTTACTATTATGAAGTTTATAAATATCTTGCTTCTTGATTTGCGTATTTACTCATTTATTTTAGCGAATAACAAACAATTTTGTGTTGCCATGGAAGCCACATATCACCAAAAATCAGCTGCGGTAAGGTAAACAAACAATAAAAAAAATGTTATTACTTATAAAAGTACACAACTTTTAATTTTTCTACGTAGGGAATCGATTGAACTTTATAATAGTAGTGTTATGTGGTGTCTGGATTAATCTTGGAATTTGTATATCAAGTTTACTTTCAAAATATTGTTTTTAAAATTTTTATTTTTATAATCTTTATATATATATTTTTTAGTTTAGAACTTTGACTATCCAATTACCACTTTTCTGTAGACAATTTTACTGTGAACAAAATGGTGAAAGAATTATTAATTTATTACCTAAGGTTTTCTTTCTATAGCAGTTAGAGCAAAAGTCTACAAATTCGGTAAAATTAATTGCCACCAGAGGGTGCTGCAGGTAGCGCATTAATTCCTTCCCCAATGGGTTAAGCATAAAGCTCATGTTAAATTTCTAAAAGTGTAAACTCACGTAGGGAAAAGTCCGATTTGTACCATTTCAGATTTATAGCCTATCTATACCCTCCCCAAAGTTGGTTATTACGACTGTGCTTATGGTTATTTTTCCTTCCACCATGGACTGTGCTAAATTTTGGGCTGTCCGCTTCGCTGTATTTTTATTTCAGGATTAGTTTTGCCAACAGTGTCATTTGGAGGCTTATGATTGGCTGTGGTAACACCATTACCGAAACGATACGATGGGATGACATCGGCCTCGGTGGTCTAGTGCTAGTGGATAGCGTGACTGACTGATAATCTGAAGGTGCCGGGTTTGAATCCAGCTGGTAGCACTAACATTTTGTCTAAGTGTTTTTCATTATCAGCAATTTCGGTTGGTTTGGTTAGGTTATGACAGTTTAATTTTATAAATAAAACATTATAAAATTAAATTTAAGCCATTCAAAGTTTTATTTTATGAACAGAACTATTTTTTCGATTAAACCTTCATTCGATTTTTTCATTATCAGCAAGTTTGGTTAGGTCATGATAGTTTAATTTTATAATTAAAACATTATAAAATTGAATTTGAGGCATTTATAATTTTATTTTACGAACAAAACTATTTTTTCGATTAGTAAACCTTCATTTACAGTCAATCAGAAGCCTCCAAATGACACTGTTGGAAAAACTAGTTCTGAAATAAAAATTGTACAATCGTTTCAGCCATTCAGGAGGAATTTCAATTTGGAAAATAAATACATTTGGGACACAAAAGGAAGAGTGAAGCTTAGAGCTTCGCTTTCTCTGCTCAATAAACTTGTCTTCCGCTGTTCCATAGGGATGACATCTACTAAGGATATTTAATCATAGATTAAGATTAAACTATTCAAATTAAACTATTATTATTAAAACTACGTACCAGTGTCATCAACACAAACTAAACATGAAAAACAAGCTTAAGATTTTATAATGTGATGAGAAGTTTATGAGAAGTCTTTGTTGGTTAGTCTATGGTTAAATCCATAGTATTATTATCCCTATACTTGAAAAAACTTATAATAATATATAGGCTGAGCCTTGTGGAACACTGTCGTCCATTATTTATTAAACTTAAAATTCTCACTGTTGTAAATTTGTATATTTTCTGCTCATTAATGCACATCAAAATGAACTTACAAGAATTTGTCACAAGAGAGAGCATACACAACCACGACACAAGAGGGAAGGTGAGACTTGATATCCCAATGCACAGATTAGCCAAAACTGGGTCATCTCACAAAATTAACTGCATTAGATTTTTCAATAAACTTCCTTCATATGCTAGAACTGCACCAGTCAATGTTTTCAAGAAGAAAATGTACGATTGGCTATTAAAAAATCCATTTTATTGTTTAACTGAGTTTTTAGACTGTCCTGTGATCCTAGATTAACACTTGTAGATAGAATTGGCCAAGAAATGTTGTTATTGTCAGTAGTATTTGGGCCTATATAGGTTTATGATTGTTATATGTGTAGATTTTATTTTCCTTAGTATTATGATAGATTTAGCCTATATTGTATGACGAAGCCTATTTCATGTAATATGATCAATGGTGAATAAAGATTTCTGATTTCTGATTTCTGATTTCTAGTGGTCAAATAAATGTGTAATTTCCAAATAAACCCTACTGTATGATAACAACATACAGTACTCATTATATTCATTATTATGGTTGGTATGACCATATTGATTCTATTTGTCTATATGGTATGAACTTATGTTTATACCTATGTAGATTACATTTAAAAATCATCTGATTTAAATATATAATAATGTTTTATTTGTTTATTTTCTTTATCCTTTCGTAGTTGATTTTCAGTTTGTAAAAAATTGCATAATGATAGGGTACATCAATGTATTTTCTTGTCTTCAGTTACTGGGTAGTTCATAAGATGTTGAAAAACACTACATTATTTTCAAGATATTTCTCCACTTCGAGAGCAAGTATGCAACTGTTACGTGTTAGGGAAGCTATCAACATGGCTCTGGATGAGGAATTGAAAAGAGACGATCGAGTTATCATTCTAGGAGAGGAAGTCGCTCAATATGATGGAGCTTACAAAGTAACCGATGGACTCTTGAAGAAGTATACAAGTAAGCGAGTTATTGACACTCCAATTACTGAACAAGGTTTCGCAGGAATTGCCATTGGAGCTGCCTTAGCTGGGCTTCGGCCTGTCTGTGAGTTTATGACATTCAACTTCTCAATGCAGGCTATCGACCAGGTTATAAATTCTGCAGCCAAGACTTTTTACATGTCTGCTGGCCTTTTCAATGTGCCCATTGTATTCCGTGGACCGAACGGTGCCGCTTTGGGTGTGGCTGCGCAACACTCTCAGTGTTTCGGAGCATGGTACAGTCATTGTCCAGGGCTCAAAGTAATATCTCCGTATAGCTCCGAGGATTTTAAAGGTCTCTTAAAAGCAGCCATTAGGGACCCCGATCCAGTTATATTTTTAGAAAATGAAATTCTCTATGGCTCTGAGTTTGTAATGTCCAAAGAGGCGCTTTCCGAAGACTTTGTGCTGCCGATTGGTAAAGCAAAAATAGAACGTAGGGGAAAACACATTACAATCGTGGCTCACTCAAAAGCTGTTGACACATCGTTGAATGCAGCTAAGATCCTGGCTCGACAAGGTGTAGAAGCAGAAGTGATCAGTCTTAGAACTTTGCGACCTCTGGACATTGACACAGTGGGAAAATCTGTAATGAAGACAAACCATTTGATATCAGTTGAGGAAGGATGGCCGCAATGTGGCATTGGCTCGGAGATATGCGCAAGAATCATGGAGAATGAAGTTTTCTTCCATCTAGACTCGCCGGTGGTTAGAGTAACTGGAGCAGATGTTCCCATGCCATATGCAAAAAGTCTCGAGCGAGCCTCACTACCTCAGCCAAATGATGTAGTTGCTGCTGCAAAAAAAGTGCTTGGTGTAAAATAATTCTGTCGACAGTCTCCTTTTAGTAAGACAAAACATAAACAATCAAGTAACTATGTTTTGTGCTATTTTTAGGACGCACTTTTTAATTGTGGTAGAACTATTTAATAATTGTAAGTAGAAAGGAATTGAGCCTATGTTAAATTATAACAATGCAGAGTGTTGACACTTTATATTCAGTAAATAGTATGAAATACTATTAAATTATAATGTTTAAACACATTCATTTCAGTACATTTTAAATTCTCAGAATAAGACTAGTATAAAAACTTATAAATATACAGTAAATTATAACAGAGATAAGCGTAAAGCGTCATATCCAAAAACACATCTTAAAGTTACGAAGTATGAAGTGGATGGAGCTTCCTATGACCGCACACAAGTGATGAGGTTATCGAGCTTACATATATTACAGATATTACGCTTACACATAGAGCTCTCTCAAAATATAGGCCTAATTTATTTTAATTTAAAAATTACAATATAAATTCATAGTATATTTCACTATATCACCTCAAGAATTCTTAATAAATTATTCTATGTGAAGTCAATGAAATAATATCTACAAGACGTATCCATTAATATTATAAATTCAAAATAAACGAGTGTTGGCGATGTGACAGTTATGGTGACAGACGACAAATAACACGCACTCACTGAGCTAAATTGGATTAGCTCAGTAGTCAGAGTCAGTGATAATAGGTCGCTGTTACAGACAAGCCGGTTATAAAGTAAATGCTGGAAGTAATCTTGGAAAGTTGGAGTTAGATTGAAATATAGGGTAAACGGGCCATCAATATGACGTCACAGATGGCTCCTGCGAACCTCTCCGAAACGCGATATGGCGATGGGTGAGGTTCGATGTAGAGAAAGAAAGAACACAACATGAACATATGATTATTTTGTATTTAAGTCCTTTTGCCGCATTGTGTTGTGTTTGTTTTTGGTGTTCTCAAATCTCAACAACTGTCATGATCATATGATTCTGCTGTTATTCGTCATTCTATTTACGTCATAACTGAAAACATAATTAATAATATTAATATACCTAGGCTATCTAATTAGTTATGAGGACATAGGATTTTATCCATACGATTTTAATTTTTAACAGGTTTTATACTTTTTAATCGGCTATTAGTTGTCATTAATATTGTCAGTTACCCATTTGTGATACTTTCAAGTGCCTTAACTTACCTAATATTTTTATTTGTTTGGGCGTGAGATCCTGCACCGTTATATCACCGTTATGCCAATCAAAGTACCTTTGGGTAAGTTGAAAATAGGGAATTCATTATTTTACCTCTCATAGTAGTTGCCAATTAAACACTACACTGTTTCTGCTTATAGCCTATAAATAGGGATATTTTAATTTCATGATTGGACAAAATTAACTTGGGCCTAGGCCTTTAGTTCGGCAAGAAAACAAGGTCTTCTGCTGATTAATAATAAACTTAAGGTACACTTCCATATCTGTTGGCACAAACAACCGAATGAAAATATCGATTGATATATCGATTATTCGATATATCGTTTGGTTAGTTAGGTAAGGTTAACCTAACCTAACTAACCAAACGATATATCGAACTAAACAACCGAATAATCAATAGGGCCTATTATTCATTCGGTTGTTTGTGCCAACAGATATGGAAGTGTACCCTAAACTTAAATTACTCATGTCTCGTAAGCGTTACTAAGCCCCAAAGGTAAATTTCTAGATTACAGCCACAGTTCAGTCTCAGTTGCATCCACAATTAATTCCTGAGTCAACTGTTTAAGTCAGTTGGTTTCAGTCAGTCTTCTGTCAATTTAAATACAGTGATGTTACAATCAAGATTTTGTTTATTGAAACACGATAACTTAGGCATATTCTTTCAATTTGTTATGATCCATCTTGAACTTACTTAAAATACAACACAATTAAGTTAAGTTAAGGCTATTTGAATAACAAAAAAATAATTTTTTAATGTTAAGTTAAACACATAACTTACCCTACATTGCATGTCCGTCAGGCATCTGACAATCTTAAAAAAACATCAGTGAGGAGATATCTGGAATTGACTGGCAGATGCCGGCAGAGCGACTGAGGGACCTGCTTCAGAACTGTGCGGGATGAGTGTAGCTAGATACAAGATACAAGAATACTTTATTTACAATCTTTAAGATTGAAAGGGCGTCAATACAGAATTGTGCAGTTGCTATATAAAAGTCAATACAAATTGTTATTTTTTAAGAATAAAAAATAGCTGATCAGAGTTCTTGCAGTGATGATTTATTCAAGTTCTTGCCAAGACAAATACTCATTCAGACTATAAAATGGTCTATGTAACAGCCAGCACTTTAGTTCTTTCTTCAGTTTTCTGGGTTGAAGAGACTTCAAGTGGACGGGAAGGACGTTAAAAAACTTGGCACGCATGTATGAGGGTTTCTCTTCATAGAGCCTTGTGTTGTGAGCAGGAAGGTTGTAATCATTTCTTCATCTTGTGTTGTATGAGTGCACCTCCTGATGACGACAGGTCCGGGAAGAGTCGACAATGGTAAGAGTCCGTAGTATGAAGAGGTTGACTACGGTCAGGATTTTTAACCTCCTAAACTCTGGTCTGCAACTATCTGTTGTCTCAATGCCAGTCAGGGTTCGAACAGCCCTCTTTTGCATGATTAGAACTCTGTTAAGGTTCTGTGCCGACGATCCACCCCACACCACAATGCCATAACAGAGAATACTCTCAAGAAGGGCATAGTATGCTGTTAGTGCCGCCTCTTCTGTGCTCACAGCCATTGTTCTTCTCAGTGCAAAAATTGCGGTGCTTAGCTTATGGCAGAGTGCTTTAATGTGTTCGTCCCAAGCGAGATGTTCGTCAATGATGACACCTAGATGTCTTACAGAGCTAACAGAGTCAATGTCGGGAATACAGCAGACGAAACTTTTCCTGTTGCTAAATGAAACTAGCTTGGTTTTTGAGGCGTTGAAAACAAGGTCATGATTGTTGCAATACTCCGCAGCTAGGCTCAAACCAATGTAGGCATTGACTTCTACGTTGTTGATGGGTGAGTTTGAAGAAAGCAAGACAGTGTCATCCGCATACATTATAGCTTTACTGAAGGGTTCGGTGGTATCTGGAAGGTCGTTCGTCGATAAGATATAAAGTACCGGTCCCAGGACGGACCCCTGTGGAACTCCTCTGGACACTGGGCGTACTTCAGATCTAACGGTGGTGATAGTCCTATTCCTGGAGTGGCTGAGTTCGACTAGCTGCATTCGACCCTTCAGATACTGAGTAAACCAACCAAGAGCCGTTCCACATACTCCCAAGGAGCTAAGCTTTGAGATGATCAAGTCATGGCTCAGGCAGTCAAACGCCTTACTCATGTCAACAAAAATGCCGACAACGTTGTTACCACTGTCTATATCATCAATGACGGACTCTACGAAGTCAATAAGTGCCGTGGTTGTGGATTTTCCCTTGACGAAACCATGTTGTCTCTCTGTCAAGAGTTGATTAGAGAAAAGATGTTCTAATAGCCTCTGCAAGACAATCTTCTCCAGGATCTTCGAAAAGGTTGGAATCAAAGATATTGGTCGATAGTTCCCAATGTCAAGTCGAGTTCCTTTTTTGTGTAGGGGAGAGATCTTCGTTGTCTTCATGTTCGATGGGAAATTGCCTTGTGTGAGTGATAATTGAATTACGTGAAGCAAGGGCAGCAGAAGCTCCTGTCTGCAGGATTTCACTATCCTAGCTGATATTCCATCTATCCCTGTTGATGATTTAGGTTTGAGGGAGTTAATCACTTCTAAGAGCTCCGTTTGGGATACCGGCTTGAGGTTGTACATTGGAAAGACTACATTGTGTTTGTCAGTGCTAGAAACTCTGGACGATCGATCTTGCTTTTTGGTTTCCTGGTTTTGGTTGTTCCTTATTGTTTCTTCAGCCACAGTTGCAAAGTAGTGATTAAACAAATTGGCAACTTCGACAGGGTCCTCCACTTCCCTTCCTTCGATTTGCAGTTTGACAGAGTTCGAGGAAACATCACATCTGTTATTAGGCTCGCAGTTTATGGTCTGCCATATGGCTTTGCTTTTGTTGACGGCTTGATTTATCTTAGATGCACTTAGGCCTATTTCTCTTCTAAGAGATCTAAGTTTAAGATCATAAGCCTTCTTCCGTTCAGAAGCTTCTTGTTTGTCCTGGATACAGTTGGTGAGCAAGAACTTTCTCTGAGCATCTAGAAACTCTTGTTTTAGGAGTCTAGCTTCGTGGTCATATTTTGCAGACATCTCGGGTTTGTGATTACGTCTAGACTTTTTCAGAGGACAAGTTACGTCAATGTTTTCAAGGAGTAACTGCATAAAGGAGTTGTATGCATCATCCACGGTAACAGAACTAAAGACAGCGTTCCAATTCTCCTCTGCAAGATTTAGCTTAATATTGTGAAGATTCTTGGCGTTAATGTGTCTGCGGGTTGATGTATTAGTTTGTGTGTGCTCAGCAGGAAAAGAAAGATAGCACAGTTGTCCAGTATGATCCAAGATTGAAGCATTTAATATCTCCCAGATTATGTCTTTGCTGAAATTAGTACACACAGCATCAATAGATGTTTTGGTAGTAGGGGTAATCCTGGTTGCTGGTAGCTGCTCTCTTGTTAAGTTGTGGGATAATAAAAGGTCATTAAAAAGAGAGCAATCCAACGAAGGCTTCAGTCGGTCTATATTTACATCACCTATAAGTATAACTTTGGACCTGAATGTTGAAGGCAAAGAGTTCAAGGTGTCAGACAGGAGCCGAAAGGCTTCGTCAACAAGGTTACGATCCCTGTTAGGGGGGCGATATACACCAATAACAAAAAGCGATTTCCTGTCTTTGAGCTTGATTGACACACCCGAAATCTCACATACCAGAGGTATACTGCGGAGTTCCAAATGCAAGCTTGAGACATTCTCCATTGTATTTTTTCTGTAAATAGCTACCCCTCCTTTTGGAATATCTTGACGTGCAAAAGCTGATACTAAGCAGTAGCCCATAAGCCTAGTGTTGAGGATCTCATCTTGGTTCTTCCCGTGTTCAGTTAAGACAACCAAATCTGGCGAGTAAGTATGGAGCAGATGATTAAGCCTAGCGCCATAGACAAATATCTAGACTGTCAAAGGAAGGTTCCGGCGCCCACCGCTAGGCTTCCTGTGTAGTTACGGCGCACACCGCCGCAGGCGAGGAGCGCAGGAGCCGTATGCGACCAGCAGTCGCTGCAGCGGTGTGCGCCGTAACTACACAGCAAGCCTAGCGGTGGACGCCAGAACTTATGCTAACCGCAGCACAGCTGACGGTCTATATTTATTCTATTTGTCTATGATAGCGCACAAGAAAATCCACTAAAGAATACATTTTTTGACTGTGACTGAACGGTGACTGATGTGTGTGAATAGTAAGTTAGACCTTTAAGGTACCTATGAATATTTGTAAACTGTCAAGTTTAAAGTTTTAATATTCTAGATGCGGTGCCAGCCCAGTACAGGGAAATTGAGGCGGATATTAAGGCAGCTGTCTCTGCAGAGTTCTCAAAGAAAGACATTCTCCGCTCTTTTCTTAAGAAGTCAAAGTTGAGAGATGAAAAACTTGAACAGGTTTGTTCTAGTACAGTAGGCCTAAAACAGTGGTAAGATTTTTGCTATGCTTGTCCAACGTAGCCTAACTTTATTACCGTCTGGCATTTAGTATTACCGGTACCATTAACCAGTGACCATACAATTATCTGTGTATAGCCAATGGTATAACGTAGTACCCTAAAGTAGTACGTAGCCTTGTACCGGTACCCTAAAAGTTTGGTTCTTATAAAACTATTTATAACCACTTTTAAAAACAATATGGTGGGGGAGGGGGCGGTTCGTTATAAGGAGGGAAAGACAAAGGTACGTAAAGCAGAGGTTAAATTAGCTTGCGTATAGAGGCTCTGACAATGATAAATTTGTTATACCGTATTGAATTGAAATGATTTATTTAAGCCAGAATTGTTAAAAACTCGTTAAATCAAGGTTTTTGAAATGGTTTGTTTGTTATGTAGAGGTGAAATACAGTGTTTCCAAATTGCCGGGACATATTTTGTACAGGCTTGTTCCTTGGACTAAGACAAACATAAAATGCCATAGTAAGGATCTATAATGACTAGATTTCTGTATGTCGGTATGTTTGTGATTTAAACAATTTTTTTTTTATTGGTAATTTTTAAGATAGAAATTTCAAAATCATTCTAAATGTGTAGTTTAATAAATACAACATGCATCATGTTAAGGTTGACAAATTGTATGGCATTAAATTTTGCTTGATGATAAGCCATGTAATGTGTTTTCTTCATAATTATTATTAATCCAGAATGTTGGAACTGTGACAAATATGTGTTATGTTGTAGGCCTACTGATAGCCTTGGAAACAGATGTCAAAGTTTCAGATATGGTTCATGGACACTTAAGTGGAGATAATAAAATAATTTGAATTGAAACCTTATTTGTACATACATCCACTGTATAATATTTCATTCAAATTAATGCATACAATCAACCATGACTTGCCATAAATTTAATGTAACTTAGTAATTTTAGAATAGTTGCTTAAAAAATGTTTTAAAATTTATATCGAAATAAGTTACACCTCAAAAAAATTCTGAACTTTTTGTGGTTGAGAATTTTTTAATTTTTCACCGAAATTTTAACTGACATTGCCTCTTAGAACACCTGACTGCATCCTACTGTCTTGTGTTTCCGCTTATCCTCCGACAAGGCTCCTAAAATGGTTCAGTTTTTAATTTCAACGATCATAATTTTCATTTACCTTTCAGCTTTCTTTAACAGTATGCATCATTTGTCCAATTTTAATTGAGTTTTTTTGTTTCTCTAATCCATATCTTAGCTCTTCTAGGAGTGACTTGTTGCCGTTTCCGTCCATCCTACTATGTTTTGATGTAGTTGACCAGTGTGAATGTTGCAGATTTGGGAGTTGCTACAGCTGTCCGAGGATGACGTCACCTCAGAGCAGGTGTTTGCTGCGTTAGCGTTGGTAGCTTGGGCTCAGCAGGGACGAGAACTGTCACACCACTTATTTGACTCTCAAACATCAGGTACGTAAGAGAATTTTACCTGTTTTGTTTTCTTAGTATTAGCCTATCGTGCCTTATGCTTTACATGAATTTTTCAAATGGATATGAGTTCGGCTACCTTACCTGCGAAAGTTATTAGTACATACACGATAAATGGCCACAGAACATAAAACTGTTATTGTGTCTAATGTAGGACTTCCTTGTAGTAAGTTAAAGAATAATGTACTGATTTAAGTTCACAATTAAGATTTTTTAGATTTTTGTACTGTACTGATAAAAATGATGAAGTAATAAAAAACTATTTGGGCTATTATTAGAGTGAAAATTTAAATACTGTCCCGTATTGGTAGTTTTCCTATAGACTGAAGTCCTGAAGCAATTTTCTTTCTTTTCAACTAACACATCAAGAAATGGTTGTTGATCGTTTATTTATTTCTGCTCTGGCTTCCATAAACAAAATATATCGTCCAGATATCTAAGCCATAATTTTGGTTCCCTTCACCATGTCCTTAGGGCAAAACTTTCAAAACTGTCCATGTAAATATTACTCAGTATAGGACTTAATACTCCACCCATTGGTAAACCTGATTTTTGAAGGTAAAACTGAGAGTTGAATTGGAAATAACTGTGATTTACGCACACCCCCAACATTTCCAAAATTGAGGACACAGGAAGATCAGTTCGCTCTTGTAGACTATCGTCTTTCTCCAACTTTGTTCGAACTATGTTTAGCAGCTCATCTTACTGGTATGTTTGTGAATAAGCTGGAAACGTCTTAACTAACCATTATATCTCTTGTACTTACATTTATTCCTTTAATCTTCTATATGAAGTCTGTAGAGTTGTTTATGAATGAGTTTTCTAATCCAAAAAGTGGTTTTAGTTTAGGTAGCAGAAACTTAGACAGCTCATAAGTTGGTGAGTTGATAGAACTTACTATTGGTCTTAGAGGAATTCCATGTTTGTGCAGTTTTGGCACACCATAAATATGGGGAGGTTTTGAAAATTGTGGTGACAGCCTTCTAATAGTGTTGCTTAAAAGGTACGAATTTTAGTCTTTTAATTCAGCCTTAACTTTTAATAATTTAATTTAATTTTTTTTAATTTTTTATAAAACACTAATTGATGAAAAACACTTGCTTATGCATTTTTACTGGAAAATAAATTAGTTTTGTTTATGAAAAGCAATTAATCTTCACTGCTTCCCCAAAAAAACAAAAACCTAGACACAGCCACTATAAAGTTTTAACTCTATGTTGTACCACATGTGTGCAGGTTTACCGTCTGTCTACCTGGGCCCATCTTCTCGTCTCAGGTACTGTGACCTCGTCAGGATCGATACAATAGACATTGAACTTGTCCCTGAGAAGAAAGGACTTTTCATCAAACACGTCGAGTACTTGGTATCAAGCAAGGTAAAGAGGGCATAATAATAATTAATTAATTATGTTTATGTTAAATTATTGATGTTTAACTAGTGAAGGATTGGGATTGGGACATTGAAAGAATAAATGGTCTGTGTAATGTTTATGATTATTTAATTAATACAGGCAGATAGTGTAAGATAGTGTGCCTTATTCTTATTATGGACGGCCACTAAAGTAATTTGGCTCGCGACCGCAACTGCTCATTAGCTTGGGGTGGCCACAGGTGTGGCTAGGGATAGCGACAAGTGTGGCGAGGTCGTGCTGTATTTTATGCAGACTTTTATGTAGTCTCTCAGTTTGAATGATGTAGTCGTCCAATGAAGAAGATGAACTATTTCTTCTACTTTTTGTAGTTTTTGTTATATTTCCGGATGTTCTTTTGATGAACTTTTAGCAAAATAGATGGTGACTTATCTATGGAGTGGGGGGTGTGCTGCGTCCCGCCACTCATCCTACACTCATCCTTCACTCATATTTGGGTTAAAATACGCACATAGTGGCGTCCCCATCTTAAATAATTGAATTGAATTGAATTGACTGTGGCTGCGCGTAATAAGCACCATATGAGAACATGGCTCACTGGTGGTATGACAGTCGCTCGGGCTCGCCACCAATAGCGAGGGTCCGCGACTGGGGTGGCTAGTCGCGGCAACTGTCACTTGCGTCATTACCGTGATCGCGTCGCTTAATAAGCTCCACGATAACATGGCCTGCTAAAAGTGGCCTTTGGGCAGTCGCAGTGGCGAGCTACTCGAGTGGCCACGCATAATAAGGCTCTTACGGGCACTAACAATAATCAATAATTTACCTTTCCTAATTTTGAAATTAAAAACCTAACTATCTTATATTTCTTTTGTAATATTTGTTTCTTTTTAAAAATTGAAGCACGTAGAAAGAACTGCGTTAGACACAACTTTGGGAATAATACAGAAACAGAACCATAACAATTTTCCTTACGAGAAAAAACATACCTAGTAAAAAAAAAATACTTAAATGTATTGTATGAATATAAAATAATCAGATTTCGGAAGAACTGCTTATGTGTCAAAGCAAAATACATCCTAAAAAGATAATCATTTGAGTTAAGGTATCTAAAAAGATTTTTACTGAGGTTGTTTGCTGCAGAGGTTCGATTCAAGAGTGAACCGGCGCTACAATGACTTCATTGCCCTCTACGAGGTTCTGCTGAACCGGTTCCCGTACAGACTCATCCCCAAACTGCCCCCTAAGAGGATGATTGTGGGAGGTGAGAATATAAAGCCAGTACAACGTTTCTCTAACCCTTTTTCTCTTAATAAATAAGCCAAGTTTTCCTTTACACCTTGGAATGGAATCAGAAAAATACCCCTGCCACAGCAAACCTGCAGACTAAGCAAATTTCCATTTGCCTGAATTGATTTAAAATTAAATCTATTTAAATAACATTAGGTTTAACGAGTACCTAGGTTTGCTGCTACAGGGACAGGCTAATAAAGTGTGTTTTTAGTAAAATATTAGTAGCATAGTATAAAATAAATAATTTTGCCAAGTTTCGAAATATTTTCATAAACAAGCAAACTAGGCCTACAGCATTTTACACTATTCTCCATAAGAATAGCATGAGAATTTCATATTTGCAATTTTTGGAATTTTTCCTTAGTTAACCAATAATTGTACAAAAACACTTTGGCATACTAAATTATTTGTTTTTTAAGCTCTTTAAAATGGTCTAGAGAGAAATTGGGAAATTTTGTGTTTTGAGGGTCAAAAATGGAAAAAACCCTATTTTTACCCCATAAAACCCCCCCGTAAAACCCTGTTCCCATGGTCCGATAATGCTGGTTTGGGAACTAATTCAAGTTTACACCTTTAAACCAAATTTTATCAAAATCAGGCAAAAGTTGTCGCGTTTACGGATGTATATATCCAAATATATAACAAGTAGGCCTATATATATATGAACGAATAGTGTTTTTACTTCTCTAGGGACATCAAAATGAAAAAGTATATCGGTCCCGGCTCCAGGTCTTACCGTGCTACCTATGGTAATTAGCTACTTCCCTATAGGGAAAGAAATTAATAAAAAAACACAATAGCAACACAATTGGTCGTAAACCCATTGCCTCCTTTAGTTCCTTTATATTTCAAACATATTTGTGCAAACTGTCTGAAAAGTGTCCAAGTGTCAGTTATAAATGTTTGAAATATTATTTTTCGAATGTTTCAGCCAGTGCTTCCATGTTGCTGGGTGCCGCTGACACACAGTTCATTGAGGAAAGACGACGCAGCCTTACACGATGGCTGACACTGGTTGCACGACACCCCACCATCAGGTATACCAACAGTAAAATAGTTATTTTATTTCCTTTCTTCACATCCTATGATGCTAGGCTATAGTCCAAAACCTTTTTGTATATTATTTCAGGCTTGGCCTAAAAGATTGCGGCTTTATCATAGCTAAAGCCTTTGGTGACTTGTAGGATTTGAACTCAGGACCCCGGGGAAGCCCCACGCTCTACCCTGCTGTTAGACCTGCTCACTCTAACTGTAACCGAGTAGGGCAGTTTTTGTTTGGATAGTAGGCCTAACCGAATGGGAGGGAATCTAATCTGTCATAAGAAAGACAAACAAGTTTACAATACACAAAAAGTAGCCTAGATTTTGTAGCGTGGAGGGGGCGGGGAAGAAATGTGTGAAGCTTAAGGGAAGAAATAATTGAAATACATGGGCCAAGATGGAGTGATATTGAATTGATTGAATGATTGAGCGTGAATTGAATCTGCTACCAAATTAATTTAAATTCTAAAACTGAGAGTTTTGCTGAAGACCAGAGGGATGGAGATCTTTTACCCAGACCAGAAATCTTGCCTAGCCAGCTTTGATTTACTAATTAATTGTCTAATTTCCTTATAAATACCTTCCTAACTACATAGAGAACTGATATTGGTTGGGTTGCTAAAGTAGTTGAATAAATTAATGTGGTTGGGAATTAAGTTTACTAAACTGGAATCTACTGTGAAATTAGCTGAACATTATGGAAATCATTCTGAGAAAAACGTGATTTTACACGTTGGAAATTGGCATACTTGAGAATAACGAATAGAAATTCTAACGAATAGCACTATTCATTAGTTTTTTGGCTAATTTCTATTTTATTCGTTTGTTTTTAAATTAACTAACTAATAACTTCTATCAGTTACTTTTTACGGGACTAACTAATAACTTCTAACTAGTTAGAATTTTCAACTAACTTTCCCAATTATGCGGAAGCATCTCAAATACTGGTTATTTATTTCACGTGTTCAGTGAGGGTTGTGTGCGGCCGTGAGAGGTCAGTGCCCTTGTAGACAAACAACGTGGGGGGTGGGGAAAGAGAAAGTCAAAGTCCAGTTGCTTTGGAATGCAGTGGGCCTGTGGAAGGGTAGTGACGGCCATTATCAACACCCCAAGCACTAATGGGTGGGAAGGGGAAATGTTTGTTGTGATTGATATAGGCCTATCATTTCAAGTGTCAAAACATTGTCTTTAGTTGATGTTCATTATCTGTCAAGTTTTATGTCATTTGTTTATGTTGTAGTAATGTAAAATGTGACAATGTTTGATTAAAACACAAGTACCAGGGGACCGATCTAGCTCAAGGTGTTTGATTTGTTCAAGAGGTAAAAAATAGAGCTTATATAAGCCTACAAATATTTTCAGTCTTACTACGATTAATTAAGTAGTAAAGTCAATTTGTTAGACATCCACTAATCCTCAATTTAGTCTACAAAACCTTTTAATTTGGACGATCAATCTATAAAATGTCCACAATAAGCTTCAATCAATATACAACTCATGATACATAACATCTGTTATCTGACGACCGTTATTGCATTAAGTCACTGGCATCGTGGAACGTTGCAACTATAATTACGGGATGGTGTAATAACGCATCAATTCGTGCTGTGCATCGTCGAAAAATACAAATCTCCTTGGCCTTTCCTTTAGATTTTTAGTTCAATGTCAGTGTATATTGTTTTGCAGTAAAACACTTAATGTTTTTGAACAGTCGTAATTATCCCTTTGGTTAGTAAGACATCATACAATGCAAATGTATTATACAAGCAATTTTTAGTAGCATTAAAATTGGAGGAAATTGTAGGAGCCATTTTTTAAATCATATCTTGCGCAATCTGAATCTTTACTCATATTATAGTATATATTAGTAACCAAGATGTGACATTAAAAAATACTTTAAAACAACTGCCCAACGAACTAATTTCTACTAAAACTAACTTTATTTTCTATCAGTTAGTTTTTCAACTAACTAATAACTTCTATCAGTTACTTTTTAAACTAACTAACTTATAACTTCTATCAGTTACTTTTTACGGGACTAACTTATAACTTCTAACTAGTTAGAATTTTTGACTAACTTTCCCAACTATGGAAATTGGTCAGGGTAGAAGGGCCTCGAGCTAATCGATTATTAAATTCCTAAATCTTAAATGTCCGGGCGACCCTTGTGGGTTCCCCCTTTATTTAGCTGACTTAGCCTGATATACCTCAGATCTTAATTAAAGCTTAAAATGGTAACACTTATCCATTTTGTTGGATGATACACAGTTGTAATTTTGGATGATCCTTCTTCTACGCCAGGTTTTCGAGGAGAGAGGATTGGAGAGAAAAGGAGGGGGGAGAGTGTTCGCTCAGTCACGGCAGGCGGCCGAGTTCAACATGCAGCCCGGCGTCGAAGCTTACCGACACTATACAAAAAATCGTGCTGCTATGCGTTACAGATTGTTTTACTGTCACTGACAGAATTAACCACCAAGGAAGGTTTGAGTTAAGAAAAGGAAAGGGTAGTGAAAGTTACAGTGAAATAGCATCAAACATGCAGTTCACCAATGGCCGTTTTGCTACTTCTTGTTTAACTAACCTTCCTCTCTATATCACTTAGAGAGTTTGGTGAACAACGATATATTGTTGAATTGCACTCAATGGGTTAAATTAACTTGTATTATTTTGTCCTCTTAGTACGGATCCGATTCTTCACTACTTCCTGACTGCGCCTGTAGATGACTTGCAGTTCAAGATACGTGAGACTTTCCGTAGAATGCCGGATGAATTTGCCACATCAGAGTTTGCTGTTGCCAAGGTAACTGAAGTCTTATGGCTGAAGGGTGTTACATGTAAGAATTACAACCAAACAATGTTATTTCTAGAACCAAAATTAGAAAAGATTTGTTTTAAGGGCTAAGCTCCTAGGGCCCTCCTGATTACCCGACAAGATGTATAAAAAATACTTATGTTATTGAACTAACAAGATGGTGTGAGGTGGATAAAAGTTGCATGCTCCTTGGGCTCTGGTAGTTTGCGTAGTCAGTGATACACAATCAATTTGTGGATATTTTAACTTGAGTATTTTGTCTAATTTTACTAAAGTGGCAACCTTTTAATTTTGTTAGCTTTTCAAAATTCTTTGGAATGTTTTTACAGTTTTAAGTATAACGCAAATCTTTATTGATTCTATTGTGTAATTTCCTATTCAAAATAGTTTGCATAATTCAACCTACAGACCCTCCTCAGCAGACACATCTTTTGTTATACACATCAAACTACCCTATTATTATGTCCTGCTTTACAATCTGTTACAAATCTCTGTTGACAAACAAATAGTGAGATGTGATGTGACTCAAGTACGTAATCATATGAATATCAGATGCATAAGAACACACACATTTCACTTCATGAGGGTTGTCTGTAAATCAATATCTCCAACAAGCTCCATGGTCAATAGTTAGTTCAAATCTAACACCAGCGATGTGTTCTCTATTTTCTTCACTGCTATTCTAGTCAGTCTCCAGTGCTATGTGAAGATTATTCGTACCGTAGTGGCAGTGCCAAGTGTGAATTACTACTGAAGCTCATTGACATTAATTTGTATCTTGTAAATCTTGTTGTAAAAGTTGAACTGTAAACGTACTTGTAACGTTTTAGGAGCTAGTGCCGGCTGACAGCACCAGTGAGTTTGCCACCAGCCGAGAGCAGATCAGAGTAATCCTGCAAGGAGTGTCTCGCATCAAGCAGATCGCTGAGAACTTCGCTACTCGCTCATACGCGTCAGTTGACTATTCACTTATTGCTAGATTTGAAGATAAAACTGTGTGACTGTGGTACTATTTTAGGAAAGGGATAGAAAGAGATGTAAAATACTTAGTTATTTATAACTGTGGGTAAATATCCAGGGTTTAGCCAGCGTATCTGAACAAAATTACCTGACTGCAGAAGGTCTCTCCTCCTTTTCCTCTCCAGGAACTTAGAGGTGTAAAAAGAAATTGCTCAACATGACAATGCTATTTTATCCTGTAGGATGTTGCTCAATGAGAAATCTCAGGAAAAAAAAACTTTATCAATATCAGTTGAGACTCAAGTTTATTCAAAAATTGAAATTGTTTATGTGATTTTCTGAATTAGCTCACTTTAAAGAAAACTATCATTATTGTTAATTTGAGAGGAGGTTAACGATGTAGTCAGACATTAAGTGTGTTGAGCATTAGTGCTAAATGTGTACTGTAAATGTTATTTTTTGAGTTCAAGCTTAAATTTTGATGTATGTAGATTTGTTTATAATATATTTAAAGATAACATACACTCTAAAATTATTCCTCACTGTTACTAATATTTTGTGGTTTTTGATTTCCATGTTTAATTTGTATAATGGGGTTAATAAGTTGGATATACTATTCTGAACATTTGAGATTTTCTCTTGCTCTGGAACTATTCACAAATAAATCTGAAGTGGAAACCTATAATCTTTTAACATCTTAATAGGAAAATACCTTGATTATTTAATTCTACGGCTAATATCGTTTGCATTGGTTAAGATAGAAAACTAGAGTGGTTGACCTAAGGATCAATATGTGGCATTGTCACACAACACAGGTATGCAGACGATGTGGGGGAGTTAGCAAGTCAGCTGAACAAACTGGCAGTAGAACCAGGCGGCAACAGTGAGTGGGCGACTGGAGGAAACAGCACCTGGACCAACATGAAGAGAGGATTCTCACTCATATCTAGGTAGGTGAATCTTTAGATTCTGTATCTCTAGATAGTGTGTCTACACTATTAATGTTGCACCTTAAAGCTAAGTTAATTTTTTTACTACTACTTGCTTTTTTTATTTTACTAGTTTTTGAACTAGTTTGTTTGATAAATACAAGGTTAGGTTAGGCTAAGTAATGTTAAGTTAGCCCTTTACTTATTCCTTTTTTACGCTATTCCGTCTCATTACTCTTAACTTACTAAGCTACCTCCTAGACAATAGGCTTACTTCAATATTTTGCATTAGAATCTTTAAATTCTAGATTTGTCACGGTTAGCCTTGATCAAAGATTTGCTGTCAAGATACAGGAGATTAGTGATTGAAGCTTGAGTCAAGCGTCGGCCACTATCCAGTATCGTCTGCCATATGTTTCATTACAATCGTCGTTTGTTGTGACAGAGAGATGAGTGTGATGTCAGGCAAGGCCAGTTCCCTTGCGCAATGTGAGGAGACGGAGGTGTGTGAGCGACTTCGTAGTCTATCCGACGTGCTGGCCGGACACGCTGACTTGTGTGAGAGGTAACGTACCTAGGAACTTGTCACTCAAGATACACACTTAGACGTTCTCATTCATTATTACGTTTTTCTAGTGATGTGTCGATACCAATACCAAAATTGATAAATTTTCAATACCATTTTTTATAGTTCTACAAAATATTCTGAATGATTGGTTATACTACACCAACCCCTGTCTTTATATCCTTCTATCAAGTATTTATAAGGTAATGGGGTGTTTTTTAAGTAAAGAAAATAATTATGCACCAATGGAAAATTCTAACTAGCCAATATAAGTTTAAACCCTCCTAAGCACAAATTTAATAACTACCATATTTACGGTAAACGAAGATTTAACAACAAAAATCAAATAGAACATGTTATTATGGCCAGAGGTGTGTCAGCCTGATATTTTCAGTCAAGCCAAACTCGAGGTAATATCTTGATCGTCTCCCGCATTTGTGGAGACATTATTGTCGTCTTCTGGGATCACCGCAAATTCATGAATATCTTTCTCAGTCACGGAAACATCAAAACTGTCTTTTGCGTTTGCGGCAAAATCATGAATATTGATCATCGGTAATAGAAACACAATCATCGTCTCTCGCAGTTGTGTAGACATCATCATTGACTTCCGTGGTCATGGAAACATCATTGTTATCTTGCACGATCACAGCAAAATTCTGAACAACTTATGCGTTTTCGCTCCACAACACACCACTGCTTATAATGATACTAACTTGACAGGGTGGAGAAGGGAGTGGCCAGTGATCACCAGAAGGCTTTGTCCAAGATGTTGGCTCTGAAGCGCAGGCAGATGCAGGGAGTTCTACGAGGCTCTGATGTGAGTAAAACACTGCTAATATGTAACCTCTAGCTTTTATACTGTAGTTTACAATGGGGTCATGTTATCATGTGGAACTTATTGGTCGTAAGTAGCCTTGGAACTTTGGACCACATGGCACAGTCGGAGGGAGGGGGATTTTGAAGACTTGAATCATCATTTAGAGGGGTCTATGATCTTTCTTTGTGTTAAGTTTAGCCCTGTCAGTTAGGTAATCTTTGTGTTAACCTTCTCTTTTCTAAAATCAATTTTTAAACTTATCACACAGCTACTACTCAAACTACTAATTTTAATAAGCTGATTACTGAAAAATGAGTTAGCTAACCTTAACCAATGTTTATTTTACAAATGTAATTCTATGATATTTGATTGATAGGCAGAGAGTGTGGAGACTCTAGAACGTCGTATGCTGGCGCAGGAGTCCATGATAGCCTCTGTAGAACAACGGGCTGCATTTTCTCTACACTGTGTTCACATGGAAACTCAGGTACATTCACAGGACGTCTGGCCGACCTGGAAACGGGGAAAATTGGGAATTGTGCGTGAATTTTGATAACCAGGGAAAAATCTGTGTATTGTTCGTGAATTTTGAACCGGGAAATTTAAATGTTTGAACCGCCGAGAAATCCACGCAAAATCTTAATTTTTATAGTTTTGCGTAGTCTAAATTTGCGTCGTCATGAATACCAAAAATGATCATGGATGTTGCCGCGGTTGTGGGAAAACGTTACAAATTTTGCCCGTTCAAAAAATAAGATCAGCGATATTCTTGCGATTGCAAGAAATTATCATGGCCACCAAAGGGTTTAAAAATATTCTTGCAGGTGTAAAAGAACAAGTAAGTTTTGCATTTAAGTAAGTTTGCAAGCGTCAAGCTTTGCATCAAGCTTTGCCCTGGAAATGTTGAAATTTTAACCTAGAAAACCTGAAATTGTTTTTGATTTTTATTTTTCTAAAAAATTTTCAGAATTCCAGTAAAACTCAAATTGTCTGAATTTTTGGTTATCCGAATGGGGTCCGGTCCCAATTGATTAATGATTAGCGTAATTGAAATTCTACTGTACTTTACTGTAAATACATGGTCGATATCAACACACTGCATGAGTGCAAATGCAATAAGCACGTTTCACTTATACATCAACCTCGTACGAGGGACGGATACTCTGCTAGTATTTGATGAATACACTATCTCAAATCATACTTTAATGTAGTGTTGTGTTACAGCTGGTCCATGCTCAGCTGGAAGTTTTGGCGGGAGTTCTTAACACTCTGGTGGATGTACAGGCTAACGGCCACGCTCAGGTATGACAACCTTACAAAGTTGAAAGTACATTACCATAGCACTAAGCGCAGTAAATTCTTTTGATCTCCTGTGTGTCTTGTTTTTGTGAGAGGTTTACACGTCCATGAACCACGTACTTGTATAATTTTATCAAGCTGATTTTTATATCACTGCAAACTATTAGAAAATGTTGTCTTTTGTGAATACCCCAACTGTATTTGTACGAAAAGTTTATTTATATATATTTCATAGTATATTCTGTAGTTTTGCAAATTTTGTACACATATAATATCTACTTTCATGAAACTTTAAAAAGTTGCTTCTGCGTCACTGTAGCTAACGCTTGAGGATTATTCCTTTCCTAAAAATTCATTGTTGCTTGTACAGTTTTATGAAAGAACCGTGAAAGAATTGTTGCTCTTACATGATGTGAAGAATTGACTAGTAATATTTACACACGGGAAAGTCTAGAAGTGGATTAGTTTGCATCAAGGTTATTGTTTGCAATGAGCTACAAGAGTGTAAAACAAAGTTTGTTCTTTGCTTGGGAAAGAGTAGCCCATAAAGTTAAAAAAAATTTATTCTTGGCACAAGAAACTCAAATACGGTACTGCACACCATACACAATATTCCAACTAATGTGAATGCTTGAATGCTATTAAGTTTTTGTTTTACTTGGGGAAGGACTGGTTCTCTTTTAGGTAAACATGCTATCAACAACAATCCACACACGTGTTGTGTCTATATAATGTCATTAGGGCTTGCATTCTGTCTACAATAGGAGCCTTTTACAGTTATGATTTTTCACCGAACCTCATTCACAATGAGGTTTTTATTTTTGTTTGAGTGTGGCCGCAACCAATATTCTATGCGAGATAATTTATTTTATTTTTATGCTGTGAAAAATGTTTAGTAGTGCGAGTAGTAAAAGAGTACAATCTTTTCCCCCAGATTCAGTGTCTTGGTTCAAAACAAAACAACAGGTTTAGGAGTTTGATTGGGGGTTAGGAGTAGTCTGCTCATCGTTTTTCCACATTGACAAACATCTTCTGTTTTCAGTTGGCAGGTATTTGGCGAGCTATCCATCCTACAGTCTCTAAATGCCTTCCGGAAAATCAACGATCCTCATAGGAGTAGGCCTATATAGTTGACATTATATTATAATCAATTTATTTATAATCATATCCATAGTTATGATAGATAGGCAAATATTCAAAGTTAAACTAATTTTTGCACCAATTTAGGATGCAATGGACATTTAAGTGTTGAATTTTATCCTAATTTGAAATAAATATTGTAGCCTTCTAATTGAGAAGACTCACTTTAAAATATCCAAGATACAGTTTTTTTTACTTTATTATTACATAAAAAATAATCATTAAATTATCAAATAGATTTATTACTTTTTATTGGTCTCAGTAGTACTGTGCTACATGAAAATGTTACTATTGTCTCTATCAAGACTTAGTTTAATGCTTTCTATTCAAACTATTTTAATCAACACGACCTTAAAAATATTTGTATATAAGGAAACCATATCATTACCATGCTATTGCACCCATATGTGATACATCCAGAGATTTATATATTTTAAATATTTTATTTGTTGATTACTCTATAACGTTATTGGGAGAAGGTATATTTTACTATTCGTATCTAAACATATTGTATGCTCACCTTAATCAATAATGTTGTTATAATTGTTATTATTATGATGGAATTAATACACTATATTTGTGTGTTATGAATCAACGAAGTATGAATGAGTTTGTCATATGTAAAACTAAAACCTCAAACACCAACTATCTTTTATGTAGACACAGCAATAACTTTAATGGCTGCCATTTGTAATACATTGTATTTCAACTTGATTATTATCATATTTAGAGTGTTTAGTTGGAAATAATATTGTTGACCATATTTATTGTATGTTATTCCTCTAGTAATTTAGAATATAATATTGTTTTGTATTGGGCAGGTTGGAAAAACATTGTTACTCTTTCTTCTATTGTTATTATTTGTCTGTGATTAAAAGTGAATTCTGGATGGTTACTAATTCATTAAGTAATATAATATCAGGCATTTTCAACAGTTACAGAACATAGAGGGTGACTTACAAATACAGGTGAAGTAATCAAGTTGTTATTATAATTATTTTTGAAACTTTCATAGTTCCTACTTTAAAAGTGCATTTTTTACTGTTGCGTTTGCCATATTTGGAAAACGTGTTTTAACTGTTTATTTGTCATAATCAAGTTATTTTATGTAGTGATAGAACATACATAGAGAATAATATATTTTATATACATAATATTTACTTTTATATCCAAATATGTGGTTGATTCAATTTCCAATGAAACCATCGGCTACATAATTTAATTTAGTATATCTTAAACAATATTTTTTCCTTTTTCTTGTATCTTGTTAAATGTTTTTTCTTGGCTAAGTAAATTTCACTATTAATAGTAAAACAAAAGTTTAAAAGAACCTTAGATTTGAAAAAGTGATTTTAGTCTTGAAGTATAAATTGTAGACCTTCTTGCATGGCATAATTGTGTACGGTATTTAATATTTATCATGTAGCTATAAAGCCCTTGCTTTACGAGGCAACTAGTTCGCATTAGTAAAATTTCAATTTTAATTCTATAGGTACTAATTCCTTTTAAAATGTTATCTATTAGTTACAGAGTTAGTTAGTTTGTGTTATTTTACTTATACTCAGTAATTAATATAAAAAATCATTAGGTTGTGTATTTAATTTGTTTATACTGTAAGAACATCGAATATAAAATTATATGTGTAGTTTATGTTGATTCTAAAGTGCCTTTGTATTCAGTGTAATCAATCGCCATTTTAAAATCAAAATTATATTTATCGATAACGTGTGATATTTACAAACTACTAAACAACCTTTGCTAGGTTTGTTGATTGATATTTAATAAAATATTATTAATAAATTGTTACAAAATCCTTTGTTCCCAATTTATTTAACTGATACCCGAAAAAGTTATATTTGTTATGATAAATACTTTTACTAGATGCTGCTATATGTACAAAATACAAGCGAGTTATAAGAGCCCAAAGTGATTTGAACAGGTTGTAACTTACATAATTTGGTGGGGGGATACGGAGAATGAGTTAAGAATGTTATGCTCTTTTATTATTTTTATTACAGATTTAAATTATATTTTTTCCCTCAAATGAATCCATTGAACAATATCACGCAGACAATTTATATTTGAAGTACAGCTTTACTTCTTCTATGTCTAACTGCAGTAGTATTCAGATATTTAAGGATTTTTCTACAATAAGGCTATAAAATTGAATGTTCAGATACCAAAACAGCTGTTTCATATTTCACATGTGTTTTGAGTAATTATCATGCTTACCAGCAGCTGGCAATTATAAACTTCCAAAACTCAACAATGTTGCCATCCTGTTTCATCAGTGGATAATGTGTTATAGTTCTGAGTTCTTACAAATTATAATCTAGTTTTTCAATGGCTGTTCCAAGTAGTTTTTTGCCTGTTAGAAGACCGAAGGTTTCTAAATCCACTAAGTGTGTGAGTTAAGAAGAATGTTACCCCTTAGATAATATTTTCATAGTTAACTTTTGTTTCTTATGAGTTCCCTGATATTTGAAAAATAATACGGTAGGTTCTTGAAAATCTGGACTTTTAGGAGATCTGGATTCTAAATACTCTAAACTTTTCAGAGTTGTTTTTAGGTTTGACTTGGGGCTTTTTTTGTCCTAGAATGCTAGGCACGAGCCTGGGATTGTTTTTCACATTACTTCAGGCTAGACAGCGGTTGCGGCATTATCACTTACGATAAAAACAATTGGTGATTTGGCGGGATTTGAACCCGGGACCTCTTGGACCGAAGTCCCGCGCACTAACCACTAGACCAGCTCGCTCCCCAATGGCTTGGGGCTTAAGGACAAGTAGTTTGCTACTGATAACTACCACCATCTGCCACCTGGTTGGTGTAGGTGGTTTGGCGAGAAGTTGCAGATTAGAATCAATGAGGCCTCCGGCGGAGCATCAGTTGGTTTAGAAATACATGTGGTATTGCTACAACTCCATTAACTAAACCTAATGTTTTCGACCAGTGAATAGACCTAAGTGGCTAGGAGACTTGTGAATACTAAATAATTCCATATTATTATTATTTAAATAATATTGCAGGTCGTGTTAAAATTTTGACCTTTGGGTATCGAACCAACATCAGGTCGGGTCAAAATCGGGTTTCTTTGGAAACTGTAGTTAAACATTAATTCTTTATCATATAGTCTGTTTAAATGTCTTCTGCAATAGCGGCAAAATCGTGAACACGAAATGAAATTGAAAATGAGTGAAATTGTCGTCGGTCAAAATGAAATTGTGAAATTGTGGCAGTCGCAGTGAAGTCATAAACATCTTCTAAGATCAGGAAGAAATCGCCAACATCTTCTGCGTTTGTGGAGACAATATCTTTATCTCTTGTGATCGTGGCAAAATCTTGATTTCGATTTTGACAATCGGGAGAATAAAAGGTTGGCTCAAAAATCGAACCCTAGTAGATTATCAGTGGAATTAGTTTTTTAAGAGAAAAGAATTCCTTAGATGCCAAGTGAGACCCTTTCCCTGAGGTCCCCTGCAACCACGGTATCCACCGTTAGGGAAATACCGTTGTAGTAGTTGTCAACCGTTGCTGTTGTACTTAATAGTACTTAAGCACATTTTAAAGAACCTGACAACTATTATATTTACTTAGACAAAAATGTTCCCTGCCTAACAAACTATACAACTCATATCAGTAGAAACTGGAAATAGGGAATGCCTCTGTTAAGTAATACAATGTGTGTGTATTAGCGTTTTCAACCCCATTTTCCTTCTATTTTTATGGAGATACATGCTATTTAAAATTAAAAATTTGAAGGTGGTATAAAACTTCTTCACCAAGTACTGAACATCCAACCTGTATCTGTAACACCTGTGCAGCTTGGTTCAGTTCATCCATAGACAAATAGAATAAATATAGACCGTCAGCTGTGCTGCGGTTAGCATAAGTTCTGGCGTCCACTACTAGGTTTACCGTGTAGTTACGGCGCACACCGCTGCAGGGTCTGCTGGTAGCATACGGCTCCTGCGCTTCTCGCATGCAGCGGTGTGCGCCGTAACTACACGGCAAACCTAGCGGTGGGCGCCGAAACCTTCCTTTGACAGTCTATATTTATTCTATTTGCCTATGGTTCAACACCGTTCTGTTTCAGCTAAGGTTCTTCTGTAGCAGTGTTCCTGCTGCATTAGCAAGCGTTTCTCTCCTATTGACAATCTTCATATTGATGTATAACAACAGACAAGCGATAAAAGAACTTTTCGCCTCATCTATCAACCATTCCATCACATTTTAAAGTAAGTTAATCAGTTCTGTAATGATTCTTCACTAAATAATGTAGTATAGTAAAGGTTTTGATTTCAGATTAGATTGGATCCGTATGATTTTTCAGACTTTGTTATTGAGCAAGATCACAAGGATTTAGGTTAGCTGATGGATGCTTTTTGAAGTACACAAAAAGATTTAATATAATAATGCACTATTAAGAAATTATTTCATTTTGTGTCTGGTAGTTCAAATCAAAGGGGAGTAATGACATCAACACTTTCCCAATATCACCACAGATTTTCTTTAACAAAATTATATTCAACCAGTATAATAATTTATTATTTTAGAGTTGTCAATAGTGTTTTTTCTAACTTAGAGATAAAATGTTGAAGTTGCCGAAGGTGCAAATACCTGTTGTGTGCTTTTTAGGGTGATGTATTTAAACCTCAAGAGATTTTAGTGAGTCGGTAGCGTCGCAGACTTCGGGCCCAAGGCAGCGATGTCGTGGGTTCGGATCCTGGTCACTGCCGAAAACATTTTATCAGTACAGTTCACCTTTGTACTGTACCGGCTCACTCCTTGCTTTGCTGTATACGATCCACGCACGGGCGGTTAGTCTATGTGGACGGGCAATTGCAAAAGTTGAAAGAGGCTGCCAACCTCTTAAAAAAAAAATTCTGCTTTTATGATACTCCTCTAGTATCATCATTAGTATTGTGTTAAAATTAATTAAAAATATTAAAAGTAAAAGAGGGGGCATGGGAATTTGTAATAACCACACATGACAGTATGTAAAAGATACGAATATAATTATAATACCGGTACTTATCTAATATTTACAAAAGTATAGTACATGTGGGACTACAGACTAAAATGGCTTACATTGAGCAATATGCGAGACTGAGTCTCTTTACGATCGTTTAGTGATTGGAATAAATATACCTGTCAAATAAATGTGATATATTAAAATCTGAAATAACAAAATGTAAGTTACATGTTTTTTACTATCTACTATAATCTAATATATTTAATCAACAAAATAACGAGTTTAAAATGTTTTTTTAACAAGATTAATATTTTTATAAATATAAATAAAAGGGTACTAAAGATGTACTCAGCTTTTAGTGATGTAAATCAAACAATATAGAGCAAATAGTAATCGCATAGCTGAAATTAAACATTGATAAAATATATATTTTTTTATTTAACATTTAACTAAACACTTTTGTAGATATCACAAGAGCTAACATTTGCTTAAAATCAGCTATAATTATTCCAACTCGGTAACTTTAGAGGACAAAATTTGTAACTATTGGGCACTAAAGGGGTTTGAGTATTCATATACACATTTTAGTTTTTGTCGTTGAACTACAAATGTGTTACATAAAATTACGTCATTCATGATACATTGGACGATAGATTATCTACAAGGTAAATAGTTTTCACTAGAGTATCGTAATGCTTCACAGATACGCTAGGACTGTACACACAATCGGTAATACTGTTTAAACATTTAAAAACCTTCCGAAACGCCAAGATCACTAAATAAAACTCTTAAATAGCTCATACAATATACTGGACGGCACATGTGGCAAGTAATGACTCTTGAGCAATGTTTCTTGTGCTTCACAACTCGAGAGTTATTGAGCTGCGGAAATCACCAGTGAGAGAGAGAGAGCATTATGTGAGCAATTTCTCAAAATATTGCAAGTTTTCAGATATCTTTAACTCGACTACATAAGTTTTGTAAGGGTGTGCGAGAAATCATCTAGTCTATGGTTTAGGTTTGATCTGAACGTTTAAACAAATTGCTTTGTAGTGTTTCACGCATTCATCATCCATTTGGGATGCATTACGGACATTTTAACATACAAAAAATCCTGAACAGATCAATGTTTATAGCTGGAATAAAATCTTATTTTGTATACTGTAAAATAGTTTCACACCACTGACTTATATTCACAAGATCGATATAATATCCAAAGCTAAATTACTTGAGGCACAATGTTATCACTGGTGTAGAAGGTCTGAACTGTACATAATGATAATATCTCTCAAGCAAGTGGTTCAAGCTTACTTGCAAATTAGGCGATATTTGTGGTAAACATGATTATTTCAAAAATGAGGGTAATTATAATTCAGTACCAGACATCATACCTGGATTTCATCGAATTGGGATTAAAGTATTAAAGGGTTAGGGGATAAGTCAGTTTCAATTTGGTGAAGAATTTCTGTAACAAATATTTGAGTGGTGATTTGTGGAAGACTCTACTTTTGGTTGAAATTATTAAGAGGACAATCTATGCTTTGGGTCAAAGGGAATGCCTAAAGCCTTTTGATTCCCTCTTTACATTCTTTATCATAATGTCTAATCAAGGCACATGTGGTAATAAAGAAGGCTATATAAAATTAGCATTAGAGCTATTCACACTGTACCTCAAGGTGGTACTTTAGAACTTTTTTGCACTTTTTTCCCTGGATTTGTTTATAACCAATTGTACATGGGATATCTGAAGGTTGTGCACTAAGACTTCTTTTTCCACTGTTCAGCTCTCAGCTGGTGATTTTCCATCTTCCGCCATTTCTCCGGAGAGAGAAGGTCTACGTCTACATCTACGCTGCATTCGCAGGACTAGTAGGTGATAGTCGCGGCAGTGGCCGAGCGCCGCGGGTGTTAGCTCTGAGGTTGCGTGACCGGATCGGGGTCGAACGAAGTTTCTTGCATCTCCGTGTCGAGCAGATGGACGGAGTCCGGCCGGGCAACAGACGTCTCGCGTAGATTGTGCAGTACGTGGTACGAGTCTCGGATGATGAGCAGACGGTGTTGACCGTTTACTGGAAAAAGACAGTTTGGTAAAGGATGTAACATAGAGCACAAGTGCCAAGGTTCTAGTGGTATTTTTGTAGGGATAACAGGCTTACCTGAATGGGAAAAAGTAACTCTCACTCAAAAAACATAAAGAACTTTACACAACGGTATATCATATATTAGAATATTTTACTATCTAGTCACCAATGGACCTGAAAACATTTCTTCCCAACTCAACTTTTCCTTGGTTGGAAAACTCTGTCAGCAACAGTAAAATGTTATCCAATATACAATAATTTTTGTGTATAGAGTAATGTGGTTGTGTTTCTTGAGACCAAAATGCCTCTTAACTCTTCAGACAATTCTGCTATTCTCACAGCAAATACCCAAGACCTAGTTGGTTTAAATAATTACTCATGTGTGGTAAAGACTTAAATGTGTTAAATGTGTCCAACACATTCATCCCCATCCATGTGTGAACCCCTTTGATATGTAGTTAGAAGGTCAGCAATTTGCTTGAGAAGACAATTAGTATTTTGTGACTGTTCAAAACTGGTCCCTGGTGGAGAATTTGTGTGCTCTGTGGTTGGCGTGGTAAAGATACAAATCCTGTCCTATTTTCCACGATTAGTAGCAAAATGCCTTTGATATGCAACCCATGAAGAATCGAACCATCTGATTAACTTTCACCCAAGCCTTCAACCGTGTATGGTGGGCCTCCCCAATCAAGAGCTGCACATAAGACCTGACCGAGAAGGGATTGAAACCCTCAACTTTTGGCAGGCCACTAAACCATATTGATCAGAGCAAACTTACTGTCCAACCCACTAACTAGAACAGCAATCAAATGCCTAATGATAGTAGTCCTAAACTACTCACAGGCTGCAACTGTTAGGCATAGCTTTTAGCCATTTTTGTTAGGTTATACTCACGTAGACAGTTGTAAGTCAAAGCTTGGTCTTGTTATTCTCTTGTTCGATATACGAGCATTTGAACTCTGAGGAATATACCTTGGCTGAATATTCCTAACTTAATGATTTAATGGATTTTTATTATCGATGTTTCAAGAAAAGACTACGAATCTCACCGATGAAGCTGCTGCCTCGCCGCAACTTCTGTTTGCCCAGCTCTATGTTCTCAGCTGTGAACACGAGGTTCTTGTAAGCTCGGACAAACACAACAATCAGCGTCAGGCTTCCCAACGCGATCAGTCCGTACTGCAGCAGGGGCGCCACGTTGTCAGCAAACGTAGTCGACAGAAACACCCAACTGTGTATACTGGGTGTCAGCTCTCCCACACCCTGTAATGTTACATTTGTGTCATTGTTACGTATTGTAATAGTATACATGTTTGACTCTGTTACAAAAATCGAACTGTTATTTATGGAACATTTTGGCGATGCAAATTTATTTGTTGAAAGTAACTGATGTTAGTATCAAAATCAATCATTTGGCATATGTTGTATTTATTTCTCATTGTGTGAGCAATTAATTAATGCTTTTTATTGTACAAACTTTGATGAAGAAACAGATTAAATGGTTTTACCTCTTCCAGCCACATAATGGGGAAGACGATGGTGGGGAATTTGCGGACTGGATGGATCTCCGCATGCTCCACCTTGAGGTTCAGTTGCACTTTGACCTTGGCCTCCAGAGTCACTCCCAGTTTCTGAGGAAACGGTTACTTAAATAAAACAATTTGACATATAAAACAGTTTAATATGAAACAGTTACTGTAATATAACAGTTCAAAATAGAGCATTAACTGAGGTGAAATAGTTAGCTAGGTAGATGGTATAGTTTAGGGAGGAGTTGGACATCAAAGAGTTATTTTTAGGAACAGTTTGACTTTGAGAAAGTTTAGTTTAGTGGAATAGTTTGATAAATCTATCATTATTATTGTTAAGACACAACATATTGTTAGTTAAATATTTCGTTTCAGAGAATAACAAATTGGATTCAGTAGGTAGCCTCTAATTCAAACCGTTAGGTAGATTGGCCCATAAACTAGCAGATACTCCTTGGTTAATTTTCCCAAGTACAACTAGCATTTAATTAAACCCGTAATTTGTCTTCTATTCCCCTTTGGTGTTGTTAAAAACATCACATCCCTTAGCTACCCTAGGGAACCATGCCGATACAGAAAGATGCCTGTATTAGTACTCCCACAGGATTATCTCACCGGTTGTATTTTAAAGAAGGTCTCGTGTTTCTCCTGGCTCGGGGTGAGCCCCTCAAAGGGTTCCAGCAGGGAAGGGTCGGCCTGGTAGAAGTGGGGGAAGGACAAATACACCGGAGCATCTGAAAACATCACAAATGTAACTACTCAAGTATTGCTTAGTACACCTTACAGCTCATAGTTTGCTGATTGTATGGAATTAGTCAATAACCAATTTTTGATTTAACATAATATAGCAGGCCAGCATAGCTGGGTAAATTGTCATGATAATACATATTATATACAATAGTCAGTCAAACATATAACTTTTAAAATAATACCACACTCTTTTAGGACATCACTTTTTATTAGGAAATAATTAGAGACACCCTTTAATATTTTAACTGATTTTCAGTCGTTTAAATACTTTTGGTAGTTAAGTTTGTTATACATTTATCACCTATATACAGTGCCGCTTTTGTAAATGAGCCTGGGTCAAGGGGCGCAAGAGGTATTTTTTTTTGGGAAGAAGCATAAGGCTTTGTTGTGGGTGTAACGGGAATTGAACCCGATCCTCTGACAGAAAATTCCTAGACGCTATATTGGCTAGCAGCCTAGCGAAGCACTCCTGACTGTGGTAGTTATTGTTACTCACCGAACTGACACGGACTGATGTTCTGGAGCCCCTTGGGAGGACATTCCTCTCTACCAGGACAATAGCACTTGTTCTCTGGCTTGACGTCTCCCGTCTCAAACACATCGTCGTCAGGGGTGTAATATCCCGAGGTGATACCTGCCTCATAGACCTGTCAGGAAAAACAGGTGTAAATGTTATGTATGGAACAGTTACTTGTTTGGAACATGCTATCATCATCCTGGTGTAGTATCCAGAGGTGTATGCTCCTCTTACTTAAAAAAAATAACAGTTACAAGTAGTAACATTAACATATGTGTGCTGAACTGTTTGATTGAAAGCGTTACCATGCATGTTGGCTTTCCAGAATCCATGCAGCTTACTCATACTTCCACCCATCATTGGGTGTTGTTGAAATGAATCTAACTCACAAGCATGTATGCTTATGCATTGCATCGAGGTTGGTAAATGTAACTGATACCAGTACTACTATAAATCCAACAAATTAGTAGTTGAATGTCAACAGGGTAAAAAGTGTAGATATGTGGATTGTGTAAAAAATATGAATTGTGGATATTTATAGGGATGCACTGTGGATGCGATACTCCCTGGTGTGGATTAACGTCTGCACGAGTGAGTACTACGACTATCCGCAGTACTATCCTGATAATTAGACCAATTCGTATATACCAAGGCAAAAATGTGGTTCGGATTCCACTATAAACTGTAGGTCTCTTAAGTTGCCATTAGCTGTATGGGCTATTAATTTACAGCTGTGTCTAAGGAATATGTCGGCCTTAGTCACTAACAAGATTACAAGATCGCGTCACTCATCCTACACTCATCTCCATTATCATACTTGGCTTAAAATACCTATTTTGTATGGTCGCCATTTCATTGTACAGTATAAAGTAAAGTATAAAGTATGTTTACATCCTTCAATAAATTAGTACCAATAAGGTATACAACTGTTTTGATTAATAATTTTTCAGGTCTACAAAGACAGTGAAGCTAAAAAGTTGGTATAACTTGTGTTACTTACCTCATATCTGTGCCTCAGAGGCCACACTCTACACAGGTCCTTGTCATAAACATTGACCACATCAGACCCGGTGATGGCACGGGGAGGGAACAACGAACCTGGAAAGCAGAAAACAATTGGAAAATAATAATTGGTCGAGTAATGCATGGTGAAAAGAATTGACAAAAAAAGATGGGAATCTTAATTTAATAAATCCAAGTTAAGTTAGCCTAAAGACAATACATTGATGTAATGCACCTGAAGAACTTTTTATAGAAAAGATAAGGGAGTCATCCCTTATAGAAAATCATTTTCTATTAGTTATTATTTTACAAGTCAAAATAGTTATAAAACGTTTAAATATGCTTATTCACGTATTTATTACTATAAGAAATACGTATACTTAGGTATCTTCAAAATATCATAGATTTTGGCTTTCATGGTTTTAATTGTATATACTATTTCTTCGTCAATCATGTCCTTTTGTGCAACCCTTTTAAGAGAACCAGTAAAACATAATAATATATCGTGGTATCACACAGCTCTCATTGCTACAGGATCAGTAGCAATCGTTATATCTTCCTCAGAAAACTATACTTAATACCATCTAATAGGGTCTCAACCAATGTCCAATAATAAAGGAAATTCATGGACAGATGGACATCATCAATTGGAGAGCATAAGAAGCCTTTTGTACATAAATTAAAGAGAAAAAGAGTTCTTCAATAAAAATTTGAGGTTGAAATGGCATGTTGTGAGAGTTGACAAAATATATATCGTAACTTGTATGCTACTTGATTTCAATCTACCGAATGACATAATGACCTATCCTCAATAGACACACTAAACTCACCCTCTGAAGCATTGATGTTTTTGCAGGGTGAATCCTCCCAGAAGGGTAGATGGTCAAGGCCATTGAGTTTGTCCAGCAGTCCGAAGTACTCCATACCTCTGTGTCCTGTGTTGATGGTGGAAACCTCGTCCAGAGTTCCGTTCCTCTGTAACAGCAACAATACTTTATGGAATGGCACAGGATAGTAGAATTTGTGGATTAATCATGTAACTCATTCACAACCTGCAGTGTGGATTCTGGATGGATGAGGTTTGGAAAAAATGCAATGAAGGTTGACATTCCACCTTCGATCAGTTTGGTTTGTAAGCAGGAAGTGACAAGTAGATTATTAATGAGAGCTGTTTTTTTAAGGGTTCAAAGATTATTTTCATGGAAGAATACCTTCTTAAGAGCTAACAAAGAAAAGATGCATTAAGAATAATGACTTGATAGTGGAACAAGTGGTTATAAGATTGTTTGAATTGTGTTCAAATCATTTGACTCCCTCATTTACATCATTAGTGCAATATTGATGTAGTAGCAATATATTAGTACTTTTTAATTGTTTTGGTAACACTAAATTCCAAGAAATCACCTTTTTCGCTATAGTAATTCATCACTCTTTTCCTATATTTTATAAAAATTTGAAATAAACATGTCATTTATGTAATTGTATATTCTGTGAAGTAAGCTCACAATGTTTAATGAAGACCAAATGGTATCGAATAGATATTCAAGAAGGAGGAATTTCCAAATGATTGAAAATAGTAGGGTTGGTGTAGCAGTAGCTTATAGGTAATTGTAGACAGCATGCCAAAGATGCAGCAGAAGTAGTACAATTACAACAAACTGCACTACAATTCCATGTAAACCAACATACCACCGAGTGAGCATTTTTATGCTCCAGCTCTCTCCTTCATCACGGATCTGTTTGACTCGCTAAATTGTGTGTGATGCTTGATATCATGTATTCCTTTATTTGTGGTCAAAAACAATTTTCCCTACCAAATTCAAAAGTAAAAATGTAAAACAAGTTAATATACACTCCATAACCGACTATTCTGCTAATTTTGGTCATGATTAGAGAAAGATTCTGGAAACAATTTGTACCAAATTGATTTATGTTTATTTATTGTACTATTGTACTAACCCCCAGTAGCAGCCCCATTTGACGGGGCGGCCGCTTGCCCCGGGGGTAGAACTTGTTAGCCAGTGAGGTGAGCGGGTCATCGTAGCCGAACACCAACTCCTCTGCTGACACGGCCTTGAAGGGAGTCATTCCGCCCATGAACCTGAGTAGTACGGAGAGTGAAGTCTGCACAAACCTGCCCAGCTGATTGCTGCCGGAGGTGAGTGTCTGCAGACAAAGGGCAATAGTGAGTATAGCATAGATTAAACTATAAACTTTTGGATACCTACCGAATTAGATCTGGCAACATTTGAAATTACATATACAATTCCGTTACATAATCTATTATAATGCTATCCTCGATTGACTTTCAAATACTGGAGGAGACTGGTCTATGTTTACCAGTCATAGTGATTTACCCTTTTTTACTTTAATAGGCGTGCTATAATCAGTGCAAGGAAGCTCACTTTGTCAGGTAACTGTAGGAAAAACAAAATTGGCAGTGTCAGGGGTGATAAGTAAACATGTACTTGAGGGTTGCATAAAGTAAGGCTAACAGCTGAACTTCCAGCAGGTGCAAGGTTGTGGGTTACACCTTTAAAGGTTATTTTCAGCAAAATACCAAAACATCATATTTGTCATAATAGTTACATAGCTTTAAATTGAATGATTGAACACTATGTAGGTCAAAGAGCTGCAAAAGATAATTTTTGGCCTTAAGAACAGAAATAATTGAGTTATTAAAATAAAATGTCTTGTTCAGCTTGAAAGTCAATACCACTTTGGGACCGGTTGAGACTTGAAACTGTGATCATAATTTAACTCAATCAGATTATTGGTACCAATCGCCGGGTCAAAATAAATCCCTGAAAGTATTTTTAATTGTTAAATCCAAAAGCGTGCACTCACCAGGAGAGGGATGTTTGGAACGACTATTCTCAGGTTTTTATCGACAGACAACTCCGGCATGAACTCCAGAATCTTGCGATGTTGGAAGGAGACAGTTCCGTTGTCATGGAACTTGATGTTGACTTTCTCCATGTCTTCTCTGGAACAAACAGTCAACATCAGAAACAACGAATAGTACATTAGTCTGGTGACATATAGGAACCGTTGGTGAAAAACTGACTTGAATACCTCAATACATTAACAATTATTAGGATCGATTGCAGGTTGCCCTTAAGTTTTACCCTTGCACCTTGCATGTAAAATTAATAGCAGAAAGACGTCTGCCGGTGTTGGGATGCCTTTGGAATCTTAATTGGGAGGGACAAGAGACATTTTTCAATAGTAACCATTCCTTTGCATCACTTGCCCTCTACAAAACTGGATAAGATAAACAATGGAATTTGTTAATACATGTTTAATGTCTAGTAAAAAATAGAAACTTCAATCTTATAAACATGGTTTATTTAGTAAAATGTTTTAAAAACCTATCAAAACTTTGGTAACTTACACAAACACGATACTATACAAAATGTTATTACACAAGAGTTTTTATCAATGGTGGTGTTTAATCATTGAAAAGTTCTAAGCAAAAGCAAATATACTTTAGAGAAGGTATGGGTTGATTTTGTGCTGATCCTATAAAATTGCACACTGCAACAACAGCAATAAAGAAAAGAGTTTTCAAAAGTTCAGGAAACTTTCCTTTCAAGCTTACGAGTTTGGTTTGTTTTGTTGATACATTCCATGCTTGACTGAAACCCTCATAATGTAACTGAGTTTTCCAAATGCTATGACTTTTGGTTTATTACGTGTAAATATATGTTTAATAAATGGTATCAGTAGTCTGACACATACTTTCTCCCATTAGCTTATCAACAATGTTTATTAAACATGGGAAAGCGGTGGGAGTATTTATGATATTTTATATGGAAAATTATAAAATTTGCAGTAACTTTTGAACTGTAATTGTTTCAGCGGTTGCACTATTTTGTTTAGAATTATAAGGACAATAACACATTAATTTGAATAGCAATTCTTGAGAAAATCCGTTTTTCCGTTATTTTATGGGAAAATCCCCATTCAGTCAAAAGTCAAAATTTTAAAAAACATGAAAAACATCATGGAGATACCATAGATAAACGTACCAAATTTCATAAAAATCGGACTACAAGTGTGGTCTGTAGCTCTGTACACATCCACACATACAGACATCACTTTGAAAACCACTTTTTTGGGCTCATGGGGACCCAAAACCGATATACCACTCAAAACTGAAACTCGAAAATTTTGTCGAAAACAATAATTTCTGGATACAGTTTCGGACCACAAAAAGCTACTGACGTAGGCAAGAACTGTAACCACTCGAAGCTAACCATTACGTCGTCTATCTACTAAAAGTACTTCACACATTTGGTGCCTAAAAAGTTTCCTATTGTGTAAGTGTTTGATAATTAGTTTTTTCCATCGCCAGTTTCGGAAAATCTTCGTCGGGTTGGACCGCGGGATATTTTACTCAAAGTCACAATGTTTGTTCTTAGTTTAACTTTGTAAAAGATTATTAACATGATTAATATTATTTATTACTTTTGAGAACCCGCTTTTACGGTATAAGTGCGTTTTTTATTTGAGTTTAAAACGTGTTTAAGCGAGATTTGTGGAAGCTTGGTTTTACTGTCACTGCATGATAGTGCAATGTGAGTGGTAACGATTGCGTAAAGATAGTGTTAACGACACGAGTAGAAAATTTAAGGTACGAACCTTGGCGAGTGCCTTAAAAACTTCTACGAGTGTCGTTAACACTATTTACGCGAGTTGCGTCCACTACTTTACCTACGACAGTGTTTTCATTACTCATAGCTTCTAGGAGAGGTTATGTTTTCGTTTATAATGCAACGAAACACTACCAAACACTAATGCATCACTCAACAATTAAATTGGCCTGAACAGCTGATTAGTAGAAGTTCGAATCATTACAATTTTACTTCTTCTCTCTCAATCCTTGAACATCATTATTGGTCCGTTACCCGTGTTGTTATGAGTAAAAAAACTATGCCGTTATGAAAGTAAATAATGCTGTTATGTGAAACTTTTAAATTCTAAGAACTGAACTGAAACGGCTACTTTAAAAAGCGGTCGTAGGTAAACGTGTTTTTAAGTGATGGTAAATTGGTTTAGTAATAGTGAAGTGTCCTAGTAGGTATTTAGTGATTGGATTACCATTAGAGGACTGTTCATCATTTGCCTGTATACTTCATTATCAATATCAACAACTAAGGTAGGGTTAACATCTCATTTCTACGTTTGTGTTGTTGTTTTGAGTAGTGAATTATTTATGCGTTCTTTTAAATGTATTTCGTATTTTGTAGTTAAATGCCTAATGAAGGTTAAAAGAAAGTAATGTATCTAAATATTTTCACAAAACTTAAGACCAACCTATATAAAATCAACATCTTACACTATTTCGTCATCAGAAGCTATTTTTAACATAAAGAACTGCTGTCAAGGAGGGCTTACAAGATAGCACTTGTCAAATATGGCAAGTTGTTAAATCTTTGTCGTCTTAGGTTGTGAATAAAAAATATTATTACAATTTAAAATCAGAGAAAAACTTCTCCATTTATCATTAGATACATTGCGATCACATAAAAATAGATTTCTTACATCAAAGTAAGCAATCTTCTTAAGTATTCAGGCACAATTTAGTACCTAATCAATAATCTGATATTCCATTATTATCGAGGAAAATCCCAAGTTTCAAGGTCTCACGGGCGGCGACAACTTTGAGATTTATTGTTATTATCAAAGTAAATTGCAAATCTAATGCTAATGCATGTCTTGCCTATGATCGGCAAAAACTGATGGTGACAAGATCACAATTAACTTGACCTTGATAAGCATCAGGACGTAATCAGCTGATCGATGTGAAACAGCTGACAAGATCAGCTGATTTACGAATGAAGGTGAGGAAACGTAACCGATCATCATTTTACACATTTGTTTTGGTAATTTATTTATTATTGTTAGCTTATTAATTTAGTTTAATTTACTAGCAAAACTAAACGATTGAGTAGGTTTAGATTTATCAAAATAATCAATTACATTCGAATTGCGTAACAAGAACAGTCGGAGCATGCTTTACAAAAAATTTGCAATTAAATCTTAGACAAATAGCTAAAAGGTTTTACCTCACCTAGTATCCTATTCCAGACATTTAGAACAATTTTATCTCAATAAACTATTTTTTTGGTACCTATTTAAATTAATAAAGTATTAATAATTGTCAGTCATTAGTCTGCAATAGATTTTAGCCTATGAAATGAATTCAGCTACTTCAACTTGGTTAGCGCAAAATATTCAACAGTCCTGTGGATATACTTGCCACCAACTACTTGCAGGCGAAGCAAAAACAACGTTTTGTACAGAACAACGCCATGATGTTAGGACAGACAAAAAAAGCTAACAAGATCTTTTAAATTTAAAAATAATTAATTTGTATTTTCGTTTTTACCGTTAACAGAAAATAAAATATGTACACAAATCTGTACATTTATGCCAATGTTCGTTCTAAAATCTAATTTGGGAAATTGTAAGTGTCATTGATTTAATTATTTAAAACATTATTACTAGTCAGTGCCCTACAGATTCCTTCGAATATTTCCGCAGAAGGGAGTCTAAGCTTAATCAACCACTTTGCAGATCGTCAGAATAAAACAGGCCGTGAGTTAAGATGTTATAAACTGATAAAGCAAAAATACTATAGTTAGAATGTTGGGATGAGAATTATTTGGCTTGCATTTTTAAACGAGTTCGAGGAATATCTTTCCAAAAGTAAGCCAAACCCTAATTCTGAGATTTTATATTTTATCACTCAACATTATATGGAGGGTACGTTCCACATTAGACAAGGCTATGTTTTCCTTCTAAATCTTAGACATGGTTAAGATCATAATGATTTTATACGATTTAAATTCAATTATGTTCAGATAAAACCCTTTAGAAAAGTAGCATTCAATTATAAAACGTATTCATTATCTAGCTTTTAAACTTTACTATTTTACCAGCAACCACGTGATTTGTTAAGGAAATTGGTATAATAGTTCATTATATAAATTATGAGAACCGCTGATAAAGATCTACCCAATAGTTTCCAAAACACCAATTAACATACCACATTCATCACAGCAAATCTTGCGATTCTCGTTCTCTAATTTCGTACTCCATGCAAAGCCGACAACAGGATGTGCCGATTACTCTGTGGCCAGTTTTCCTGGTCCAGCTGATCGTGATTATAATCTTGTCCATCGGTGACGCCAATCTATAATTAGCGGCGCGAACCGTTTAAACCGTTGAGGATGTTTTGGTTTCGTCCAGGAATGTAGGAGTTGTAAACAGTTTAGGTGTAAAGCTTTGTAAAATATACTTGGAAAAACCCCGTGCTCACACGGAGGGTTTCGTGCTGGGAGTTTCTGAATCGTAGAGAAGAAATCAACCAGTAACTTAATTGATCATATTCTTAGATTGGAAAAATATTTATTGTTGGGTATTCAGAAGAGGTCTTTTCCAGTTTCGAACTACAAGTATAAAGGACAAAGAAACTTGTAAATCTCCGTAGCTAAGTATTTTATGCAAACTTCATGATGTATACAATGTAACAATGATTTAGTTTCCATAAACATACTTCTTAGTAGATTTGTCATCCTTATGGATCAGCGAAAGACAATTTTATTGTTGGTTCCGTCCGGTGTACTGTAGGAGGTCGTGATTGATTTACATTTTGTTTCTCGCTATTTTATTAATTTAAAACTACGTTTGACCAAAGAAAACGATCTAATCATAGACAATAATTCGTCCCCTAGTTATATAACCAAACAGTAAAGCACAAATCATTAAATTAACTCTAAGATAATAGAAACGAAATTTAATTGACACAAGAGATCAGTGTCATTCAATAGGACATGAGCTAGACACGAAAAACTAGCTTCAAAAAAATGTACAATGGGATGAGTAGTCCAATTGTGTTGGTTAGCTCCGTAGTTGGTTGAACTATTATAGTACACATACTACCTCAATTTATCACATGGATCAGCTGAAGACGATATA